ACAGGTGTGCACTGACGTACCCTTCATTTAGGACATTAGGGCGACTTAAAATCAAAGTCATTTCCTTTTAAGTGTGAAAAAAATAGCGCCATTGACATCATCCATATGTTTCTTGAGGTATGTTTTAAAACTGAAGCAGTGCCCTAGTTAACACACACTGCAACCTAATTATGGATGGACCTTTTAAATATTTAGTGTGCTAATACAGACTAAATACTTAATTAGATGGAGGGTTCTTGAAGAGCTCGGTATGCACACTCTCTTTTGATTGACTCTTGACTGCACTGTTGATTGACACTATTCTCCCTCCATGCAATTAAGGCTGAAAATGGAGCAGCTGTGTACGGCTCGCAGATTAAGACACATTTGCATTCAGTGGCTAAAAAGCTCCGGAGAGATCAGGCGAAATCAAAGCCACAAGCATTTCCATTTTTGAAGAGCATCGAGTTACATTTATTACAATTATTTACTTTAGGTCTAATTAAAAGATAGAAACGGAGAGGATAGGCATCTTACTGAGGGAATTAAATCGGTGGGACATATTAATAACCGCTAACTTTTGTGTAAACTTCACATCATTAAAATAACTTTGTAGTTTTATCTTGATTGAAGATCCAGTAGGGAGTCTCATTCAGCAGACGAAACGGAGCCAAAGAGTTTGTGAGTAAACAAACACCTGTCAATCAAGCTATAACTACCCGAAGCTGCTGCTTTTTAGCCTGACTTTGAATTTTATGAGACAGGTTAGATTTTTTTTTTCCTGCACATCTGGTTTCAGGGAAAACTGCTTATTGATTCTCCATTCATTACAAAAGGACGAGGAGGGGCTGATGCTTGACAGAGAGACAGGGCACCTGACTAGCAGCCGGCTAGCTTTGACAACCTAATTTCAGCAGCAGACAGCCTGTCTGTGTATGTACATGTGTGTGTGTTTGTGTGTGTGTGCGTGCATCCTGGCTTACAGATTAAGATCCCTGCTTTGGGCTGCACTCTGCAGGCTGGGAGCAAGATGCTAAGATGACAGCAGTCACAGGAGGGAACCATCAGATGTAGCCGTCAGCCTACAGACAGACTTGTTACTCTGTCTTCCTTCTGAGCCGAGGCCCAGATACATCGAGTATTAGGCCAAATGCTGCCTCACTGCCCCACTTTATGGAAAGCCTAGTTTAGAGCATTACAGGTATAGTGGGACATCCCTCAGAGATGCCTTCACTGACTCTCTTTAAGCCGGAATGGAGCCGCCACAACATGCAGCAAAAGAGTAATGACATCGGGTGAATAGATTTTTAGAAGACAGCGCAAATTTCATTAATTTTTTTTTGTACCACGCAGCTTCCAAAGACATCCTCCCTTTATTGAAATTGAGTGACCTTGCCTTCGAAAGAACAAGATTGATTTGTCACGAAAATCTCCAGATGGTAAAATAGATTTTAGATGGCGCACGCATCCTGTAATGAATTTTTTAGAGAGCAGGCAAATTGCAAATGCTATTTGCTACGATACTCGCATAAATCTCTTCACACACACCACACACACACCTGCTAATGTACGCAGCTTCAGGGATTTGCATAATACATGAATATGCAGTAAAACACCTGTATGCACGCTCAAATCTGCACACACACACACACACACACAAAAAGATGCGAAATCACGACCACACTCTTCCCTTTTAGCGTACACTGGTGCATTCAGAGGCTAAAACAGTAAATGTGTCAGATCATAGTTTTAATTAAAGCCTCTCTGACCAGCCGTGGAGCTGGAACAGGGAAAAGCTTTTTGCAGGAGGAGTGTTCAGCGCTTGGCGAAGCTTTCTTCTTTAAAAAACAAAAAGGGACAGATTTGGATTAGAGCAGAAGCCAAAACAATGAGTCTGCTTCGCTGGAGCTACAGCTTTGTTGTCTTTATCTCTGAACAAGGTTAACTTTAAGTGCACTCAGATTTGCATAGCAGTCCTCTGTGATATGCAAATCCGCAAGCGTAGGCACTTCAAATGTATATCTGCTACTCACTTACACTAAGATGCCCGGACATTAAAGAGGTAGTTTTAATCAGAGATGTTTGCGTTCAGCAGAATCGTTGATAAACCATTTCTACCATCGCTGGTCAGCACTCCAGATTCCAGCCGGCTAAAATCATTATAACCTATTAATGTACACATTTAAAGTAACAGCGATTCAGAGCTCCACTAGGGAGAGCTGCAGCCCCCTCAGCCGTGCACTAATGCCCAGGAGGAAAACCACTGAGGTAGAAAGTAGGACAAAGATGACTTCTGGATAAACCGGTGCTTCTCGGCAGGATTTGATCGCCATGGAAATTAAACTCTGAGTCGGCGTTAACTCACCTATAAGGAGGCTGGTGTGCAGGGAAAGCAGGCTGCATGGGTTAGCTAAACCCACACCCATAAGGTGTTGTTATATCAATTTATGGTTATGAGTGTTTTACCAGAAGGCAAGGCTGGATCCTTTACAATAGGGCTGGGTGATTATCATGATATATTTTTTTCAAATCAGTCGATATTGATATATATCACGATATAGAAAATACGATTTTAACAGTGCTTATTAAGACCATGTCTTTTGAAATGCATCTGTGAGATCTTTGAGTCTCTTCAACGTTTTGTTGTAAGGCATTGCGCTAGAGAGGTTGGACTGAATGGTCGTCTGTTTCAGCTGCACAGGCGCCGTGGGCTCCTTGCTTCGCTCAGGGTTTGTAATCTTTTGTATTGCGCGTGCTCTGCGGCGTGGCGCTGCTTCAGGTGGTGAAAAAGATTTGAGGTATACCCCGACTTTGCAAGAACATGGACTTGACATAATTCGCAGTGAACATTACTCTGTCTTCATCTGTTGAGCCTTCATCTGCATATCTGCTGGCGGTAGCACCCATTTTCTTTTTTTTTCTCACCAGCAGTGCTGTCGGCTTCACGTGTTAAAATGCTATGGTTGTGTGTAGCTGCTGTCTGCTGTGACGCAGTTGTTTGCTTCTTGGTTCTTATTCAGCACATGATTGGTTCAGAGTGAAGCGGACCCGGAGCAACTTCCACTTTCATTGGCTATTCCTATATTCTACCAAAACATGGCAAAATGCCGGCTATCGAAAATCATATTGATCAAGTTTTTGGTTTTCAGCAGGTCATTGAATTGGAGATGAGGTTGATTTTTGTCGAGGGTGGTGGTGCGAACATTGAAGTAGGAGAACATCATTGTAGGCAGCAGCATCAGCTGCCACCAGCAAAGATGATAACGAAGAAGAAAGAGGGACAGGAGGCAGAGAAATCCATACCTGTCAATAATTGATCGGGAATGTGACGAATGTGACAGCGTTGATTAATGCATCAAGGCTGTAAATGAGGGAGTGCGTGACTCAGGAGGGTTCAGTGCAATTTGTGTTTCAATATCTTGTTAACTTTTGCAGGCGTTAGTGCTGTGAAACTGTGAAATTCGTGGTGCAGGGTCTGTCAAAAGTACCATTGTTAGGGGGGTTTGCTGGAAGTGTCAAGATGGGGGAATGTGGCGCTGTCCGTGGTGCTGAAGCAGAGCAGATTGACAGGATGTCACTCAGTAAGAAGAGTGAGGCGCACTCCGTAAACAGCTGATTGTGTGCGCTCCCTTACAGTGGATTTTTTAATGGATTATTGTGAATTATCCAGTGTGCCACAGGCGCCGAGCATTTCTGATGCATTCAGTGACTTTTTGTCTCTCCTGAACCGCTGGAGTTGCACTTCTCTCTGAGCCGGGATCTCCTGATTTGTAAATTAAGCTCTGCCTGTGGGCCGCTAACCCAACCAGAATGCTAATACAATAAGACGGTACGTTTTTAAAGATTTTCTCCTGTTAAAATAAAAAGTGATTTGAATATATCAGACTTACAGTACACTTATATTACCCTCTAACTTCCCTGAGGTGTATATTTGAATTTGAGTGGAACATTTCAGCTCTTGTCTGAAAAACATGTGTGCACTTATACTTAGTAGTTTTAAGGATAAAATTAAATTCTGATCCAATCCAATACTGATACCTTGACTGAGCGTATCGAACGATATCCGATACCGATCCAATACTCATGTTGAATGAATGAACTGTATACCTTGTTCTGTGAGTGAAGGCATCAGGCTTGACATTAGCCTTGTTAAAAAAAAAAAGGTAACAAATTCACACAGATATAAATTTACTTAATATTTTTTATTAACAAATAGCAAAGTACACATTAGCACACAGCAAAAAGACGTAAGACTTCCATGGATTAAAAAAATAAAAAAGACTGGATTGAATCGCTGGATCGGCATCATTCATTCATGATATCTGATCAACATATATGATCGGTGCATCCCTAGACAAAATGTCTGGTGAATATGTGATAGTCTAAATCGACGGCTTATTGTTCTGTACAATGAAAAACAATACCAGGGTTGATAGACGGTCTGATGCAGGCACTGAACATGAGCCAAACCAATGGAACAGCCTCGGTTTGTCGTGTGTTGTGCTGATGAGCAAATATAAGCATGTTAATATGCTGAACATGGTAAACATATGTGCTTGAGATCACACGGACATGCTGATGTGAGCATTAAAACAAAGCTGGTGCTGCCGTGCACATTAAACAGCTTCACTGAGCTGATGGATGCAGAGAGAGAGGAGAGTCCTGATGGTGAACAAAAACACAGAGAGCTTGGATAATAACAGTGTGTTTTATTCATTAAATGATTTAAGATTAAAGCTTTTGCAAATGTTATAATAAGCCTGTTATTGTCCTATAATTTAAAAAACTACTTTACCTTTATAACTCCATTATTCCAGCCCAGAAACATTCAGAACAAGTATCAGTGCCAACAATGGCAACAAAAACTCTGTGTGGAGTTTGAATGTTCTCCCTGTGTCTGCGTGGGTTTACTCCGGGTACTCTGGTTTCCTCCCACATCCCAAAAACATGTAGAAGTGGGGTTAGGTTAATCGGCCACTTTCAGATCGTAGTTGTGAGCGTGGATGGTTGTTCGTCTCTATATGTCAGCCCTGCGATGAACTGGCGACTTGTCCAGGGTGTCCCCTGCTTTCGCCCGAAGATGCTGGGATCGGCTCCAGTCCCCCCGTGACCTGGGAACGGGAATAAGCGGTATAAAATGGATGGATGGATATACAAAAAATATTTTTAATATCGTGATAAAGCTGCCAGGTGTGATGAGAGTAAAGCCTGGATGCCAAACACGATACTGTGATTTGTCTGACTGAACTGTATCTTGATTAATATTCCAGTCCGTCTCAATTCCCTCTGTTGTGGCTCCATCCCTCTCTTGCGTGTAAAAGGTCAGCTCATGTCAAAGATGAGTCTTTAAGATCGCATGAAAGAGGTCAGTAAGGTCAGGTTTTCTCAGGCACATTGTGGTTGCTGTTGAAAAGAAGAATAAGAAAAACATCTTTAGCTTTAGGAAAAAGCACAATAGTGTTTCCCTCAGTGTTAATGCTGATGCGTTTGTTGCTTTCGTGCCTCGTCTGGCTGCCTGTGTCACCCGCCAGCCCGTGATCTAGTGTCGAAAATGCCAGCGCGGGCTGTGGGGCTGAGTATTGTGATGGCGACGATGTTTTTTGACAGGGAAGCTCTGACAGGCTCTGACAATGAACAGCCTGCCGCACGGAGCAGAGCGACGGAGTGGAAATCTGTTACCGCCGGGCTGTCCCGGGTCACATCACCACTGGTGACGGCCGGTTAGGAGCCTGCACACGAAACATGTGACAGGTGAGGCGAGGGAAGCCGGCGAGCGGTGGATCCAAATGTGGAGGCTGAATGGCTCTCGTGTTTATACTCGAAAAAAACAAAACAAAGAGAAACCCCCTCTCTGCTCTCCTCTGTCGTGGTTCTTTGTGATTTACAGAAGAGGTTTTCATAAATGAATATCACTCCTCTACACCTCCACTGTCACCGTAACCTTTTCCATCAGGCAGGCGCTGTTATTTGTAAATGGAAGTACAATTGATTCAAAGTGAAGTTCAGAAATTTTAACGGCTAATGTTGTTTCCCCCTGAAAGCTATTCTTGTTTGTCAGGAGGGTGAGTCATTGTTTACAACTCCCTCTCTCTCCCTCTCTCTCTCATTCAGACGCTGCAGTACAGTAGTCAAAATCATCCCTCTGTTTTTTTTTTTAGCCTTCTGTGACCCCTTTGCCCGGCATGTCCTTTAAATGTCAGCCGAAGACGTATCTCTATCTTGACATTTCCACAAACGCTTGTCATAATGCCGCAGCTGCGCGGGGGTCACCCAGAGGAAACCACAACATCCAATCTACTGGTTCTCTGGGTATCATTACCGTTGAGTCACTGATACTCTTTTATGCGGCGTGCGACGATTACACAATCAATTACGACCGCTAATTTAGTGTGAACTCCACAGTGAGCCCGAGCCACGCTTCAAATGAAGGAGTTTGAGGAGCGGAGCTGTGGTGTGCAGCGGTGGCGGCGGCTTCAGGAAGGAGATGATCTTTGCAGAAGAACAGGACGCCGCAGTGATAGGGTCATGAATATGGATGAGGCGAGATAACATACCCCACTGTGGGTGAAAAGAAGTGGTGGCGAAGTATTCCCACACCCACTGACTTATGGTACATAAAGGTTGGATGGCACAGTGGAGATGATGTATAATAGCAGCTTTAATGTTTTATTTAGCTCCTCTCCTGTTGACTTTCGAAGGCCATTATGAGCGCGCAGCATCCCCAGTTTGAACTGGTTTCCTCTCCCTCCCGTCGCCTCCTCTTCTCCGTCTTTTCCAGCGCTTGTTTTTCTCAAATTTACCGTCCCGTTCTTCACAAATAACAAGCTTGCTCCGAGAGATGATAAACATTTTACCCCATTGTGGAGCTGTGGCGTGGTTCACTCTCGCTGTGCTCGTGCGGAGAGTTGGCGGGGTTGTTATGCTCATTTATTCCAACAAGGTTTTTAGGAATTCATGTGTGTGTGTTTATGTTTTGATGCTCTGAGCGCACCCTAAACTTTCCACCTCTCTCTTCGCTCCACGAGCGGGTACGGCGAAGTTACTTCAGAAATTATGTGGAGAGAAGCTTTTGAAGCTAATTGAAGGATCCGAACAAATAGTCTGTTTTCTTCCTTTTTATCCTCTTCCACACTCACAGATAAGATCACACCTCAACTCTATTTTCTCTTCATGCTGTTACTGCGTTTCTCTATGAATTAATGATGAGTTGTCACCATGGTGAATGTCTATATTACTCACTGCGTCTGTGTATGTGTGTGTGTTAGAGACTTCTGACAGGAACGAGAATATGGATCTCCTCCTCGGTCTAAATGAGACGTGAACCTACGCTGTATGTTTATGAAGGTTTGCAGAGCCTGCAGCACCGGCCATAAAGAAACAGCTTAGATCTTTATGTTGGCCATATATCAGAGAATAAACATACCCAACATGGTAAGGTTATCTGTATGTTTAAGAAAAGAAAAAGTGCTTCTTATAATGATGTAAAATATGTTTAAAATGTCAAAATATGAGAGATTGTATTTTGCGACTATCGATCAGTGTCACCTGCTGATCCTCTTCCATCTGATCCTGATGCGTTTTGTCTCGTCATAAATTCACTTAACCAGATGACGGCTTCCTCACTCTCTAAATACTTCATGGTGCGAGTACTTATCCTCCTGCACTTCATTTTCCTGCTGCTTAATATTACATTTGGCTTGAGTGTGATAATAAATGTCTTCTCGTATCAGTTATGAGGCACCTTCACTTTCATACCCTGTTGGAAAAATGTGTCATTTTAACCAAAGATGCACAAATTGTGAGATCTGGGATTGTTGGCTGATTCCATTGCTCTTCTTCGAAACCCTTGTACCTGTTTTTTTTTTCATGCAAGCTGTGAGTAACTTATGATCAAGTCAAATCTTTGCTAGTTGTTCCTCTTCTTGTTTTTAAAACTGCTTGTCGAAGATCTTTCTCAGACTTTGATACTGCTCTGCCATTTACCGTCATTTTCTTTCAGAGGAAACAGATCAGTAGCTGCGTTTACTTGGGCACAAATAATCGGAATAAATGCCCAATCAGATTAAAAATGCGTAATTTAAACATGTCGATTGGAAGATTCTGATCCAATTCAGCTCAATCTGAAAGAAATTGTATTTCGATAGAGAGGAGTGGTTTATACCGATCATTATTCCGGAATACGTCCATGTAAACACTTATTTCTATCGTGACTCTCTAACCTGACTCGATCTTCACTCTTTAGCCTTTGGTTTATTTATTGAGGTCATTTCAGGAGGTTTCATTATTAACACTCTGGCATAAAAAATGACCGCAGGAGCGGTGTCTGCTCCTCCGGTAACATAACAAGGCGTAAATACAGCGTAATGTAGTGATGGGCACGGCAGTTCTTTTTTAGGTGAACTGGATCACTAAAATCAGTTCACTAAAATGATTCGTTCGAAAGATTCGTTCACAGAATCATTTAGAGCTTGGAGGGAGGAGCCTGCGACTCCGACCTCCTGAACTGAACAGTTCAGTATTCAGTTCAGATCAGAGCTTCTGGGACTGGAAGACGAGAGTGTTTGGGTTTGATGCTTTAACAGGTTTGTAAAAATGAACTTGTTTATAAGTCATGATGTTTTAAATGTACTGTCCTATGGTATGGTAGTGATTCGTTCACTGAACGTTTAGAAGAATTTACACTGAACATGCACCGTTCCCTCGCAAACCGCTGCAACGACAGGATGCTTCGGGTTTAATGCACTACTTGTTACATGCTGTGTCCTATTGTGTGCAAGTTGTTGTCGTGACAATTCAGCCATTAAAAAAAGTTTGTTTTGTCCGTCAAAAAAGATTCCAGATTGTTCAATGCGTGATTCGTTTACCAAGTGATTCAGGCGTCGGTGCATTCAGGCCCTCGTTCGCCAGCTGCTCACCTGGCAATGCTGCATGTTATAGCAGCCACGCTTCTGACACCTCAACTGAAGTGAGAAACGAATGAATCACTGGAGGAAGTGATTCGGTTCACCTAAAAGATTTGGTTCTTTTGTACGAATCGTTTGCGAACGACACAACACCAGCGTCATGATGAAACCTTTGACAGAACAGTAAAATAAGTGAGCAAGAGCGCCATCTAGTGACAACATTTAAAATGGGGAAATTGGATGAAGTGAGCCACTACCACGTTTGTTTGTTGGTTTGTTGACAGCACAGGCGTAAATAAGACTCTTCTTCTTCTGTGGTTGTTTTTAGTGTTTTAATGTTTCTAATCTGAATAAAACTTGGTGCATGATCTGATTTTTCCATTTTGCACCCATATAAAGAGTGGATTCAGATTATCCGATCCCTCAAATTTTTAATCAGATCAAGAAATTTTGCCCGTGTAAACGTGACTAGTGTCTAACAGGTGGCCTTTCCTGCCAAACATTAAACTCTCCTCTACGAGTTAGCTGTGAAGTCTACCAGCACATTATCGGCTCCTGATATCAGTTAATAATATGTTTTTGAGGGTGTTGATGGCCAAGCAGTTAAAGCTCGTCTCAGGTCTGATTCTACCTTGTGGCCTCTTTCCTGCTCTTTATGTTTAATCAACTGCGTCCGTTTCTTCTTCATCTTTCTTTATCCTTCCTTATCATACTCTACTATCTGTCTGCCTGCGTTTCTGCTGCTACATCAGATGCATATTTGCTTACTTATCAAATGAATGAAAGGACCGAAATGAACACGATGTGGAAAATCATCCCCTGATGAGAAATTGTTGCTGAGGCTAACTTTTTACCCTCTCCTGCAAGTGAATGCTCTGCAGCTCTTCTCCTGTGGTGTTGGGTGGTGTTTGAGTGAGTGGTCGAGCAACACAGAGAGAGAGAGAGAGAGAGAGAGAGAGACAGACAGACAGAGAGAGAGTGGGCTTGAATGACAGTGAAGCAGAGCAAAGGCAGTGTCAGTCTGGCATTATGCCTGTATCCAATATCACATACAGAGCCTCATTTGGGGTGTTTTGAATGCCACGAGCGGTGGAGTTCAAGGCGGCTCCCCTCCAGATTGTGGTGCTGTAGGCGACCACCTATGTCCCCAATGCCTTGAGGCAGCCCTGGCTTTATATATCACTGAAAAACAAAGTGCTTGAGGTGATTTTGAAAAAGATTTCGAGAAAAATAAGGACAGTAGAGAAAATGAAAATTTATTAGTAGAAAAAAAACTTTTTTTTTTTTGTAGTTTACCTGAGCATACCTGTCTGTGTGATTGGATAATATAAATCAAAAACATATGTAAGAGTATGGGAAATGAACAATTTTGATTTTAATACTCATTTAACTCATTTGAAGTGGTGGCTCCAACACTGGAATAATTTACCAGCTAATATTCATTCAGCTGTTTCTATTGTCACTTCTCCCTGTTCTCATTAATGCTCTAATTCTGCCATTTTTTGTATTTGTTCTTTTATGTTTATGATTGTATTTTGAATTTTTTTACTGTGAAGCACTTTGTGAATCTTTTCTATGAAAGGTGCTTTACTAAATACATTTTACTTACTTATTACACTAAATGGTACAACATGTTGATGATACAGGAGTCTAGTGCTGGACGATAATTCGATAACAATATATATCGATCGATAGACGTGTGGTGCGATAGAAAAAAAACGGGTCAATAAAAAGTTCGATAGAAAAACACAGTTTCCCTTTCTTTTTCATCATAGCCTATCATGTAGCTTTTACTACAGTCATTACTTCCTCCCAACCAATCACAAACGCAGACCCAGGTACGCTACGGCACCAAGCCCAGCCCCTATCAAACCACAACAGACAGCACGTGTATTAGAAAAAATGATACAGCAAGGAGAAGCGGAGGACATTGTCCCGAAAAAAGGTTTCAGTAGTTCACCAGCATGGCAATGTTTTGGTTTTTAGAAGTCTGACAAAAAGCGAACAGCGGTCGTTTGCAAAATTTGCAGAGAATTAGTAAAAACCAAGTCTGGTAACACGACCAACTTGTTTTATCATCTAAACCGATCGCACCCGCAGGAGTACGAGCTGTGTCGGCCGCGCCGCGGCTCCACGTCATCGTCGGAGGAATCCTCTGGAACCGCTGCCAGCACCAGCACAAAGCATGTGAAGCAGACCAAACTGGACTTCGTTTCTTGCCAAAATACGACAAAGCGTCCGAGCGGCATAAGGACATCACCCATGCAGTAACATGCTCCATAGCGAGGGACATACTGCCAATAACTACCGTTGAAAAGCCTGGCTTCGACCAGCTTCTAGCCACTCTCGACCCGCGATATGAAGTGTCCGGCCGCAAGTATTTCTCAAACACAGCGCTTCAGGCATGAAAATGGGTCAGGGGTTGAAAAGGTGAGAAGGGTGCGGAGGAAATACGTTCCCGTCCACTCATTAGCTTCTTAAAGTGGAAGAAAATGAGCTCATATTTTACAAAGACGCGAGTATTTGGATCATGGCTACTAGCAGGGGGTGCATTCGGCAGGGGTGCATTCTACGACACAACACCGGCGTGGATAAGTCCTGCTTCTCGTGCTTAGTTTGTGTATTAAGTCAATCACATGATAATTAAAAAAAATAAATCTCCCGACCCCGGGAGAAATATTTCAGTGTTCAGACACCAGGCTGTGGGCAGTTTCCCACACAGTTAAAACTGGTAGTATGCTATTCCCACCTAAAGCTATTCTGTTTATTTATATATTTTTTTGTTTTGTTTATTTTAATCAAAAGACTATTTAAATATTTATTTATCAGATTTTCTGGTCACTTTAGTCTTTATGTTTGTCAGTATTTACTGACGTCACTCAGGCCACTTAAGTTGATTTCTTTTTTTTTTAGTTCTTTTTTAAAAAACTTTCAGTTGTGGTAAAATAAAAAAGGTGGTTAAATAAAGGTTTGAATTTGAATTCAGTGCTTGTGTGTTCTTTATTAAAAGTAGGTCAATAGCATAAAACATCCAGGGCTGCAATTAAAATATGTGTTAAATAATTATAATAATTATATCGATAATTATCGATATCGATCAATATGATTTATTTTTTATCAATATGCTTTTTTTCTATATCGTCCAGGCCTACAGGAGTCTATAATTAAAATTAAGACTTCCTTGTGCTTCCAAACTCACCGATCTGAGCTCGTAGTGATTATATAAAAATGAGATCTGTAAACCCAGCAGGCGGTCCATTACAGCCCAGTGTTTAATGCGCAGATAGAATAGTAATGCTGTTTGTTCAATATGAGCCTTCTCATCATACTGCTGTTTTGAGAGTGGAGCTGATTTTGTCATAAATAAGCCTCGCTCACCCGCAGATCACCTGTAGGAATACTGTACATTAAATACGAGACGAGCCAGATTATATAAAAAATGATGTTCTGTAATATAAGTGGGGAAACATCTCCAGCAGACTCATCAGCTAACCTTAGCTCAAACCCCGACACGACCACCACAGGTAGAGTTTAAAGGGATATTCCGGCGTAAAATTAATTCAGGGTCAAACACACCATAACACCAAGTTAGACACACCGTCGACAGAGACTTACTTACTTCTAGTTATACCAACTTTGGTACAACCACATGATAGCAATACACGCGATTATAAATGTTCTTCCTTGAGCTGTGTCACCCCGCTGCAGTCTGTAATGGACTGGCCTGAGGTCTTGCTACAAACAAGCGGCTGCTGGAAGAGAGTAGGTGAGTTGTGTTTAGTCTCTTTGCTAAAGAAATTAGTCAAAGTTAAAAAGATGTTTGGTGTCTAGTACTATGGCTGGGACCCTATATGTCCTGTTGATGAAGTTAGGTGCTGTTCTGAGCATTATTTGTGGCTATAGAATGGCGTTTTGGTTAAGGCGACCCCTGAGACCGCTGTGTACTGCTGTTGTGCGGTTGTTCTTTGAGTTGGCATCGGTCGGCAACATTCATCTCTCGAGGGGGGGTGTCTAACTCAGTGTTACGGTGTGTTTGACCCTAAATTAATATTATGCTGGAATATCCCTTGAAATCTAAGGGAAGTGCCCGTCTATTGAGCAGCTCTTTGTTACGCAGATTCATTCAAATAAAAAACTCACATTCATGTACGTAACCAGTTAATTTCCACCTCTATAATTGGTTTGGGCTCTTGGATATTGTGAGTAAAAAACTATTTTTCACTCAGGAGCTAAATAGAGAGCTGTTTTTTTTTTTTGGTTTGTTTGTTTGTTCCTCCAGAGAGTACTCATGAAAGTAGAAGCAGAGCTGAGAAGTACATTAAAAACAGGAAACAGGAGAGACCCTGAGTAAACGAAGAGTAATCATTAGGCTCAGTGATTGAAACCTTTTTTTTTGTGTGTGTGTGTGTGGGTAGTGTTGCAGACTCGAGGTTGTGCGTGTGTGCTAACAAACGATCGCTGCCAGTGCAACAAATCTCACACGCATCTTCCTCAAGGTGTAAACAAGCAAGAAAGAAAAACACGGGTCTGGATTTTGCAAGAGAAAATAGATATAGTCATCTTCTTCCTTGTATTCATCATCAGGTGTGTTTACAAATGTGCTCACAGTACACAGCTCACAGCGAGTCTCCCACTGCCAGCGCAGTTGACAGCTTCACATACACAGACACCCACCCGCAAGCATCATATTGCACAATTCCTACCCATAGATAACATCTCTGTCATATATTATGTAACATCTGCTAAAATATGTGACTCACAGCACAGTCATCATCTGCACAGGACTGTGATATCGGCACACACAGACAGCGCTTTTATTGTGAAAACACCAGTGCTGGAGAGAGTGTGAAGAGTCTTCCAAGGAGCCATGATGCACAGCAAAGAAAAAAAGCCAAATGACTTCCTGTTTTTCTTACAGCATCAATGACAACAGAGATGTGGGTCATTTCTGGGCCGTCACTTTGTAATCCAACAGTCTGGAGTCCTGTTTGCCCTTTTCCTGGGTTTTTGAAATCCAGTGACAATCCAGAGACGTGTTTTAGAAGTTTCTCAGTCTTTGTGGTGATCGTGGTCGTCCTCATGAAAACAGCCGGGGACGAAATCCCTCTGAGTTGGTCTGATGTCTTTTCCTTTTAGTTGGATTTTGGTCCATCACCACCGCCTCCGAGTAAATTTTCACTGATGCTTCTCCGTACAAAAACACATCCTACCAACAGACATTTCATCTTAATGTCAGCTTATTAGTATCTTTTAATAATATCAATAAGAAACACATTTCCCTTATCACCCTGTAGTTCAGTGCAGATAAACACTATGAATACAAAACTCTTGTACTTTTTAAAACACAAATGTCACCTGCAGCTACCGCATATTTACACATAAAACACCTTTTTTTGCTTCGTTAATCTATTTCACTCCAAACCCACGATGTATGCTTGTAAATATGACAGTGTGTTTGCATAAATCTGAACTCATCCATATGTTTGTAAAAATAAGTGTAATTCGATCATTCTGAGTTTCCTCTCTTCGCTGTGAAATCTACAGAGAATGAAATGAACACGCTCTTGTTGTGTCTACACAGAAAGAAGAAAAAAATAAAACAGTTTTTGGACCAAAAAGAACCGACAGAGAAAAGCTAAAGTGTAAGTGCTGCGTTTGAGTCCTGTCTAAAGAAAGCTGCTCAGTACGATTGAGGAGAGTGGAGTGTGCTACAAAGCCTTCATGAATCTCACTTTACAGACAATCTGGAGACGATTTCCGGAGTGCTTACAGACTAGGACCTCTCTACGACCCTGATTCAGGAAAAATCAGGACGCTGTGGGAAGAGTTATAAATATAGATGGTTTGCAAATCATTCAACCGCTATGTTTCATTTGAAAATATCACATAGAGGACAAATCTGTTCTTGAAACTGGAAGATTTTTGAAGTTTTGAAACAACAAAACTCTGAAGAAGTCGGAGGAACGCGTCTCTACATGGTTGGGTGGAGGAGAGGCTTAATCCCTCTAGAAATAAAGACTCAAAGACGTTCACTACTCTGTGAGAGACTCGGCCGGCAAATGGCGCAGCAATTTCAGAATAATGTTCCTCTGAGTAAAATTGCAAAGACTTTAGAGACGTCATCATCTACAGTTCATGATATTTTCAAAAGATTCAGAGAAACCTTATAGAAAAGGGACAAGGAATAAAATCAGAGCTTGATGGCTATGATTACTCTCAAACGGCACTGCATTAAAACAGAGATGACTCTGGCCTGGTGGTCTATGTATGAAGGGGGGTTGCGAGTCCCAGTCCACTGTCCAGACCTCTCCAAATAAAAGGCTCAAAAACAAACAAAAAACTAAGATGACTTTAAGCTCATTTAAGACGGACTGAGGAAAAGTGGAAGACTCTCCTGGTTCGGAAATGATGGTCACTGGGATCTCTGCGCTAAAGAGGACAGGCCATACGGCTTGTTATGAGCACGCATTTCAAAAACCAGCATCCCTGATGGTATGAGGACGCATGAGTGCCCACTGCCCATGAGGAGCCTACACACCTGGGAGGGCGCCGCATATGCTGATCATTATATACAGGTGTTGGAGCAACATATTCTCCCATCCAGATGATTTCTTTGTAGGGAGGACCAAGTGTTCAGGTAGTACAACAGCATTGCTCTACAGAAGAAGAGGCTGACCCTGAATTTCCTCGGCGTCCGGATCGGCTGCAGTTTTCGCTGTCTGCCAAATCCAACCGGATCCGTTTGTAAGGCGAATTTCATGGCGGATTACGGACAGTGGGAATCAGTGGTGGAAAGAAGCCGGTGGAAATTGACACATTAACCTAAATGGTTATGAGCAGCTACGATTGGTGGATACGGCCTTGTTTTAGCCGTTCAGGTTGCGGTGGAAATTGGGGATGACTGCTCAGCTTTTTCAGTTTCAACGTTTCACAGGTTTTTGCTTTATTTTCAATCAAATTTAGGGTTCGAATGATTTGCAAACATCACTTTCTGCTCTTATCAATAATATCACACAGAGTCCCAGTATTTTCGATTTGGGGTTGTAGATTTCCGGTAACATAAAGATCCATTTATGAAGAGTAGATGAGATGTCGAGAAGAAGCCAGTTCAGTACGAAAAGGTGACCTCTTTGTTCAGGTGCAGGCATGTGCATTAATGCATTACGAAGCTATCACTAGAAAGCAGCGCTATTGCCAAAACGCGCAAGCAATAGATTTCAAAAAGGCAAGTGAATGCAACGTCTTACATCTCTCATGCATTGGATTACATCCCGTTTGTACTGTACATTGGCTGCTACATGGTTTAGGAAGTGTTTTTTCTCTGGCCATAGCAACAGAAAAATAAAAAACTATTATCTACAAGTTGCCCATCTCCACAAAGAAGAGAATTTTTGTCACCTCTGGACTGCATCTGACATCAGTATTCAGTGCTGTGGGAATGTTTTCAATAGTAGATGGTTCACAACAGTTGCACAGACCCTCGATTCAGTGCAGGATTTTTGAAAGTCTTTGTGCTGCTTCTTCTCTGCTGCCTTTTTCTCCGGTTACTACATCACCTCTCCACATTTTGATTAAATGGAATATATGAAAAAATGGGTTTCAAAAGGACACCAATTGAAAAAAGTGACACCAAATCCACTACATTTATAGACAACACAAGATTTTAAAAAATAAAATAAAATACCCCCTTTTTCTTTTTTTTTTTTAACTTATGGACGTTCATGCAGTTTGAAATGGCTGAGGTTTTTGGGAGTTTCCTTTTCCTTGGATTTGAAAGTCTGGGCCTGAGTTGGTCCCAAGTGGTCTGGAAGTGAGCCATGCATGTGCCACTGTCAGCCTCACTGTGTGTTTAGTGCATGTAAACAGAAGACTGTGTTCAGACTTGGATCACTGTCAGAGCACTTGCGGGACAGCTTGTTACAGAGTTATTACTACTGCTGCTCTATGACTATCATTGAAATGGTTTATTACCACTCTGGGCAACGCACTGACATCAGTTTTGATTTTAGGATTGTGGGTCACACGGGAGTTTTATGGCAATATGCAGCCGCAAGTCTTCTGCAACTGTCGGTGTCGAGAACTTATATCAAACACTTAGGTGCTGAATAAATCTCAGGTATATTTTTAGATCAAAGATAGCAGTAAACACACTCAATATGGCCTACACATGCATACCGCTGATGCATGCGCGGGCGTCAATGACACCCGTACACACACGCACTTTGACACACACGCACACGCTGAAGTTTCTTTGCACGACTTTCTCACAAGCTTCAGTCTGTGACACGAGTCCTCTCTTTTTTGGGAAGTTGTTTATTCCGATAATCTCTGCTTCCTCTTCTTCTTCTTCCTCCTCTTCTCTCTTGCCAGAGCGGCCTGTCTCCGTGGCTTACTGCTGGTGTTGCTTCAGGCTGAAAACAAAAACACAGGAAGGAATTTGTTAGTTGTGTTTTTTTTTCCCTCTGTCACAGACGGATCCGACAAGACAGCGCTCTTTAACCACAGGGAACAACGGGCCCACAGGGGGAAGATATTCTGTTTCTGCCATTCCCCCGTCCCCGGGAGGTAATCTCATTTACCTGTAACTCCATGTCGCATGCCAGTCTTAATACAGCGTAGATGGCGAAATAAACAAAGTCCTCATTGGTAATGTATCAAGACAAATGCGCGGAGATGTAACACAGTAGTCCTGCGATGCTTTTATCCTTCTGCTGCATTATAAAGAATTTCCTTTTAGAGGGAATGACAGCGCCACTGTACATGAAGCATTAAGCAATAATCCCCGTTCCACCATCTTCTTATAATTACAGTCGTCTATTACGCCTGCTATCTGGCTGTTCCCCAAATTAAAACAAAGAAGAAAAATAGGAGCATACACCCTCATGTTTAAGGTGCAATAATTACTGTGGATTTGGTCTTTATCTGGAGCCGCTGATTGTTTTTCAAGATGACAGGCGCTGCGGCTGCATTCTGCGGCTTTATCACCGTGAAACAAAGCAACTCCAGAGGCGAAAGTGCCACATTTAATTAAAAAACAAAGAGATAAGTTGGTCTGAAGCTCGTGCAAAGAAACACCCTTCCTAAATGAGTGAGCATTTTTTTTTTGAGGGAAATATATTGGGGGGGGGATTTAAAAGCAGGAAAGCGTTCAGCGATACTGCCTCTGATCTTTACGATGAATGACTGAAACGACAAAACCACATTAGCATTCAGAGTTGGTTTCAGTAATTCAATTGCCTGAATGTCACAACAGAAATCCACACAATAATGCACAAGTAATTCAATACGTCTTTCATCTCAACAGCTTTTTGTGTAATTGTTCCTCTTGTCAGCTTAACTTTGTTTGGTGATACAGCTTTGAAGCGTATTTTGCCTCCGCGTGACCTTATCTCGTCTGCTTTTACCTTTTGTTTGTAGAGACAAACTAAATCCGACAAACATAAAGAGAGAATAAGATGTTTGTCTCCGTTCGTGGCCAGCGGTCTGAGCCTGAAACAAAAGTCGTCCCCGAAATAGCACAACAGATTCCTCTATTTCCATCGCAGTCGTGGTTTAAAACGCTCCTCCAGAGTTTCCTAATAGGAGCATCGCCCGACATACAGACTGAACAGAAAGAGAGAGATAGAGAGAGTGAGAGAGAAAGGGAAAGAGGGAGGAACAAGCACCCTAGCTGTCAGCACCTATCCCGGTAATGGCTGTTAAAGCAGTGGCCTCTACACCCTGTCTGCTCTGTCAGGACTCATCAAGCACTTTGGACTCTCTGAGGAAAAGAAGGACCAGACTCTGGTTGCCTGGAGTCCTCTCTGGGAGGGGACAGGTAGCTACAAGAAGGGAGGGGAGGGGGTAACAGTGAGCGAGAGGTGGGGTAAAATCAGGGTGAGGTATGAAGAGGGGTCAAACAGGAAGAGTGAGAGATAAAGAAGTCTATTTAGCAGTTTGAGCCAAATCATTAGTACACTTTAATGTGTGTCTACAAACGATTGGTTCAGTGACTATCATTCTTGTACCTCAAGGCATAAATATCTGGAACAATGTTGCTTTTTTAAATTACAGAGCTGATTATATTTTCTTATAACCAGGGGCGGCAGTTCAGCTCAGTTTGTAGAGCAGGTGCTCCGTCCATGTAGGACTAACTGGAGCATTTCTCCACCCACTCCCTGTATCTTTTTAGCCTAAATCAAGGCATAACACCCCCCAGAACATCGGAATTTTTTATATTATACTATAATATATTTGGTCTGCAGTCCCTAAGGTGTCCACTTGGGGCTGGATGTAAAAGCCTTAACCCAAATTTCCACAGCATCCGGAACGGCTCCAATCTGGAACGGCGACGATTTTCACCGTCTGCCAATTCCTACCAGATCAGTTTGTGAGGCGAATTTCGTGGCGGATTACGGACAGCAGGAATCTTCGTACGCCCATAGGCTATATCATGTGTCAATCATAGAAAACATGAACCCCCTTATAGCTTTAGAGTCTATGGTTTTAACAAGCCGCTTCCCGCAACAATGCACTGCAATATGCAACAACATTCTGAAGCACCAATATTGCGCCTTTTCAGGGGTGCGTGTACAAGTATCAACGCATTATGATGGCGAACTCTGTTTCAGCTCCGTTGCAGAACGGCAGCGTGTAAGAGGCTCAAGAGTAGAGTCTGTAATGACTCGGTATTTCCAACATGGTGACCAATGTTTGCTAATTTTCCTTTTTACAGTATACAGGATAATAATTGTTGATAAATTTTGATCTCGGCCTCAGTTGGATGCTTCTTATTAAGGTTGTGAAAGGTTAAAAAAAAGGTCTTTAAAGGGCTTACACTGGTCAAAAGTCTCAGTCTTACTCTGGAGAAAGTCTTCAAGTTGTAACAAGATTAAACCAGCGAGTTTTAAGGCATTTGTGCACGACAAATATCCTGTAGTAGAAAAACTCTGTAGTCATCTAGAATAACAATTTTCTGAAAGTCAACAGATCAATAAACTCAATTATAGTTAAGAGTTTTGTAGTGGCTGAATGTGGCGCCTTTCATGAAGCCAAGAGTCTGTATCTGTTGCTTTTAGATGTCGCTTTTTTCCACGAACTTGATCAAAAACATAGATTCTCGCTCTGCCACTTATCCTGCTGTTTTGAAAATGATAGGGCTCCTCTGTTTGGCTCACACTGTACAAAGCATCAAAAGACAGCTTCTTCTCTGCAGTGAGTGTGGGTGAGTGTCACATCGCCAGGCCTGAGAATATAAATGAAATCAGCCCGGAGAACTTCTCCGTTCATTTCGTATTCAATAGGGACGTTTGCAGTGGTGACAAACTAAACTGCTTTTGGACACGACAACCAGCTAAAGCAGTGAAGTCTTCTGACCACTTGAAGTTCCTCTACATCGTGTCACGCTCACCCATTCATACACTGATGGCAGAGGATGCGATATAAAGTACCAATCAAGTATTAACTGATTCCATTTGTTCACATTCACACGGATCTGGCGATGCTACAGGGAGCAGTGTGGGGTTCCAAGGACATAGCAGAGGATGGAGTCGAATCATCAACCTTTTGATTAAAATTCAAGCTGCCCGACCACTGAGCCAAAGCCAACCCACATCATTTACACGCCAACACCGCCATTTGAACTCAGCTTGAACCATCATCAGTGACAGGGTATCAGATTTTTATCCGGTTTGTCTCGTTTGGGGCTACAAACACAACAGAGCAGATTTTCATTTCATGATTATTGTGGCCAAATTTATGATTCATACACATCACATTTCCTAGAGCCATGCTTTTATTTTGAAGGTTGTAACCTCTGCTAGGTTGGAAGTTACCAAACTGAGCTACAAAAGGTCAAAGTGCGTCGTCATTTCTCCGATGGTTGCTACAGCTGGCTGGCTCTCAGCTGCTGCTTCTTCATCTCTTTATAACTGTTTGCCTTATTTTAGCAAAATATCAGTATTTCATTCGTTTAAAAAGGCAGTTATTGTCAATATCTAAAAACGTGTCTTTTAGGCGTGGGACGATATGCTTTTCTCTCGATTCGATTCTTCTACGATTTTTTCGATGCATTTTTTATTTAAATTGCATTTCTACGATATTGTCGATTTTCTCAATTTTTAGTCTGCATTTTTAACAGTGAAACAGTTGAAACAGCATTATGATTGTCGACTGGCTATTCCAGGAACCATTTTCCCCCCAAAATACACACCACATGTAATTCAGTTTTTAAGATTTATTCTTAAATTCGAAAAAAAAGGATTTTTGAAAAATAAAAATCGATTTAAAAACTGTAAAACAAAAAATCGCGATGTTTATGTGAATTGTTTTTTTCTCCCACCCCTAGTATCTATCCATAAACACCAATAGAAGTGTTCAAGTTACAGTGAAAAGAGGACTATCTAGCCGTATCTAGGGATTAGATAATAACCTCTCCAGTAAAGGACAATGATAATGACTCTCTATTTGTCTTCATTTGTCCCCCATTACGGATTCATATCAATACAAATTATGTTGCGCACAAAAGTCACTTTCTTCTTCTTCACCTTCCACTGGGATTGACTGACTGCATCAACGTGTATGACAGGAAGTCAAGCACGAAAACCGTGCATGCCATCCGGTATTTCAAAATAAAACACCATATGCGATTTCCTGACTGCGTATCAGTTCGTGTAGATGAGAAATACTTCCTGATTATGGATTTATTAGTCACACAGAACAATCCGATGGTCAATCCCTGATCCATGTGGACTCTAACAGGACTTTGAACTGCTAACTCTGTCTGAAGGTAACAGCATAAAGGAACATAGTTTACTTTATTAAACACGAGTAAACCTGCAAAAACCCAAACTGTAAAATAACGTTGCTTTTTCACATATAGTAGAGGCTCAACGGTCCCTGAATTATATCCAAATTATCAAGAGACGACCACAGAAAGGAAAAACAATCGGTTGTGAGCATGTCGTTTCCTCCATATTATATTACACACTCATTTGAATGAATGTAATGTTGCTGTTCTGCTTAATGCCTCTAAAAACTACATACTATACCTTTAATTATTGAGCGCCTGTGCCTGTCAAAGCAGGGCCAAGGTGGGATACAGTATGAAGGAAATTGTTGTGCATTACAGCACAAGGTGAGGCAGGGATGTGTTTGAAAATAACAGGTTGTGGTGTGTGAGTGACGGCCTTGTTAATGGAGTAATCCAATAATCCTTCCCAGGGTCACACATGCTGGATACAGGAGGATGAGAGAGCGAGTGTGTGTGTCTGAGAGAGAGAGAGAGAGAGAGAGGATACAGAGATTTTATTTGCCTCTCTGTCAGAGGATAGTGTTGGTGAGGATGCTAAGGTCACCTTGGCACCCTGTTGGCATGTGTGTGTTTGTGTGTGGGCCAGGTAAGCGCAGTCTGTGGTGGTTGCTAGGGGAGCCGTGAGTCATGATTCAGGCATGACCCCCCCCTCCCGCCCTCCCGCCCACTGCCCTGACCTTATTAACAACACAGACAACGATGCTCAGGGCAGGAAGTGTGTGTGTGTGTGTGTGTGTGTGTGTGTTTGTATGTGTGTAAACATAAAATGTGTTTGAGTGAGATTTGGATGGAAGGTGTGAGGGAAGACGAAGAAGTGTGCCTTTGGGGGAGATGAGGAGAGCCTAAGGCCTGAGTTTGCGTGTGTGTAAGTGTGTGTGTGTGTGTGTGTGTGTGTGTATAGTGTGTGTATAATGTGGCAAGAGGAGAGCTCAGCAGCGACAGTCCTGAATTAACCTTCCACCTTGCCTTGGGCGGGGAGAGGATGCAGGCACACATACCAAGATGCTCACACACACACACGCACGCACACACACACACACACACACACACACACACACACACACACGCATGCATGTAGTAAGCCTGCAGTATTAGCAGGTTGAAACATTAACCCTTTGCATTCAGAGTGACTTTTACGCTGTAATCTCTCACACTCCTCTTTGCTCTCTGTGCCTTTGCCTTTTAACCGTGCATTAGTTTGCTCTGCACTTTATATGTGTGTGTGTATGTGTGTGTGTGTGTGTGTGTGTGTCCTCTGTGATACTGATGCTGAATAATTACTAGGGTGAGTAGGCTAAATGGATTGTCCCCGACCTCGCCACCATACCCTTGGGGCTTGCGTAAAAATCCGCATCAACATCACACGCTATGCACATAAACCCACACAGAAGCGGGCCAGGGGTCAGCATTGTGCAACTTAAAAAGCACCCAGAAAGCAAAAGGCTGTGCAACCGTAGTGAGCAATGTGAACATGATGATATTATACGGGTAGTTACAGCCATGCAGCCTCATTGGTTCGGATTACAACTCTGCTGACAGTTCCAATCAAGAAAAGAGCGCTTTACTGGTTGCTTTGTTTTCTCACTCTCGTGGACTCTGAGGGGCTAATTAGTGCCCGTGTCTGTTTTATTCTTATTTTAATTTAATGCATGTATACTTAGACACAAACTTTTCATGCTGCATGAAAGCCACCAGAGCCCAGAGGACATTTCTAATGTGACTGTGAGCTCTTTAACGGCACTTTAACGGTTCAGACTGCTGGGTGTTTCGAAACAGGAACTCCGTTTAACCAGGAAGAGAAGGAGCGATATAATAGAGAGTGACGGATAAACCAGCCCTGATATCACTGATATTAATGTTGATATATTTACAAAAGCTATAGCAGTGCATGAATATTGAAAAAGGCCCAGTGAGGCTCATTTTTGAAGAATTATTCTCCATAGTTGCTTCCGCTGCTAATTCTGTTGATGAAGGTTTTTATGAACCACTCAGCGTTACTCATAACAAACTCTGATAATCAAATCTTAAAGGGATATTCTGGCGTAAAATTAATTTAGGGTCAAACACACCATAACACAGAGTTAGACACCCCCTTAAGAGGTGAATGTTGCCGACCGCTTGCTTCTCTAGTTATACCAACTTTAGTAACGACTGCACTATATCAATACACAGCGGTCTGAGGAGGCATAAACAAACCTCAACCAAAACGCCACTTTATAGCCACAAATAATGCTCAGAACAGCACCTAACTTCATCAACAGTACATATAGGGTCCCAGCCATAAAACTAGTCACCAAACATCTTTGTAGCTTTGCCTGATTTCTTTAGTAAAGAGACTAAATACAACTCACCTACTCTCTTCCAGCAGCCGCTTGTTTGTAGTGAGACCTCAGGCCAGCTCAAGGAAGAACATTTATTATCATTTCTTCATGGAAATGGAATCAGACCGAGACGCTAAGGCAGAAGAACTACCGCGTCTGCAGTGAAAAATGATTAATATGATGATTATTACTTTAAGGAAATGATAAAGTAATGATCATAAATGTTCTTCCTTGAGCTGCGGCACCCCGTTGTAGTCCGTAATGGACTGGCCGGAGGTCTCGCTGCTAGTGGAAGAGAGTAGGTGAGTTGTGTTTAGTCTCTTTGCTAAAGAAATTAGTCAAAGCTAAAAAGATGTTTGGTGGCTAGTACTATGGCTGGGACCCTGTATGTACTGTTGATGAAGTTAGGTGCTGTTCTGAGCATTATTTGTGGCTATAGAGTGGCTTTTTGGTTGAGGTTTGTTTGTGGCTCCTCAGACTGCTGTGTATTGCTATCCTGCGGTTGTTACTAAAGTTGGTATAACTAGAGAAGCAAGCGGTCGGAAATATTCATCTCTCCAGGGGGTGTCTAACTCTGTGTTACGGTGTGTTTGACCCTAAATTAATTTTATGCCGGAATATCCTTTTAAGCTTTTCCTCCTTTTCAATGTTGAATATTCATTTGACAGTTCAGTAAATGATTGTTTGCTGATTAAAAAGGCTCAAAAGCTGCATAAATACAGTGACAGAGGGATCCAAATCTATGTATTAGGGAATGACGGCTCAGTTGGATCACAAAAAAATACCAACCCCGAACAATTTAACTTCCCGACACATCAGCAGATTGTGAAAACTGTAGCTCAACAGCTTTAGAAACGTAGAGAGACAGCTCCAAAACACACAACTGGCACAGATGAATACGCCACAGCTGGACGATGTGAAATATCATCTCCGAGTCAAATTTGTCTGGAAGCTTCAGCCGGACTGATTTAGTTTGTGCATCATGGGATACATATTTCGTTTTGAAAGACCCCAGCGGTGGTGGCCCTTTCTTGCACACGGCTGCTTTTTCATCAATCATCCCTAAAATATGTTTGTAAAAAAACCTGCTCCTCTTTTTTTTCATATATTTAGAAAGCACTTTCAATAATCAAAGCACAGCAATCATTACTCTAAAAGCTGCATCTTTCCAATACAGTCTCCATGTGATCCACTCTGCATAAACAAAGCCAAATCATCCTAAAACCAGATTACTATCTGTTAGAGCACTGATGCAGAGTTATTGACCGCTGAATCGACCTAAATCCTACACTACTGCTCCTCTTATCATCAGACTTGACTGAAAAACATTACTCTTAGTTTTTGCTGCAACCCCGCATCAAGATTTAGCAGCAATGTGAACTCAATTTCCAACCATGATGTTCAAGGTCCCCGTAATGAAAACAAATTTTCCGTCTTTTCCATTATAGACTTGAGTCATCTTCCGGCCCAGCAGCCTGTTTCTGCTCTTAATAGAAAATCAACACAAATATCTGTGTTGTGTTCCAGCACCAGAGGACCAAAGTTGATTTGTTGCAAATCACTTCAACCATGAGGGCCAAGCACATAAAGTTATTTACAAAAGGAGTTAAAGGTGGGGTAGTCAGGATCTGAGGAAGCGCCAGTTTTTGGGAGAAATCTTGAATGTAAACTCTACCCCTCCCAATCAGTTTTCCCCTCAGCTCCTCCTCTCCCCTCCCTCTCTGCTCCAGCAAGCCCCGCCCACAAACAGACGCTCCTGCTCGCTGATATTGTTCCAATTAAATTCAGATATAATGCAGATAAATACTTCAGATCATTACAAATGGGGCCCAGTCAAGGTGAAAGTCAAAAGCATTGGTGCTACTGTAGATGCCAACAGACTACCAGCAAACACAATGTTTGCAGGACTTCTACAACTAGGATAAAGTGACATAGTCCAGGACCCGAGGGAGGACAGTTTAGCATTTACTTTGTTAAAGCAGTTTACCTGTCCAGCAGAAAGGTTAAAGGGTTACCAAGATCCCAAAGTTGACTCGACTTCTTGGCTCTTGTCCGGTCTACCTCTTTGTCCGTTATTTGGCCAGAGTCTCTGGTATTTACTTTCTTTTCTTGCTTGTGTCGGCAGTCGTGGCCAAAGGAGGATTCAGACAATTTTCCGAACTTTCTGGTTGGTTTCTACTGTCCGATATTGTAGCACGCTAACTTTGTTTAGACTTGTGAATGACATGGGGGAGTAGCTTCTGCCTCACAACCAATCAGGTATTTTGAAACAGCAGGCTGCTCAAAAAATGTTAAATGTTGACTACACAGACATAACAAAACACAGCGATATCGTTATATTCCCGAACGTCATCAATAACTATAGTTATTGACTGATATTAAAAGCTTTTTTGTATAAACATCACAAAAAAAGATGCTTCTTTAACTGAATCCTGCCTACCCCACCTTTAAAGTTCGACAATCACTCAGTTTTAAATTCACAACTCAGAGACATGCTGTTGTATCAGCTGGTGCAACAGTTACCTCCTCCTGTTCTGGGTCAGATTCTGGCGGATTTGTGTCGTTTACTGGTGTGGGAGTGTTTGCTGTGTTTGTCCCGGTGTTTTTCTACCTCTGCATCTTGTCTGCATTGATTTTTAAACAGCACAGCGCCTCATTATCGCAGCATCCCTGCCCACTCGGATCACTGCATGTACAATTACAAACTGAGAGGCTGCAGATCTTCTACGGAGGCTGAATTAGTGATGCTTCTGCAGCTGAATTTACAAACTTGCTCAACAGACAACCGGGGCGTGTTGTAAACAACTAAACCCACAATCATATGGGACCTTTAAAAATGTGCATTTCTCTAATTAATATGCATTAAGAACTGCAGAGTCTGCTCCACATAGACCACAGTTTAACTAAAATCCATTACACCTCTGGCTATGTCCCCACATTGCACATTAAGTAGTTGGTGTATTGCACTGTTGCCGGCTTCCATGGAAACATAACCATGTGAAAAAGTAACAGGAATATAACAAGGTAGAAAAACCCTCATTAAATAGTCTGTGTCTCCACCGGTGCATTTACCTTCCCAAAAGAGAGAGAGATATTTAAAGTTTGACGACTCCTGATTCCAGCCTCGACATGAGGATGGTTGTCTAGTTTACCCTCTCTCTACATATATATATTTATAGGTCTTGAAAGAAGATTAAAAATTACTGTATGAAGGCAGGCGTACAGTTACCGCTGGGAACAGCCTGCCTTCATCAGAACGCCTGCCAGATTTTACAGCTGTAGGGTCAGAGTAACCGATCGGCCTTATGTTCATTTTTGATTTTTACTTTTTTTCCAAAATCAGCCATTATTTCAAAAGAGTTCCTGAGTCCAACACGGGGATTTCAAGTTTCTCTTACTGGTTCAGCTTTTTCCGCTGCCCACTTGTGTCCCTGTCTGTTCGCCAGTGAAGTTGGCTTTAATTATCACACTGTGTAAACTCAAATGTTCTGCCAGGTTTCGATAGTTGTATCTCTTCTGTTATCACCCTGTACAGGTCCAATTACAGCAGCAGCCAGACCGGAGCGCCTGTGTGGAGTCTGCAGCGTTTCGAATGACCTGCAGCTGACCGTGCATGGAGCAGATGCATGCTGCAGATAGGGAGAGCTGGCAGAGAGGTACGTCCAACTGTTTAAAGAATGGAGAAATCTGTTGTTGTTGTTTTTTTTCATCATGACACATTCCTAACGCCAAACATCACACACACTCATACACACAAATGCAGATACACATTCCTACTTCTCATGGATGTTTCTGCGGTGAGAGTTAATCCCCCAGCCGCTGTCAGCCGTGCTTTCGTCTCCTCCAAAAAAGCTCCTTACACAAGCCAAAGCTCATCCTGAGTGTGAAAGAAGACGCACACAACCCGCAGAAAGGCGTACACATAAATAGATACACACACTCTCTCCAAGTTGGGGTTGAAGATCTCACGTCACTTAAGCAAAGCCTTGTCCGCCCCGCAAACAGCCCAGAGATATGAAGGGAACAACCCATAAGTACTCACACACATATCTACATGTACAAGTACACACAAACGCACGGCTGTAATATATGAAATAAATCTGTGCAGCTGAGCACTCCAGAATCAGACAGCTTGTTCTTTAAGGAAGCAGATTAAAAAGAAACTGCTCTTCAAAAACAAAGCAACGCTGACATGCACGGTCTTCGTCGCCGTGTCCTTATGTCCTCTTCCTCACAGCCTGTCTGTGTCTGCGCTCATATTTGTGTAGCAGCCTTGGTGTGCATGTGTATGTCAGCAGAAAAGTGACACTTTACACACTTTGCAGCGCAATAAAGCGTGACAGCCGCATTATTTGCTATCATATCATATCCGTACTCCTCTGATTTCAAGGCTAAAATGTGATGCGCACTGATGCAGGGACGGGTGGGCTGTGCGTATGTTAGTGAGAGAGAGAGAGAGACTTTGCCTAAAGCGGTCTGTAACACACTTTTCTGTACTGGTATTGTGTTTCACCTGAGCGAGTGGGTGAAGGCAGGGGAAGTGAGGTCGATGAGGTGGAACCTTCGGCCATGTTCTATGTTTCCCAGAGGATCGATGCAGTGGTACAGCGGTGCAACAGAGCTGGCAGGACTCATTTCCAGTACCAGTGTTCACTCTCATGGACTTAAAAGAATTCAGCACGCGTGCCTGCAGTAAGTCTGCGAGGGCTCAGGGCTGTCGCACTGTGAAATCACTCGTGCTTTGAGGGCTCTCTCATGGACTTTTTCACACTTTATGCACACTGCCTGCAATCCAGCAAATGCTGCTGAAGGGAATTACACACGATCCATAGCATTAGAGCGCAGGAAATAGAAATAAGAGATTTCCAACTGTACTTGGGCTATTCTGGGATCCTGCTCTGCTCTTAAAACCACAGAGAGCTGCATGTTTTTAAGTGTCTCAGATCATTAGCTACTGATGTGTTTCAGTCTCAAATGTCAAGTTAAAAGGGCAGATATTTGATGATCCCGTTTAACCGTTTGTCACTGATGAAAACTGCAGAAATAATTGGAAATTTAATTATCATGTTACTCCAGAACTATTTGTGCGACCAATCCTGATCTAAAATGTACATTTAATGTTTAATTTTCTGTTTTCTGTTAAGTGGGGGAGTCCAATGTGATATTTGTTTTAGGCACAAGATGCATGAATATTTGGGCTTCATTTAAAGTAACTCTAGACCTATAAAATATTTCCTCTCAGTCACTGCTTGTTGCTTAAATTTAGGATTTAAACTTTGACAAAATACTGGAAAAAACAAAACATTTTCAAACAACATTTGGCGACTAAACGAACCAATTTTCCTTTATATTTTTAAGTTAACCGGCTTGTTTCATTATGTTTACTTCTGTATATTTCACTGGCTCTTAGGGCTGGGTGATAAACCCAAAATTTACAGATACAGAAATTTACATCGATAACCAACGTCATTTTGCACATGTCGATATCTCAGGTGTCAAAAAATAAATAAATCAAAGTTGGTTTTGGATGTGTGTAGGTAGGCTGTGGTCTCATGTCCCTTTAAGACGCTGTCCTACGTCAGAGACGTGACTCCGCCCCATCCAGTCCGTAACAAAGAGGGAAAGACAGGTGAGGAGATGGAGTAGACGAAGTTAATGTGGGAGGGGGTGAGCAGCTTGTGGAGTAGTTATCATCCATTTATCGTTATCGAGGTGAACTGATCGATATATCTAGTATTGATTCGAGGCCATATATCGCCCAGCCCTAACTTTGACACAGTACTGGTAAAAATAAAACAACATTTCCAAACAACATCTGGCGACTAAACAAACCACAGGGTGCCCATGATTGGGTAATTTTCATTTCTGGTTTAACTGCCACACTTGTTATATTTGGTTAGAAATATATCCATAGATAATTACTATCATAAGCTTTGGTCCTGTGAGAATAAGGGAGTCTGTAATCTTTTAAAGCATGATGTTTTGAAGTACCAAAAGTTTTAACCCGCCTCAGTTGTGGTGTCCTCTATCTGCTCTTCTGGACTTTTTATTATCTTGCTGTGTTTGGGACAATCCCTGGGAGTTAATTTTAAGGCAGTGGTGTGGAGCTCACAGTAAACAGTCCAAACAAACATGCGAACAGGTGACACTGCTGTCCCCAGACTCTGCTTTTTCTCTCTGCCTGACACTATAAGGTATATAGTGCGCCTGTGAATGAGACCGACCTGCTGTGTTGTGGTAGAGTGTGACAGAGAGTAAACACACAGACACACACAGACACACAAACAAAACCCAGCAGAGCAGAATTTTTCTCCTTTAACCTTCATCCTTGTGAAACATTAAGAAAACAGCTCTGTGTTTCTTCGGTTCGCCTCTGTGTTGTTTGCTTTTGCTTTGTGTTGAAACCTGATTGTGGCTCATTCTTTTAAAACTATATTCTTCATAATGCTGTATTATGTCAAACTGACACAGAGAGAGTATCATAGAGTTCACGTGTTATTTATCTGAAAAACAGAGTTGTTTCCAGGACTGAAGACCCGGCTGTAACCCTGTAATCCTGTCTGATAAGGTATATGAGATACTTTGTTTCCTCCTATCCAGGATCCAGTAATCAGTACATCTCATGTAAATCTCCCCGCAGCTCGTCTGTGTCTCGTCTGCCCTCTTTCCGTCGATGCCTTGTCAATCCATCCTCCCCATCTAGAAAGTCGTAACGCCCTGCAGCTGTCAATGTTCTCTCCATATCCGCCTCTTATCTCTCTGACTCCACCTTTCACTTCAATTTACGCAGATTTTTGCAGAAATTTGGTTTCACCTTCACCTCTCTGGCTCTGGTACATCCTGTTTCTGTCCGTATTAGTGCTTTTCTCCATGTCCATCCGTCTCCTTTTATCAATTCGGTCCCAGTCTCTTGCCATCTCTCTGCCCTTTTTTTTTATTTCTTCTACTCCTGCCTCTAACATGATGTGTCTTTCTGTCCCTCTGCATCTCTCTCCTCATCTGTCTCTCTGTGTTTGTGGTGCATAACTGTCTCTCTTGCGTCTATCAGTCTCGCCTGCTCTTCTTTTCTCTCCCTCATAAACATGACTCTTTCAGTGTGTCTGCCTTCTTTTCCGCTTGGCGACAGTAAAACTGACAAAAGGAGAGTTATGGTCCACCATTTGCCCAACAATTTAAAGCACGTTTAAACAGATATACATCTCTACAATCACACTTTTAAGGGGTTTAGCTGACGCTCTCAACTAGGCAGGTTCAGAGTGGCCAAAAAGCTGTATTCGGTATTCAATATCTTGCTAAGTAATGGACGTCGCCTTCTGCAGACATTAACCTTTAGAGCTAGAAAGAGAGTTTCAGTCTCCTTTAAAAACACTGAAAAACTTTTTCTCTCCTGCTCAACAACTGCTTTTTTTCCCCCAATAACGCTAAACAAACCTGCAAATCATCTGTTAAGAAGGAGAAAGCACCATCACTTATTTTAGGTCGTACATCAATTAAAGCTACTGTAATGAATTGTTAAATTGTGTTGATTTTGGCGCCCCCTTGCATTGTATCTTGTTCCCTACATTCTTAAGTAGTGTCGTCTGACAAAAATCTTCTCCTGCTGACTTTTGAGAGTCAAATATACCGTGTACTGTGAATATTAGTGCTTCCCCTAGAATTTTTTTCAGCTGTGGCACACAAAAACAAGGGTGTCGTTGGAATTTTCAGTGCTGAAAGATAACCAACAGGCGGCACAGTGGTGTAGATAGGTTGTACAGTGGTGTAGTGGTTAGCACTGTCGCCTCACAGCAAGAAGGTCCTGGGTTTGAATCCCGGTCAGGGCATTTCTTGTTTTAGGAACATTATGAACAGTGAACATACCAGTTTAAACACAAATAAAAGTTCATAAAAGACACGTAACAGTAAAAGTTTTGGTGTGAATCACAATATAAGGGGGGACATGAGCTGTTTGGCGGAGGTCTGCGCTCTTCGAGTGCTTTTCTAGTTTACTATTGTCATCATTTTCATTTTATTACTTGTACTAATTTATCTCTGGCTGTTCTTACAAGTTATATTTAAAGTTTTGTTGGTTTAATAAATACTCCGTTTTGAAATCATGAATAATCGTTTTTGCGCAGTAAAAAGGAAGTGACGTTGTTGTTGCTGCTATGTGGGATTCTGATTGGCTAACGTGGGCTTGAGTTTCTCGCTCCACTGTAACCTACATGTTTGATATGGTCTTAACGGCATATATACACGGGTTAGTGTAAATGAAAACTTTTCTAAAAACGTAGTGGTGTGCACGCATTTTTTTTTGTTTACGGAGAGGGTTAAATGTGTAAATGTTGTCTAAATCTGCCATCATGGAGCAGCCTCTGTGAGATTTGACTATTTTCTTTTTTTCTGGCTCATCCTTTTTCAGTCCAACTTCAGTTTCCACCTCTCAACCTCCAGCAATTTAGGGAGATAAGCTTAAAAAATGTTCAGCTCCTTCAGTTAATGTGCGACAAATTATGCATACAGCAATATATCACTGTCCTGATGCGTGCAATACAATTATATCACCTGCACCAAATATCAATATTTTCATTTAAAAATGATACAGCGCGCTGAACAGACTTTCCTTTCAGTTTAACTAAACATAGCAGCGCTTCATGACTCCTCGCGGTGACTCTAAGTGTTATTAATTCACCTCTGAGAGCACTTTGTATTCATCAGATATCATGATGTTTCATTATACAAGCAGTCCCTAAAGTTTCCCTGTTATTCCACCTTAGAGGGGGGAAATTTAGCACCCACCTTCTCTCCAAATGAACAAAATAGTGACTGAAAAGGCCGAGTTTAACTTCATCTGTGTCCCAATCCAGGGGCTAAAGCCTTTGGAGGTCTAAACAACTAACTAAGAAAAGAAAAGATAATTTCAAATGTCAGTGCATCAGTCGAAGTCAAAACCCAATACCATCTTTTAAGTGTCTCGTGCACAAAGAATCAAACTGGTATAAGTGGAGCTGTCAAGGATGCACCTGATGCAGCCGTCAAGGACAGGGAAAAGTAGGACACATTAGTCGGCTGCATTTGAAGGAACCTTGAAATGAGACAGCCTTCGATGCGCCGCCGTGACGCATTCAGTCTTTAAATGTGGACTTCGAAGGCTGCCGTCCTTGGATTAGGACGCGTCTTTATTTCAAATGCTATAATTAATTAAAGCATCCGTTAATTCGTGGCGTTTACAACCTGACTGTAACACCAATAACAGCAAGTCTTCCTTTTAGATCATTTAAACCATTGCATTACATCCTAACTGTATTATTTAAAGGTACATCCGTCACCTCCGAGGTGTTTGACTCATCCTGCATAGTTAACTGTATCCAGATATTATGAACTTCTGTGCTATCGTGTGTGGTTTTGTGTGTGGTTTCTTGCATTGGGCAACTCTGCATGCAACTTTGTGTGCAGCTATGAGAGCTTTGTTGCTCCCTGATGCAGAATTCATGAAGTGATACGCCTGCTGATTGTATTCATCAAGTTTTCAGTAATGTGGCTGGGGTGCAGTGTCTTCAATTAGTTTAGTATCTTACTTTAAGCTGCCAGATTTTTCAGTCATGAAATACTCGCTGGTCTTTTCTTATCTCCTTTCATATTCACCGTGAAACCAAGAACAAGATAGGCTTTGTTAAAATGTCTTGATCTTATTTTAAGTTGCCGGTCTGAATGTGCAGCTTGTTTACAAGATACAAACTTGACTTCTGTACAAGTGCTTCCTTAACACATCAGGAACCACCTACCACATCTCCCTGACATCGTTTTTATAATGAGGAACGTTCGGATTTCAAATGCTGCGTTCCAGTTACCTCGGAAGTCAGATGTCTATTTACCATTTATATCTTATGGTTATTGAAAAGTGTTACTTAAGTCTATAACAGCTCCCCAAACCAGATGAAATCAACCAAAAACAAGTGAGAATTTTCCAAAAGTTGAACTTATTTTGGAAAAGTCAAGTCTTGTCTTCATATTTGTGCAAAGATCTGCTTTGTATCAGAGTCATGACAAGGTCGGTACCGGCCAGTCTGTCACCAATTGGGCTCAATTTTCTTCTTCATAATCAAACTTAGAACTGGATGTCTCGTTATGATTTAGTTTGTACATCAAGAGTCTTGAAATGTGGGTAAAAATCTGATGATAATAACTGACGTCCATATATGTAACATGAATTCTCTGTAGCAAACACACCGACCAAAATTAACTTGGAAAATCTTGTTCATTTGTTTGTCTCACCTCCCTCCCTCTCTGCCATTCTCAGCCTTGTTACTGCTGTTGTTTTTCTCACTTACACCCACCACCCACAAGTCCAAGACTTAACTTGTTTGTAGAAGTTTCGGTATGAGCAGCAGAGACGAGCTGAGCCCCAGGGTGAGTAAATACAGACTTGTCAGCTGAGGGGCCCAACCTCTTTAAAAAAACCAATAGGAAAGAAGAAGCATCCGCTACAACCAAATTTTATCCTTGAGAAGTCTTTAATCTGACAAATGCTCCACATATAACACACCTAATTTCCATCACCGTGCTTTAAATAGAAGGAGACCCATACATGAATACATGCACCAAACACAGCTTATGGCCATGCTCGAAGCTATCTCATGTGAAATGCATGAAATATAACCGGTCCATAGCACGCTCTCTTTCCTGCTGGTGGGAATAATTTCCTTCCCACCAGCTGTGATTGCTTTTTCTGGAAAAGAAGTCCTGAAAATGACGGCCTCATTGTGGGATGGCGGTCTTTTTTAATAAAATCACCTTCTTTCCATTGTGTTTCCTCATTCTGCTCCACGTCTCACTAAATGGCTCATATCAGCGACTGAAAGGACTTCCATTCAAGTGAGAGTGTGCTGCACCGTCACGTCCATCAGATATTTCAAATGTAAGGCTTCAGCACGATGAACACAGCGAAATACAAAGATGAATTTAACGTCTGTCTTTTAGGTTTTTCTTGAAGGTGTCATCCTGATAAAAAAATTGACATGATTCTCACAAGTCCTGTGCATGGTGTTACATTGCACCCCGCCACAGTGAAGCATATAACTGGTTGTCAACATGCCAGACTAATGTTGCGTCCCAGTTATCTCAGAAGTCGGTTGTCGGAGCTGGGAATGACACTACACCTGAGGTGACGGTTTACCACTTATATACCACTTTTTTAAATTCACAAAAACAAAACAGAAGTGCTAATAAGTTTTACGCTACGAGAGCTTTCACTGTTACTCTTTACTGTTGATGCACTGCGCTCATAAGGACCTGAGTCTTCCACGGTGTTTACTGACCTACAATCAGTTACCACCTATTTAGATAGCTGTGGTTATCTTCTTGAGTTTAGTTCCATCTCCGCCAGCCTGTGTTTCCCTGTTGCCCCCCTGACACCAGTTGGATTAGCTGCACCTGTATGCTTTGCATCATGGTGGCAGAAAGGGCAGGGAGGTGCAGTAGGGCTGTCCTGATATGATAATAATATTGGATATCAGTCCGATATCAGCCAAAAAACAAATTTCGGATTATATCGGCCTGCATCTAAAATCTTCGATATCAGCTCTCCGATACAAGCCGTACATCGTGATGTCGGCTGTTTGGCAGTATTTTCGTTAAAGTCCGAAAAAGACACAGCAGCTGAGTGATCGGATCAATATCAGTATCGGCCTATACTGAAGGCTACAATATTGGTATCGTATCAGAAGTAAAAAGTTGTATCGGGACACCCCTAAGATGCAGCCATGGCTTAACTGGAGTGACAAAATAGCACATGATTAGAAATATGGGCAGATCTTTATCTCATCTTAATTGATTTATTAATGCTGATTTGTTCCTTCATCTTAATTTGTTGAATCCAGTTTCAGTAAACAAAGATTTATTTACATTTTGAAGAGAGCTTGACAATCTCCGTCATGTCACCAAGTGTGCAATGAACTCTGGGTAAGTCTGACGGTGAAATGTGCAGAAATGCATACTGAGTGTTACTTGGCATTGAAGAGTGCGTAACAGAGAGCTCATGGACTTGATGATGTGACAGTCCTAAATACTCCCACACTCACTGGGAACTAGCCTTGAAGTCTGTGAATCTATGAGCGCACAGTTTTGGATTGGGTAAATGCATACAAATGTATTCAGATCTCAGTTTGCACAAAACTTCCACAAAGACTAACTTGACTTGATGTGGCGGGACGGATTCAGATCACATGCATCACCTTTACAGTGAAAAGAGGAAAAGGAAAAAGTTTGGATATATTTGCATGTTCGGATGATTGCATGCAGAATCAAATCAGAGAGCACAGTTTCAGACTGTCTCCCCTGTGGATTAATAGTTTAACCTTTAATTGTACAAGTAAAAACTTCTTCGTTTCGTTGAGAAGGAAATGGAAGAGGACGCCTTGTAACTCTACTCTCACTCCTTCAAACAGCTGGCAAGTTTCAGCGCGAAGTCAGCGTACTTGTGGGATTATTTTTTGTCTCTGACTCTGGTAAAGCTTCGCTCCAGAAACAAATAAGAAGATCTTGTACTCACTTGTTCTGGTGCTTGGAGCCCTGGAGGTGTGCATGGTACTGCTCGATGGAGTTGAGGACCACACTGCAGACACTGCAAGAGTAACTACTGCGCAAACCTGCAGAGAAACAAACCCACAGCCACACAGGTACAGCAGTTACTGGGAGGGCTCTCGCAATAAGTATGGGTTGTAAAAGATCTTTAACGCCAGTATCATCATTCTCATCTGAATCATCTGCAGCGGCGGCGGCGGCGGCGGTGGGGCCAACGCGAGCAACAATAAAACCTGAGTCGACACCAAATAACTGTCTTATTTTTACACTCTGCAGTGCCGGATAATTTTCCTAATTAGAGTGCATCTGGAGAAAGATTTGATTATACCGTTCATTAGCAGAAAGCCGGTTGCGTTTTTAGATCCTCAGATCACTGCCTCTTTTCTTTCCTTTTGAAACTTGAACTCCAACAGGGTGAGAGAGAGAGAGAGAGAACAAGGTTGTGTGTGCATGTGCAGGACTGTGTGCGGCTGTGCGTGCGTGCATGCACATTTGTATTGTATCGGTGAATGCGTGCTTGAAATAGCGTGCCTCAGACACAGATGTGAACTAATTAGAGGGTTTGCAGGTGGTCGAGATGAACACCCAAAAATAGATGGATGAGGATGAAGATGTGCGGATAGTGAAGGAGAAAGCAGAGAGACTGAACGAGGGAAATTTCCTGTGGAAAACAAAACGTGTCTGAAAGGGAGAAGCAGAGAAGTTGGAGACATTGGTAAAGATAATGAGTTCTCGCGCTGTACGAGGGGTGTAAAAGGCATGCTGGCGTTTAATAGCCATGGGAGAAACATGACATGGGCATCGCTTTTACGTGTGTGGTTACTACCGCGCCACAGCAGCACTGATTTTTAAACCCTCTTTCTTTCAGGAGGGCAGAGGAAGCGGAGGAAAGGCTCTCTGTGTCGGTGAAGATGGGGGCAATCAGCAGCATGACATGATTGGCTGCGTATTCTCCATCAGAGATGCGATGGAGTGCTATTTTTGTTGTCTCCCGTTCTGCACACTGCAGAGCCGTCTCTGCAGAAGTGTGCTCGGATCAGAGATAAGGAACCTTGACGCTTCAGGGCTGTGTGACGAGACAAGTCGAGGAAAAAAACGCTCGAAGCCATTTCCCCTCCAAAAGCCTGTCCGTACAGCCGCTCTTTCTGTCTGCTTTTTATCATTTTTATCCTTTAAGTGATGAAGTCTGGGTGTGGTACCTGCTCTCAGGTGTGTGTGTGTGGGAGGCTCTGCTCCCTCCTGTCATTACTGTCCTTGAGATTTATGAGTTGCCTCTGTATTCCATCACCTTTTGACCTTCTGTGGCGGTAATTGGAGAAGTGTGTTGGGAGATGAAGTTGTAATACAGTTAGAGGAAATGGTGGGAGGTCATTTATAGCGAGCTAGAGCCGCATAATGTGGCAGATCGACTCCCTGTTGTCTGCGCCGGTTTCAGGGGTGATTAAGGACAAGCAGTCATTTACAAAAAGTGCCTCGGCTGAATTAGTCGCCCGGAGTAAGCACTGTTTTGTCGTAAATGTTGATATTTTGCATCTATTAGGAGCTGCGTGTGCAGAAGGGAAGGAAGAAAAAAAAAGCGAGATAATACATTCAGTCTCCTAAAATGTCATTACTTCTGTCCTCTCTAAATGAAAAGGCCATTAATTGAGAAAGAGATAATTTGGAAAGAAAGGAAAGATAAGTCTCTCATTCTTCTTCCTCCTGTAATTCTACACTGCTGCGAGGATTACACAAAGAGGTCCTTTCTTGTATACACGATTAAGTGAGGTTTATGTGCATGTGCGTCTGTGCACGCTCACAAAGGCAGCCCTCTTGCTTTTAGCCTGATTGAAACCACCTCCTCGCCGCCTGGACGAGCCGCACTGGCGCGCAATATGCTGCAGTTTGTGCCCGTGCCAGGAAAACGTGCACGTGTGCCAATCTCTTCGGTACACACAGTTAAAAAAACATGCAAACACAAGGCCACATGCACTGACACAGTTTTTAGGTTGGTAAAGCAGCTCTAGCAGAAGACATCATTGTGCCCTAATCCATGGTAATTACATGCAGGGGAAGTGTGTGTGCGCTACAGTGCGAGTGACAGAATGCGGCGCGTATTTGTGAGGGTGTTCTAAGCCTTGTTAATTACACACCAAGATATGCCAGGGAGAGAGAAAAGAGGGGGAGAGATGAGCCCAGGCAGTGGGTGTGGAGCTGTTTGTGGCCGTCCTTTAAGATTCTTCTGGCATTTCAGGGCCCCCCGGAGGAGACGCCTAAATGCTTGTCAAAAAAAAAAAAGTAATGAGCTGCATTCTGTGCGTGTTCTCCGCGAGAGCCTTGTTGTGGAGATATTCAACATGATATATTTGAGCTTAGTCTGAGCGCAGAAAACATTTATGACCCATTTGGAGCGTGACGCTTGTGGCTCGCTCCATTACAACAGCCTGCCAAGCTCTAACTGCTGCTTCCTTTATTTGTGACTCTCCGGAGGGTTTCAGGTAGTGGTCAGCGCCGAGGATCACGGAATCTAATAGAACCAGAACTATGCTGGTTAAATGGCGGGATGAAGTGTATCATGGTAACGGTTTATATCACGGTGTGTTTTTTTTCCCCCTGTAAATTTAATTAATGCATAGCTGCCTCTGTGCCTAAATCTAACCAACCACAGAAGGTACCCCACAATATAAACCAATCAGAAGCAGCATAAGCGTGTCTTGGTGTCTCTATCTTTCATACACAACAGAGCCGACATTTAAAACCCACTTGACTTAATGTAATATTGACAAATAAATGTGTTTTGTCAAAATTCTTGTTACAATTTTCATTTCTAATTTCTGGTTTATGAAGACGAGCATTAGGGAGAGCAGCTGGCATGGAGGTGAGGCCATCAGTCTGAAGGTATAAATCGACGCTAAAGTCTCCCGCTTGTCATTTTCTGAAACTTGGCAGCCCTGTAATGTCTTAAAAATAACCGTTCTGTCATATTTGTTTATTTTCCTTTTATTTTCAAACTCAGATTTGTTTACAAAATGCAAAAAACAAGTCAGACCAGTCTGGCGATTATTTTTATCATATGGCATACCTTTGGCGAAAGACTCCGCCGAGCTCTTTAGTCTGAGAGGAGCTGCTGCAGTTTTAGTTTTTGGTGCAGCAGGTGCGTCACGCATCTTTTGGCGATCACAATAGAGCTTGATGTGTTTCATCTTTAGGTGGTGGAGGAGGTTGTTGGTGTTTCCTCTTCCAGCGACGTCAGCCACGTGACACTCTTTGCATAGTTTTGTTTTTTGATCATTGTCGGATTTTTTAAATCCGAAGAATCTCAAGACAACCGATGTCGCGACATGCGCCCTTTTTGGGGGACGAGTTCAGTGTCACCAGCTCCTCAGTAAGGAAAGTTGGCAGTGGCTGTCGTAAAAGTCACCAGAAGTCGCTAGATGACGTCATCACCTAATCTGTATAACTTCTCCGTCACTTCTCCACCCCCAAGAGGAGAAGGAAGAGGAGTCTTCCACGGGGTGTCTGTGTGTCTGTGTTTTTGATGCACACTGGCCACCTGTTGAGAAGGGTAACATCTGTTCTTGTGTTTATGTTGGAGTCTCTAAACTCCAGAAAAAGTCTCTAGATTTGTTGCTAGGCGCTTTTTTGGAAATAAGTTGCTCGGGGGGTCACATGACACTGTTTGCATAGTATTGTTTTTTGATCGGAATGAGTTCCTCCTCCTCTTCCTCATGTTGGGTGGGTCGGCTGCCTCCGTTTGTTCAGTACTGCCACTAATCTCCGCGTCTGCCATGACCACCACCAGTGAAGCTGTTTCTTCTTCGTTGAAACTAGGCCAAGCAGTCTGCTGGACACGCTGGTGATTAAAGGGAGTGCACCCAAACCTCACCAATCAAATGGAGCGAACAAACTCGGCACGACACACTGGTAAATATTCGTAAATGCACCCAAACTGATGCGCTCCGGCTTTCCTGTTATCGAGTGCAGACAACTACACACTAACTCGGAGAGACACAGCAGACATCCAGTCTTTCTCTCTCTCTGCGGTATGAACTGTAAAAAAAAAATTCTACCGGTAGACACTTCTATACCGTCACACGATATATATACCGCGGGATGTTTTCCGTACAACTACCTCTGAACATCAAGTTACATAAAATGTTTGCGTTTCCTCCTTTTTTGTCATCCTCCTCCTCCTCCTCCTCTGGGACCACATCCCTAGAATCTCACTGTAAGGTATTCATGGGTAATTTCATTCGCCGTAGTGGCCGGATAACAGTTAGAGCTCTCACTACCCCAGAGCCTTTGTGCTGCGCTGCACTGTAGGTTTACCATGATTAAAAAGGAACTGGATCCAAAAAAGAAGCCCACTGAGATGCAATCAAAACCAACAGTCTGCAGCAAAGGCCTGACAGTACGTCTCGCTGGAATATATCACAAATACTGGAACAGAGAGGGGCTGTGCTTTGGGTGAAAGACAGATGAATCCTGGTGGAGTTTTAGGAAATAAGAATACTGATATGGAGACTAATTAGTTTTGCAGCAATCATGACACAAAAAAGTACAAAGAGTGCACCATCTGTTTTCGACTATAACTTTGAAGAAAAAGTTGGTGCGACTGACAAAAGGCCAGATAAAGTTTGATTTCAGCATGTAAATAATCCTCAATGTTACGCAGTTGATACAAACCTTTCCAAAAACATAACATTACCGTGTTTATCTCTTTTTTGTTTGTTTGTTTGAATCGGAGAACCTGACCACATGTTGGCAAAAGCTCCTAAATATGATAACAATAATGTAGAATCCCTGAGACTGAGCTAATATCATCCCTCCTCGGAGAATAAAACAGGTTAACACCAGACTCTTAATATTGTACTTATCGGATGTAAAATAATCATGCTTGTCATATTTTGAATGGTGTTTCTTTCCCTGTACCTTTCTGTTTACTACCTGCAGGGCTGTAGCTGAAATATTCTGTCACATACACTGCAAGAATCAATCAGTTCAAGGGATATTCCAGCATAAAACTAAGCTAGGGTCAAATACACAGTAACACCAAGTTAGACACCCCCTACAGAGATGAATGTTGCCGACCGCTTGCTTCTCTAGTTAAACCAACTTTAGTAATGACCGCACGATAGCAATACACAGCGGTCTGAGGAGCCATAAACAAACCTCAACCAAAACGCCACTCTATAGCCACAAATAATGTTCAGAACAGCACCTAACTTCATCAACAGGACATATAGGGTCACAGCCATAGTACTAGCCACCAAACATCTTTTTAACTTTGACTAATTTCTTTAGCAAAGAGAACAAACACAACTCACCTACTCTTTTCCAGCAGCCGCTTGTTTGTAGCGAGACCCCAGGCGAGTCTCGGTCTGATTGCATTTCCATGAAGAAATGATCATAAATGTTCTTCCTTGAGCTGTGTCACCCCGCTGTAGTCTGTAATGGACTGGCCTGAGGTCTCGCTACAAACAAGCGGCTGCTGGAAGAGAGTAGGTGAGTTGTGTTAAGTCTTGTTTGACCCTAGCTTATTTCTATGCCGGAATATCCCTTTAAAGTGAATAAGAGTTAAGAGTTATAAGATCTAGATCTAAAGTGAACTAATAATAATAAGACAGAGATTATAAACCTTCATCTGCACATTCACTCTTTTTCCGACAGCTCTCCGTCGTCATCGATTCCGCAAACGCAGCTGTGTTGATTTTAATCCGGTTTATGTGACTTCACATTGTTATTGACGTAGTTTGCTCCGAGTGTGTTAAATATGATGATCTGCCGATGGTGCGCTCAGCTACATGTTGCATTTAAGCGTGCTCGCAGTAACTCCGGGTTGATATACCGTGTAGATAATCAGCTTTGTGAGACCACTCGATGCGGTCAGTGAGGCCAGATCGCCCCGGGGAACTCAGGGTTTGTTGAACTTGCTTTGTTGAATATATATTTTTAGTCTTCTGCACACAACTGATAGCCGTGTTTTGTTTATATGACTCAACATTAGCGTATATTTGACCGAGGCAGTGTGTGCAGCGACTAGTTCATCCATCCTGAGCTACCATAGAAAACATGCCAGCAGAGCCGAGACCCGCTGCTTCTACGATATAAAACGCTAACATTAGGAAATAAAGATTGGGGTGTTTGTCTTACTACTGAGTTTCAGTACCCTGACCCGGTTTAGTCCTGACTGTGTGGATCCTCAGCGCCTGCAGTGAATCTTGTTTATGTGTTCATGTATGCAAGCCTGCTTGTGCGATTGTGTCACTGTGTGTGCTGTCTCAAGAGAGGCAAGGTCAGCACTGTCTCCAAACTCAGGCACAGTCATCAATTACACACAATTTTCTCTGCTTTGGTACTTCACCCTCTCCCGGGTCCTCACACACACACATACACACACACACACACACACACCAGTCTTAGACACTTATCTCACTGCCTCTAATTCTCCGCCGAGCCTCCGGAGAGAGGAGACAGCGCGCCGGCTTTGTCTTGAGGGGTTTCTACCCCTGTCGTGATTTATGTAAAGACACAGCTGAGTCAGGCGGGCTCCATCCCTCCTTAGTAACCACCTCCACTGGAAGTCGGTCGCCCACCTCTGTAATCCATCTCCGAGGATTCTGTCTGGCACCTAACTGCTTAAAATAACGTCATTTTCCCCTGTGCCCTGTCTGCACAATTATACCAGAAAAATCCGAGAGGAAGAAATGGTGTCGATATAAATGTCATGGGGATTTTGTGATGTGTTTCAGTCGTGAGTGTGCGAATGTGGGGGCAGGAGATAGGGAGAGAGAGAATATAAAAGTGCAACTAAAGGTCAGTATCATCAATGGGACACAAGCAGACAATGAAGCGGGGTCGACTGCGGAGCCGCAGTTTGGGGACGGGGGGAATATTGGCGTGTAAATAATTCACCTGCGCCTCCCGGGGAGCTAATGAGGATGACAGATGAGACGTGACGAGGGATCGCAGCCCCGAGTTGTGCGCACGCACGCGCTTTTACATACAATACAACAAAATAGGGATGCAAGATGGGAGGAGGCGGAGGAGATAGAGAGCGCAGAGAGAAAACGGTCCAACAAAGGGGAACGGAGGACAAAAGGACAGAGATGAATCTGCACTCGTCTGAGACCGGATCCCTCATCTGCCCCCACCTCCTCCGCCTCCTCCTCCTCCCTCTCTGAGCTCAGCTGCAGCCTCGCCCTCGACCCTCCCTCTGAGATTACACCTGTGACTTCACACCTGAAGTGGTGATAAAAGCCAATCAGAAGTGAGAATCTTGCACCAATGGGAAAGTGAAGAACAAACAAGTAGTGACAATGGGAATGTACCCTGAGGAGGAAAGTGCTTCCCGCTAAAGACGCTGGAACAAACACATGATTGATGGCACATATAATGGAGCCCGTCAGCTGCAAGCACACTTGGAAATCTTAGACCCAGTGTGTTGCCCTTGAAATGAACATTGATAAGAGATCCTGCGGAGGGAAAATCTGATTTCTCTATATTTCTGTCAAACACCGAGCATTTAAAAATGCGTTTTTGAGGTTAAACGCTCAAAATCGCCCCAAAACAGCTGAGTTTGTGGGATCTGGGTCACAGTGTGTGCACGGAGGACGATATCCAACATGACACCTCTTAAAGCCTCTCAGCCAGTGTAGGCGGCAACATGACTCATGCTTTTAATATGATTGGCTTCTTGAGATGATGGTTTATGTCATGGCACCTGGAGCACAAAGCGAGCAGTGCAGCATTGGCTCACAAAGGATTTGCATGTGTGTGTGTATGTGTGTGTGTGTGTGTTTGTGAGGTACGAATGCGCCAAACTGAGGTGCTGCGTGACGCTGTGTTTGTACGTGTCGAGCTGCGTGCTGCATTAAGAGGATGTTGGACGGTATCACTCGTGGGAACCAAAAAAGGAAAGGCAATTTCTGTTCCAAATACTATTAATAATTTCATTTAAATACCCTTCTGGCGGAAATGTGTGTACGTGTGTGAATCAGTGTGTCCTCATACTGCTGGATTTGAGTCTGTGTAGGAGAGACGAGGGATAAAGGAGAGGAGGGAGACATAGTTTCATGACGTAACCTGGAATCTGACCTCTGTTTTACCGATTAATCTGATTAAGTATGAAAAAAAACCAGGATAAATCTAATTAATGACTCCTAAAGTGTCGATCAGTGACTTTTAATGTGTATATTCACTTAAATATTCTGCTGGAGGTGCTTTAACTTCTTTCTTTTTTAAAGTTGAACACATTGTCGTGTTCACCGACACGTGTGGAAGCGGTGCTGTAACATGAGGCGTCCCTGACCTCAGATAACCGTGTGAAAAAAGTGAAAGTGTAGCCGTCATAAGATTAATAACGTGACTAAATTTAACCTAGGTGTGAGATACAGAGGTAGATTTGATTTTAATGAGGGATTAAGATAATGTCTACATTTCGTTGGCCCGGGATGTAACCCCTGATATCACTTACCTAGTTAACACCTCGAGTGTCTCTGTATCATGTATCCCTAAAGTTTTGGACCGCAGAGACAGAGATTAGAGCCTGGCAATGAATCATTTGTCCCACAATGGGCTTCGTATAGATGTACTAGTCCCCAGATAACAGATAGCAAGTCTGCAGAGTGGAAAATAAAGCAGGGAGTGTCTTTGTAATGTCTCTTGATGATAACCTTTTACACCATTTAGGAGGACGACTGAAGAGAAACAGGAAATGCAGAAAGGAAAAGTTGGGGATGAGCACGTTTAAACTCATGGTCGCTGGTCGGGATGCACCGATCCGCTTTTTTCACCTCTGATACTGATACAGATATCTACAGTTTAGTATCGGCCGATATGATCAGAATCCGATACAGAAAAGCCGCACTGAATTATCGTTTGTTGTAACTTCGGATTGTTACTGCGCAGGTGTTGTAAGTGGCCGTCGAGCTTGTCGGCTGAGGTATTGTGATAAAGTTCAAGATAGCAGATCCCTTCGCTCGCTTTATTTTGAAAACAATGTGGGCACCAGCGTGTTAACTTGTGGATGCCACTCATGGCGAACAGCATAGAGTTAGACTGAATAGATCAGCCCCTATGCATGGGGCCCATTGTAGATACCTGATCTAGATTCTTCTTCAGTATCTGGACTAACATTTATGATACGTCTATCAAATCAATATGATCAATAAATTACTAAAAAAACACCAAAATAATTAGTTTTTCTTTCGTTCTCTTGTATCAGACAGTGCCGTTTTCTTTTCTTACCTGACATTTCTATTCTATTCTATTCTATTCTGTTCTATCACTTTGCTTCTCTTGAGGTGGTGTCCAGAGTTGTCCCTTGTGTGGGTCAAACACCAAAGTCATCGCTCCTGCTCTTACAGTAATTAAACTCAATTGTTTTCTGCATTTGACCTACATTTTAAAATTGTTTAAAACACACTCTCTAATAAAATCCTGCGGTCTGACGTCTGGATGACTTTGAACAGCGTCACAGACCGATTATTACCTCTAAAAATATTTGAGTTCCACTCTCATTTAGAAAGATTCGGTATTATCACGGCCCACTAACTGAGCTGTAAAGTTTTATAATCCTGCATCTTAATTTAATCATCAGAAGGTTTTCCAACCATCTGCTGGACATCAATTGTTTATGGTATTTATTATCAGAGGGACAGTAAAAGGGGGTTGATGTAAGGAGTAACTCTGAAATGATTTACCGGCAGGAAATGTGGTTCAAGGACGTATCGTAGCGTCGGCCCTTTAAAGGCTTTTTTGTCCTTGTGTAAAAAAAGATTTTTTTAAAGGTGCTGATGGTGCTAAGTATATCCGTGAGTAACTCAGGGTTTACGTCAGTATGTGATCCTTGGAATGAACACCACTTTAGAAAGCATACAGACTCTCAGGTGTCTCTCACCGCCACTGATCTTAAATATGATCTCCCCCTTATCGCCTTTCCTTGTACAAAGTCCTGACACCCTCCCTGCCCTTCACTTGTCACTTCACTTGAGCGGAGTTTACGGCCAACAGGCTGACCTGTGCTCTCTGTGGCATCCAGACTGCCCGCTAGCTGCTCCAGGAGGCGTGCTCTGGCCGCGTTCCTGCGGTGCTTCTTGCCCTCGTAGTGCTGCTGGGCCATCAGCGGGTTGTTGAACCAGGCTCCGCACAGGCAGCAGTACTTCCCTGCTTCTCTGCCGCCGTTTCCACCGACAACCCCCATGGGCCAGGGCAGGGCGGGGGGAGGAGGGGGGCACGCCACGGGGTCTGTGGGCACTGGGGTGGAAGGAGAGGAATCTGAGGAAAAAAAAGGGAAGAGAGAAGGAGTGAAAGGTTAGAGATCGCAGGAGGAGGATGTGGGATTGACAGCAGAGCGTGAGGGAACGCATTAACATCGATTCAGATGCAAATATGCAGTTTATGGCAAGAAATGACGTGAAATCAAAATATTTTCCTGAGATTACATTAACATAAAACATGATTCACTTGTATTAAGATGCTCATAGTTTCAGCCTCATAGACCCACATGAAATCCCTGGTACACACACACACACACACACACACACACACACACACACACACACACACACACACACACACACACAGATTGAAAAGCTCCAGGTTTAGATTGAACCAACTGAGAGCAAAGAGCAATCAGAGTTCTTCTTCCTGCTTCCTTATTTTTACATCCTCTCTTTTCCTCTCCTATCGTCTCCTCTGTCCTTTACTCTCCTCCTCCCTTATCTCCTCTCTTCTTCTTTTTCTTCTTCCTCTCCATGGGAATTAAAAAAAACACACACACAAAGAAATGGCAGACTTCCAGGTGACCTGCTACTCGTGACATGACACTGGTTACCATGGTGATTGCCCATTTATAGCCAACAGGCCCTGACATGTCCACAGGACATGGTTGTGGCTCACGCAGGGCAGACTGCTAATATGTGTGTCTATGTTAGTGTGTGTGTGTGTGTTATAGTGGTGGACTGAAGGCATAATCCGCACTTGAGTAAATGTGTGAAGTCTTATTTGTGTGTGCATCTCCAGATTAGACCCTGTGTGTACATGTGTTAGGTACAGGACATGCACCCAAAAAAATCTTGCAGCTCAAACTGCGTGTTTGAACAGGGGGGGAGGGGGGCGAGGGGGGGCGTTGGGTTCACAGCCAAAATGTGCGAGAAACCTTCTAATGCCAGATGGCACGTCCAAATGTGCCGATCCTCTATCTACGTGTATCAATGACTCGACTCGATTGACTGGGACTGTATTACTGCAAAATGCACACTGTACACAGTCACTCTGAAGATGAAGGTAAAACTCCTCGTGACATGCTGAGATGTGGTGTCTAAGTTGTCAGGATGCCAGAATGTTGAACATAGATATGAAACAAGTAAAAATCAGAAGGTACCTCTGTTGTTGTTCTGAATATGACGCAGGGAAAGAACTCCTGAACACCAGAAATGGATATTTAATATTATAACTGATTTCCAAACTGGACACAGAGCTGGTACTGAAAATGTCAATGAGCACAGGCTGACATTTTGCATGCTTTTGATAGTGGAATGAAAGACACACACCTTTTTTTTTTGACGTGTAACCAAAGTAAAATACTTCCTCCAGAGCATGTATGTCTGGTGATGCGCAAATGCAGGCAGTGTACTAATTATTTAAGGCCAACTCCAATAATTTTTTTAGTGTTCTCAGTGGTCTTTAAATTGTGATTCTAAAGTTTTAGCCAAAATCACGTTACCTGCATCATTTTTAAGGACTTTTCTTCTGCAGATCTCCAGTAGCTCATTAGAGATTCGCCTGTGAGTCGTGGGCGGCTCTGCACACTCCTCTTCATGCTAGCTTGCAGCCTAACATTGCAGGTGTAGTAGAAGTTGCAGGTGATATTCAGCTCTCGGACACTAATGTCTTTAGGGACATGATGAAAGTTAATATCATTATTAGCTTTCTTACCAGCATTTCAATCCGCTAACGCACACGCTTGCTCTACTCTCTACTTTTCTGTGTGTGACCTGCATAGCGGGTCTCCGGGGGCGGAGCTTGGATTTGTGATGTAGGAAATCTCACTAAATCTTAACCTGCCGTTTGTTTCTGCGAGAGATTCACAGCGATTTAAATACAGAAATACTCAGAAATGCAATTTCGCACATAGCTTTCTCATGATATGTCCTGTAGCATCAGAAAAATGAACACTTGGTGCCCCCTGTGGACAGTTGTGCTTATCCTGTCCTCTGTATGCTTCAGTAGTTCCCCCTGACAGCTATCTCATCCTTTCCGCTTCTGACAGTCAAACGTATTATTTATTATTAATATTTTATAAGGACAATGTCGACATAACTGTTTTCTTTGGCTGCACTGCTAACACCTCCCCTCTCACACTGGTGTCAGACATCAAAAATTAATGTGTAAAAATCACCAGTCTTGTCTCTGATCGTCTTGTGTGTCATAAAAAGGCATCAATATGAATTTCAGTCTATCTTATAAATGTTAAAAAACCTTGCAGGAGCTTTAATTGATTTGATCATTACACAGTGCTGTGAAGCTCCCTGTTAACACATAAGGGCAGACTCTATGAGGACACTGCTCTCCTCTCTTTTCTGTCTGTCTTTAACAGACATAAAGATACAGTGCGTGTCGTTATTCGACACTAGAAAAACCTCAAAAGTTTCGGTATTTGCCAGCCTGTTAAGAGGAGTTAGCAGTGTAACGTCTGTGACGGAGGGCTGAGCAGAGAGACACACAGCAGCCAGGAAGAATGGTGGAGTACCATGAATGTTTTCGTGTTATCCATAAGATAAGTTCTGTTTTTCTTTTATTTTTCTTTTCACTTTTCTTTCTTCATCTTATTTACGTATTGATTTTTCAACAAGCAAGATAATAAGAGCTACTGTATTAATGTAGCATGAATGTTATGTTAGTGTAATGTCTGTAAGTACATGTCTAAGTTCAAAATGAAAATGGAAAAGAAGACGATAAGGACCCCAGGAAGAGAAGTTACTGCATATCTTGTTGTAACTGATGATGGATCCAAAAATAAATCAAATCAGAATAGTGACTCCAGCAGCAAACAAATCTAATTCTAGGATCTCACTACAGGGTTGTGGACATGTCTTTGGATTTATTATTTTTTATCTCTGTAAATATGCTGCTGGAATTTTTATTTCTTCGAGGGAACCTCCCCAAAAAGATGAATAAAGTTGTATCTAATATGATCAAATCTAATCTAATCTAATCTGATTTTATCTTATCTAATCTAATCTAATCTAATCACTATGAAATCATTCAAAATATGATTTTACTTTCAGTCATGCTGCTTTATCCCACTAAGAAATAGGAGACTATTAGACGTCTACTTTTTTTTTCAGACCTAATTTCAACCGTCTAGATTCTGTATATTATTAGACGGAGTTTAGACGTTGCACTTTAAACTATTATTCGATAATTTTATTTCAAAAAGCAGCTGTGAGTTACATAACTGATCTCCAAGTACTTGACCAAAATAATTATGATAGCCATTGAGCAATATACAGTGTAGTATAGATATAGCCCAGATTTAGATTTAGTCTAAACTTGGTCTAAATTTAGACGTCTAAAAAAACTTTCATTTTTAGACCTGTGGTAGCCTGATTTTAGACCAGTCGTCTCGGCTACATTTAGACGTCTATTAGACCACAAAATGCTCAGTGGGATTTTCATTTCTGGCATTCTCCGTCTTCACTTTTTCTTGATATTGATTTATAAATACATTAAGGACATCGTACCATTTTACAGCATGTGGTAGTCTACTGTACATGTCAACAACCCCAGTGTTGGCGATCTTACTGCAGAGCCGTTGTATGGAGGTCCCATCCCTTCTGCTGACCAAAACCCTCTGAGCATTATGAGACCTAACTATAAGAAGTGAAAACACGTTATGGAAAACTTCACTTTCTGTGTGTTTTGATTTTTCCGTTTGACTCATGTCCCATCTGTTAACATAGAAGAGGCGTGCTTGATGACCTGTGCGGCGTCCAGTCAGCACAGAGAGCTTCAAATGTTTTGGTTTACTTTTGGCAAGTTTCATGTCGTCCACTTTTTTACACGGTCTATGATTGAACGATTTAACATCACCAGTGGAAACCCACTCACATATGCTTTGTAGCCAAAATGAGTCACTCCTTTCACAGCAACTATCGTCTCCCTGATAGCAAACCAGGAGCGTGCGTGAATTGTTGACCACTGACCACAGAGTGTGAAGTGTGTTAATTTATGGTGCGCCTGTGTTGACTCGCAGACCTGCGCTCTGATTGGTTGCTCCTACCTTGATGTGTCTTTGGGCTCTGTTCACATAGTTACTGTATCTATGGCTGTGTCTGCGCTCATCTCACCAACCACACCCACTCACATTCCCCTTTCCTGGTGTTTGTCTCTGCAACACGATCATCTCACTTACAAAACGCAGCCGTGTAACTCTTCGAATGTCATTTCATCTCTCTGCTTTTAATCTCAAAGACAAGGTCGTGCTAAAATCTCTTTGTGCACTGCATGTGTGTGTTTGTGTGTGTTTTTTGCGGCCTTGCATGAGTGAAGCTGCTGCACTCTGACAGCTCTGTTGAGCAGCACGTGCCGAGCAGCAACAGGGAGAGATTCTCCGATGTATTCCTCTTCCTCCTCCAGCCCTTGTTTTCCCACCCTTTCTTTTCCCATGACTGTGATCTCTGCGCACTGGAGCAGAAGTAAGTGTTTTTCACGGAGCGGGGCACAGCTAGCGTGCGTGTTTGTGTACGTGTGTTTGTGAGTGGATGAGTGAGTGAGTGCGGAAGGAGGGAGAAACACAGGTACGATCTCTGCTCTCTGCCTCTCAGGGGCTTTCACCATCACACATGGCCTTTGCTTTCTGTCTCCTCACTTCATGTTATGGGTGCATGTGTAAATCTGTGCCTGTGCGCCGCTCCATGTGTCCTTACATGCAAGTGTGCAAATGCGCAGGCATCAGTCATCAGTCATCCTGCTTTTGTGTGTTTCTGTGCCCACGTGCGCACAAGCCTGTCAGATTTGCTGTGCGTCTTCCACGGAGCTCTCATCTTGGAGTGATCATGAAGGCTACTTTTGACTTTAATCGCTCCTGAAATCTTTTTTTTTTCCCCTCTCCCAGGTCACTCTTCCTCTCTTGCTCTTATCCTCGTTTCTATTCCTCCAGGTCCCACTGTCACAAAAAAACCGCCCAAACTGCACGGGGGAGCGCTGCTCAGAAGTGACACTTTTCTACAAAAGTAGGCCAAAGTTGAGCAAAAGTCACTCAAGGGCTTGATTATAACACTCCCATTTTGTCCCGATTGCGTGTTTATAGCTCTTTGAATTTTCACTTTGAATCCAATTTGAATCACATTATGTAAAGCTCCCCTGGGGACGACTCACCAGGGCTGACAGAAAAAAAAAAAAAAAAACGCTCATCTTAAACAATCATGAGCACAAAGTTGAATCTTTTTGCGGGTGTCTTGATTTGTTAAGAAGATTTTTATTAATCAAAAGACCTTCATGAATCTAAGACTGTCTGCTGTCTTCACCTTCAAAGTTTCACTTCTCTAGCCTCTGGCATGTTAGCATTTCTAGACTTCTTTCCCCCTCTGATATCCAGGCTAGACATTTTGACTGAAGCATGACTAAAGCTTTCCAAATCCACTCCAGATAGAATATGTGCTTTGAACTAAAAATATTCGCGGTTCAGAGATACATGTCGCAAAAAAAAAAAAAAAATAGGGGGATGTCTGGATTACGCGGATGCATGCGAGCCGGGGTGACACCGGGTTTCACAACCGCGTTAATTACCTCGGTCATCAGTGAACAGAGACTGTGAGCAAACATCATGATTGGAATCCAATAGAGGTATTGATCAGAAGGGTCTAAAAGAGTCGACTGGCAAAGGACTGGTGTATTATCTGAAAATTGATGGATTGGTTGCTTCGAGCTCTCACTCTCAAGACTGACTCAGAGGGAGGCAGACAGACAGACAGACAGACAAAGATCAACCTGCTCAAATAATCTGTTTAATACTCTATTCTCTTTGTTTCCACTTTTCACTCTAAACCTCTTGCAGGTCACGTATTTGAAGACGTAGTGGAGCCGCGTAATGGCTGAAATCTGGGGATATGCTGCTGTGTTAGGATATGAATGTATGATTCGGTTTATTGTGAAGTGTTGCCATAAAGAGTGAATGCAATTAAGTCCTTCCCCAAAAAGAGGGAGAATGTAATTCATCACTCCTCATTGATTTTGTGCTCAGGGAAGGTGCCTCCCGTTTGCCTCCACAGAAAAATACCTCATTGCTGCTTTGTATGAGGAGACAGTCTCACATTTGTAGACTTTACCTGAGCACAGTACCCCGGTATATTTCCCTTCTCTAAATCCATATTTAAAGAAGTTTGCTTCTTTCTGTTTACCTCTAATGTTAGCGTCTGGTCGCATGAGGTGAAAGCGAGCAGAAGAGGTGAGGCATCACTGTCGCTACCTGATCCGTCCAAGTGCTGAGCTCGGATTGGTTATTCCTTATGACTGTGAAACGTCATCGTCTGTCAGGTTAGGGTTAGGGTTAGGATGAGGGTTAGGGTGAGTGTTAGGAGATTCAGAAGTGCAATAACGTTCTGTTCGACGTACAGAGCCGACAGAGCGTTTGGCTTGAGCGTGTGATGAGGTTTCCAGCTTTTCTAGCCAATCAGAGGTGAAGGAGGCGGGACTTTCCCCAACCATCCTACAAAAAAAATATCACGTCCTGGAAACTGGATTTGTAGTGCGCATGTGTGAAACATACGCCCTCTTCTAGCCATCTTTGCAGCAGGTCAGTAATTCTTTGCCCTTCGCGGTTTGTTACAGCTTCAGCATCAGCGAGCTCGCTTCAGTTTATCGCCAGCTACACGCTTTTCTCCTGAACGTAGTGCTTCCTACTCCAGTTTAATTGTAAAATTGCAGCGTAGTTATAAAAGGCTTGAGTGAATATGAATATTTCATTGTTGAAATTAAAACACTGTATAAAAACGTTAAAATTCATTGTCCATAAATCCCCCCTTGATACTTTGTAAAGTCGGAGAACCATAATTTTGACCAGGTGGCGGTGCTCTCTGTGGCCCAAAAAGTCTCACTGTGCTGGGCAGGAGCTCTGGCGAATGCCTGGGCATTAGCCCTGGAGCCCCCTGCTAGCTCGCCTATAACATCGCCAGCTGGTTTCTGAAATTTGATCGGTAGTTTAAATAAAGTTTTTATTTGCACTTGTACGTAACGGTTAGGTAGCAACAGTAACGACTAACTGCCGTAAAATGCGTTGAAATACGAAGAGAGGAAGTGACGTACGTTTCGCACACGCGCAGTACAAATCGGGTTTTCGGGGACGGATCGGGTAGCGACAATCACCTCATCCATCCCTCTGTATGTGAATAAAGGATGGCCAATTATCCACACATTGATACACTTTAATCCCATTTGCTTTAAATGAAATAGTATCTGTTCTTTTGAGTTTGGTGGTATTTCAAAGTTCTGAAGCTTATCTAAAAATAGCAGCTCTATTAGTTATAGTTCTTTAACCCAGAGCTGCTGGGAGTGAAAGAGAGAATAGCAGTGGCCGACTTAATTAAAGATATAAAGAGAGTGAGTGTTGTAGTAGGGCATCAATGTGAGAAATAATATTATTTTTTCTAGTTTTATCACATCAGTCCTGCATGAATGAACAGTCAAGCAAATCCGAGGTGTTTTGTTTTGTTTGTTTGTTTGGAGCACTTCTTTTGTGCGTCACATCCAAAACTCCCCGACACAACGCAGTTCTCTAACTCACAGGTAAATACCCCAAATTCTGACATTTTTTGGCATCTCGGTTCTGACCCGTGGACCACTATAGGAGCCTCACATCCCTGCAGTGATTGATGCTAGAAAACATCCGAACGAAGAAAACCGTGGTAATACAGGGAGAGAGAGAGAGCAGGATGTTTTCCTGGACTGTTGTTGATAATTCAGAGAGAACATTCGTTTTATATTTAGGTCTTGACTCTTTTATTCCGGTGAAACAGTATGTGCTTTTTCTCTCTTGGCTTTTGACAGAGGGTCAAGTGTTGCTCTGCGGTCAGAGACTGTTTTTATCAGCTCTGTTTGCAGTGTGCTGCTACAAAATAAAGAAGCCCATTGTTGGAGCCTATATAGGAGCTCATTTATTGCTTCTCGGTTTCAGTATTTTTCATTTTTACTGATGTTGTGATGAGGTTAGATATTCCAGTATCGTAACAAGCCTGATACAAATAAACAGACGTGAGTGTGACTCTCAATGTTAAACACAAACCCTCACAAGTCATGGTTTTGATCGATTGTTGTTTGTTAGATGTGCTAAATCATTAATAATGAGTCCCCGTCTCACGCAGATCATCACCCTTTCGTGTGAATACTGAATGTTTACAGGCTCAAGTTTGGAATTTTTTAGATTTATTGCTGATGGTTAACATGAAGGCAGCTTGAAACAGAAAGAGGGCAGACAGAAATAAAGCAGTGTGTGGACAACTGCTGGGAGTCCTTTAAGAGACCGCAAGATTAAAGTTGTAAATTCACAAGAATTAAGACGCAAATGGGTCGTTATTTCAGTTCAGGTCCAGCCTGAATTTAATTTTGAAGAGGAAGATCAGGAGATTAACCGGGACAAAAACAAGGAACCTGGAGCATCTTAGAAAGTTTCCCTAAGGACACTTTCTGCTAGGGCTGGGCGATATGTCCTCAAATCAATATCACGATATATCGATCAGTTCACCTCGATAACGATAAATGGACGATAACTACTCCACAAGCTGCTCAACCCCTCCCACATTAACTTCGTCTTCTCCATCTCCTCACCTGTCTTTCCCTCTTTGTTAAGGACTGGATGGGGAGGAGTCACGTCTCTGACGTAGGACAGCGACTTAAAGGGACATGAGACTATAGCCTACCTACACACATCCAAAACTAACCTTTATTTATTTATTGTTTTGATATCGGATATACAGATATGGGCAAAATGACGTCGGTTATTGTCGTAAATTTCGGTATCTGTAAATTTTGGATTTTTTTTGCCTTGTTTAAAGGACTTCTGTGATACATCTGCAGTAACATGATAATTAAATTTCCACTTATTTCTGCAGTTTTAATCAGTGACAAACGGTTTGAAGTTTGAAGTGTAAAGTTTATTTCGATCTGACGGTTTCTATGACGGTTTTCTTCAGGGTTTTGACTTCTTCAAGGAGTTTGACGACAGAGGCTTGTTGCTCCGCGATAGTGGCTTGTTGGGCGGACATTGTGTTCAGCTTCTCCGTGAGCTGACCGAGAGACTGTTTAATCTCCTCTATGTCCTCCTCCAACGTCCTCTGCACCGGGTTCCTTTTGGGTGGCATCTTCTTATTTAGTGTTTCGTTTCCTTCGTCGTTAAAAGGGATCATTAAACATCTGCCCTTCGAACTTGACATTTGAGACTGAAACAAACTACATTTTCGGTTTATCACCCAGCCCTACTTTCTGTGCAGTCAGAGCGAAATATTGGCCTTTATCGGTGAAGGAAACAAGTGCATGTAAAGTTCTAACACCTGATTTTGTCTGAGAGTCCCGATTTAGATCATCTAAAGTCAGTCTGCTTCCTTTAGTCTTGCTCTCTGCAGGCTGAGACCCCTCTGCTAAACTCCTGTCCCTCTAACAACCCTCTCTCTGTACATTTCCTCTTTACTCACGGCTCCAGCTGCATTTCTTTGATCTCGCTGCTACAATCAAACACAGTCAGCGGAAAAAGTACCGGGGTGTGAGTTCTACCTGTGTTTGCAGGACTGGTCACGGCTGAGGGGATGCTAGGCGGCTCCCCCAGCACCAGGCGGACTCTCTTGGCGTGGGTTTTGCCCTGGTAGTGCGACTGCGCCACGATGGCCGAGGTGAAGAACATGTTACACAAGGTACAGCACTTGTTCCTGTCCACCTCTGTCTCTGCACAGTCCTACAGGAGGAGAGGAGAGAGGAGAGAGGGATGGTTAGAAGAGAGAGAAAGAGAGAGTTGTGAAGTATTATGGGCAGAAAATGGATCACAGTGGGGGAGAGGGTGAGGAAGGTGAGAAAGGATAAGAGATTAGTGAAAGTGCAGACAGAAGTGGTGTGAAAAGAGAGACAGGGAGGGACAAAGGTGAGAAAAGAGGCAGAGTGAGATGAAAAATAGAAAGATGTACACTTTGCACCGACCCCTGAGCTTTGTCTCCCCCATAAAGACACACACTCGCACGCACACACACTAACACACACACACAAAAGCAAAGAGGGCTGATCAAATATTCATCTGTCTCTCTGGGCTGAGGCTGTGGCTTGGTCTTTTCACCGCTGCTGGTTCATTACTAATGATGAGCGGTGGAGGAGAAACACAAACACAGAAGACCAGCCGGCTGATGTACACAAACACACACACATACGCACAACTGCAGATGCAAATACAAAATCACCCTGAAATTCATACTGTTCAAACATCATCCCGTCTTCTCCGTTGTGGCTCATCGGTGTTGAAAAAAATAACTAAAATAAAATATTAGCCTGCAGGAAGATAACAGCAACTCTGAGGTCTTCTCAAAATGATTCAGAATGGCAGTAATCATCGGTCGAACTGCTGTATCTGCTGACATACCTCGCCTTCGGTTAGCAGAGAAAGTTTTAAAGCTGCAAAAATCTGAAAAAATAGCCTCATTGAAAGTCATTTGGAGGAAAAAGAGAAATGTGTTCGACTTAGAAAAGGTTTTAAGAGAACAGAAAAACTTATTATGCATGTTGGTGTACTTTTTGGCAGTCATGTGACAGAAACCTATTTAGGGAAACAAATACTTTTTTTCCTTTATGGTGTTAAGATGCTTTTATTTTGAAATAAAGCACACCAAAATACTGCTTGATAGGCTCTGACACAGTGAGATGATGCAGCTGAGGTCTGTGCAGAAGTCCCCTGACCTGTGGAGCCATGAGACGGTGTTACCCCCATCCTGCTCACCAAAATACACTTTAATGTTGTGATAAACCTGCCGACTGATCCTAACGCAACAGAAGAGCTTCTCTTCATAACCTGGTTTTTAGCTGGTTTTACTTTTTGATAATTATCCAGATCGAGACTTTATCGACAAAGAAAGTGTCAGATAAATCATCATCATATTAATTAGGATTATCTTTATACGATATTGATTTTGGATATCGGTCCAATATCAGCAAAAAAAGAATATCGGATTATATCGGCCTGCATCTAAAATCTCCGATATCAGCACTCCAATACAAGTAGTCCCGTCCAGACTCCGCTCCACCACCTCTATCTAGCAGCGCCCTGATCCAGCATGCTGAGCCCATAAAATCACAACATCAGTGTGTACAAAGGTACAAACAAAGTACCAAGAAGTAGGAGTGATGTTGGTCGTGTGGCAGTATGGATTGTCTCAAATAAGAGGTGTACCATTCTTTAATGCAACCACATGTTGAGCAGTGGAATCGCTGACAAAAGAGTCACAGTCTGACACAATCTGATCAGCATCAAGTTCATAGAAATTTACAACACATCGATACACAGGACAGCTCTGCTCTCAATGTGTCAGCTATAGAGATGGAAATCAACAATGAAACATTATTATTATTCACAAGATGTGAGCCTTTGACTTATGCATAACAACAGTAAATATGTGTAAAGTGAAACAATGATCATTCAGTGCAGCAGGCTGGCATTAAGGCACTGTCTCTCAGTACATGATTGAATAATTAACTCATTAATTCAAGAATAAAGATTCAGCTCGTCGTATTTTTTTCTTTTGGAGGGAATATATTCAAATGTCATTTTTCGTCAGTTTTGACAGCCTTACTGTGATGTGCTTTTCACACGAGTAGGGATGTCCTGATACAACTTTTTACTTCCGATACGATACTGATATTGTAGCTTTCAGTATCAGTCTTTAGTCTTCTTCTTCTACTGCTGCTTCTGTAGCTGAAAACTTCTTTTACACGCTGTGATGTTCACAGTCACAGTCAACATTACAGAAGACTCCACCTTCTTAATGCACTACCAAACTGCCCCCCCTCAGCCAAATGAAACCTATTATATCAAGTAGTGAGAGCGTGCCCGATACAGATTAACCCCCGCTGAGAGGTGCATGTGCAGAAGGCAAAAAGTTCTTGAAACTATCAGAGCATGAATGCCTTGAAATTACTTTTTAAATTTTTTGGCTGTGTGAGAGCAAAGACCCAGACCCAATCCCATCAAACATCTGCAGGAGGAATTAGGACCGAATCTGAGCCGGGCTTGTTACCCCGACATCATTCACTGACCTCACTCACGCTCTTGTGGCTGGATGTGGGTGATTCAGAGGCTGTTATAGCTGCATATTAACTGTTATTCGGTGAGATCTTTAAGGGAACGGGCTCATATGGGTGTGATAATTCTGCCCCCATACTTACATGTATTTATAAAAACACGGACGGTCTTCTAAGAGTATCAACATTTCACATTTCCAGTTCAACCCTGTGAATTTTACACTTCTCCTGCTGTTACCCTCGTTTCTTCTCGCCGCTCACATATTGAACCTCCACCTGTTCATCCACCCTTATTTCTCGACACGTCTGAACTCTGTTTCTATTTGCTGCACACCTCCTCCTCCTCCTCCCCCTCGTTTTTTTTTTTTTTTTTTACTTGCCAGCATTTTGTCCCCTCTTTTTTTCACACCAGCGCTCTCTCTAGTCCAGGTGTCAAGTCGTGTTGGAGGAGGAAAACCTCAGTCTGGGCGAGAGAGGACAATAATAGAAGAAACCGTCTGCGACACCATATCTGAGTGTGTGTGTGTGTGGGCGTGTTCTGTGAGCGCATGTGTGTGAGTGTGTGTGTCTCGTGTCAGCTTCGGTTAGCATCACGGACAGTAGATGTGAGAGTTAAGGACACCTTTACCTTCCAGGCGTAGCTTTGTCTCTCAGCTGCTCTATCTCTCTCTGTTTCTTTCTCTATCTTCTGCTCTTCTTTCTCTCTCTCTCTCTCTCTTCTTCTCTTGTTTTTTTGTCTGTTTTGCCTTCACTCCCTGTGTCCCCCCCTCCTCGTGTCCTCCCTCCCCCTCTGGGCATCATTCTCAGTGACTCTGTGTGTAGTGGGATGAAATATTTATCTGTATTGGCAGGCCCTCACCACCCCCTCACCTCCTCCCTCCCTCCCTCCTTCCCTCCCTCGCTGCCTTGCCTCCTCTCCTCCCCTGTGTCTGTCCCCGCTGTGATCATGTTAAAGGCTTTCTCTGAACTGTCCCATAGTCCCCTCTCTATCTCCACCAGTAACTCAGTTTCCTTCTCCTCCTCAGCTGGTATGAAATCATTTTTCTTTGCTCCGGTATGACATGAGGCATTTCTCAGGAGATGTTCTGATGCTGTTATTTTTCCCTTTTCGATACGGGTTCTAATACCTGAGTTTGAAAGACCAGCCGATAGCTGCTACACATCTGATAGCGCCCCTGTATGGAAGCGATATGATGGCTTCCATATTCGAATATATAGGGGGATATATGAGAGAGAAATGTCTTTTATCAGGTGGTTTGACAGTTAAGAGCTGAAGACCTGAAATAAAGTGAAGTAGAAAACATACAGGATCCGTATTTAGCACGTTCTGTTTTTGCTCCGTAGAGCAGCGTTGGGTATCACATACAGGATCAGCGTATTTGGAGCGTAGCAGCAGCAGTCAGCTGGTCTCAGTATAGAGGAGACAACATGCTCACAACAGGTTGTTTTTCCTTTCTGTGGACGATTTCCTGCTAATTTGGATATAATTCAGTGACTGTTGTGCCTCTACTCTATGTGATAAAGCAACACGAGTTTACAGTTTGGGTTTTTGCTACAGCCTGACAGATATGGATTTTTTGGGGCCGGTGCCGATACCAATTATTAGGGGGAAAAAATCCGATGACTTATTAATCGGACAGTTTTTAATTTTTTTTTACCGAGTTATAATAAATAAATATATACTGTAGATATCTACGGTACACTGTATACTGTAGGCTACTGCTCTTCATGCCGACAGGAAGACGACTGATCAAACTCGGACCAGAAAAGCATTTCCTTTATGTTGTTCCTTCAGACAGAGTTAGCAGTTCAAAGTCCTGTTGGGGGTCCATATGGATCAGGGATTGACCATCAGATTGTTCTGTATTACTGATAAATCCAGAACCAGGAGGTATTTCTCATCTACACAAACTGATACACAGTCAGGAGTCCGCATATGGTGTTTTATTTTGAAATACCGGATAACGTGCGTTTTTTTCCGATCTAGAACGATCTTCTCTGTGTAGATTGACACGCACTGGAAGCTTAGAGTAGCAAAAATCGACTTGCTGCGTATCTTTAGCAGTGCTGCTCTCGATACGATGCTGCAACAGAGCTGAGACGTGTCCTGTATGCTTTTCTGCATTGATTAGTATGGAAACCCTATTTGCTGCGTGATATTTGATGCTGCTGTCATGCTCCAAATACACATCCTGTATGTTTTGGCCTTGAGCTCAATTTGCCTGAGTCTATTCAAGAGAATTTGAGATTTTTACAGCAAAGCCACATTTAGTGTTTTAATCACCAGGATAGTTTATTCACAGAAGGGCAAATGATAAAGAAAAAGCCTATAAACAAGCAGAGCCCACACAAACAAGGTGACCAAAGTTTGTTCTGCTGCTCCTGTTTTAGATGAGATCCATGTTACAGCTGAGGGGGAACTGAGTCTCGGCTTTGCTTCAGGGCAGGAAGGAAAAATCACTTTGAGGCACAAATTAATTCTTTTTTAAGCTCCTGTGAAAGTTTTTTTTTACTGGTTATGAAACAGACTGAAATTATTACTGAAGTCAGACCTACAAAAGCACACAAGACCATCAGCTGCAAGATAAATTATTTCTCTATTGTTATTATTAATGCCTGAAACCTCTGCTGGCAGGGTGAGCGCCAGGTAAAGTACGTCACAGCAGCAGACTGCTTAAAAAAGATTTCCTTCCAGGGTAAAGATTCTCCACCGGTGATACAATTGGCTATTAAAATAGAGCAGATTCTCATTTTGTTGAAAATAACCACTTTAACATATTCAGGGCCAAATCGGAGGAAATAAACAGAACAGGTTGGTCCACATGGGGCACCAACACTGACAAAGACTGAACATTTCTTACAAGAGCTCAGAGGGATCTTCTTGGAGTTTTGAAGTAGGGTTGCATGAGCTCCAGCACATGTCTTTAGTGAGCGTATTGGCCATGATGAAGGTCAGCTTGGCTTCTGTCAGGCGGACCAGGACGCAAGCTCGGCTACAGTTTCTGCAGACATGGCTCTGAGTCCACCATGTAGTTAAGTGAACCCTGAGGACGCTTTTAAGATTTACTTTTGGACCTTTTGCCTGTATGTGGAAAGAGTAAAAAACAAGGAGAGAGAGTCTAACCCCCCGGAATGCTTCCAATCTGGAATGTCGGCGAGAACTCACAAGAACCTGCAAAATCACGTGCAATCGTGTGAGAACAAGTTGTCTCTTTAAAGACAGCCACATACCCATATAAGCAGCAGATTGTGTCCTTTCAGAGGAGGAAAAATAAATCCAGACTTCTAGAATCAGAATCTCCTCATCCGTGGTGTCATCGGGGTGAAATGATGCCTAAAAACCTTTCACTTGTTCTTCCACCCCTGTTTGCATGGTGTGAAATACGATCAGCCAGAAACATGTAGTGTTTTACATGCTGCAGTGTCCGGAAAAAATAGAACTCTTGCAATCGGCTGCTGAGTCCACTGAACCGCAGCGGAACGGAAAGAAGCCGGTGGAACTTGACATATTAACTCGAATGGTTGCGATCGGCGGATACTGCCTTTTCGCAGCTGTTTCGACTGTGATGGAAATTGGGGGTAAGATGGTCGCAGTGATGTCTGTTGAGTTTCCTGGAGCTTGTCCACATCTGCTGAAAACTGCAGCCTAGCTTGCATGTCCTGGTTCTACAAAAGCCGCTGAACTGAACTGACCGGCATCCTCTGTGGCTCATACACTGACTAGAGACAACCCCACTACAAAATAACACTGGAGTACCCCGTCTTGGTGAATTTCTTAGGGAACTGAATCTTTCATTTTCTGAGGAACAGAGTTGATTTCTCTGTCAAGCTCCAACAGAATATTTAACTTCCTGTTGGTAGCTTCCATGTCTTCATGGAGACAGTGCAGCAGAGAGGAGCTGATTCCCAGTTAAACATGTTTACTTTCTTTCAGACTGATGAGTTACAGTATCAGACTGATGCACAGATTGGCAGACACACTGAGGCCCCCCCTGAACTGATCGCACCTATTCTGGTCAATGCTCGGGTTTCCTCTCGGAGAACCACAGAATGTCTCAGACACATTCCAGGAGCATCTCTGCTCTGAGTAAAATACACGCCACGTCTAATTTCAGCGAGGGCCAGACTCAGCACATGTCAGTCTCGGCATGGGACCTCCTGTCTAGATTGACCTGGACAGGAGGTCCGGGTCAATGTGTGTAAAATAAATGTTACATCATTTTACACACTATGTGCTACCATGGCAACAGCCGTACAGTTTAATGAAACTCCATATTAGGGCTGGGAGATAAACCGAACATTTACAAATACCAAAATTTACGACAATAACAGACGTCATTTTACACATATCGGTATATTTGGTGTCAAAAAATAAATAAATAAAAGTTAGTTTTGGATGTGTGTAGGTAGGCTATGGTCTCATGTCCCTTTAAGACGCTGTCCTACGTCAAAGACGTGACTCCACCCCCATCCAGTCCGTAACAAAGAGGGAAAGACAGGTGAGGAGATGGAGGACGGTTCAAAAGTTGTAGCGGCTGAAGTAGACGAAGTTAATGTGGGAGGGGGTGAGCGGCTTGTTGAGTAGTTTTCGTCCATTTATCGTTATCGAGGTGAACTGATCAATATATTGTAGTATTGATTTGAGGCCATATCGCCCAGCCCTACACCATATATAGATAACTGACGATACTTGTATAGTTGAATATAAGGAAATGATTTCTGAAGGAAAAGACGTTTAGAAGAGACTAAATAGGGCTGGGATGATGTACTTTTCTCATGATTCGATTCTTTTATGATTTTTTGGATGTCGATTTGATTTAAATTGTGATTCTACGATCGTTTTCTTGATTTTTAGTCGATGATTGTCTACTGACTTTTCCAGGAATCATATTTCCCCCAAAAAATACACACCACACCAATTTGGAAAAAAAAAAAAATCAATTTCTCCCACCCGTACTAAATAGTGCTTTTCTGTGAGGACACATCCTGCAGTATGTCTCAGTTTCTTCTCCCGCTGTTATCTTGTGTCAGTGAAATGACATGAGTGAGTGATTAAGTGAGTTACGCTGAATCAAGCGAAGGAGACGGACAGGGGCAGTGCCATCATGTAAGGCTGCTTTTGCTAAGACTTGGACTGGAATTCTTAACCTCAAGGGCATCTGAATAATTATTATTAATGAACCTATTAGATCAGGGGTGGTTAATAATATTTCAAGGGTGGCCGTGCCTGTTCATGGTGAGTGGAATCAGGAGGTGGTATTTGATGGTACTGGAGACATTTCCTTGCTGATGTCGGTCTCTGAACAGCTCTAATTATCCCATGTAGCCATTGGAGGAGAAAAGTGTGGGTGTGTTTATCTGACACTTTGATTCCTCGTGCTTTGTTATTAGTAGATACAGTGTCTTTGTGGACCAGTATCACTTCTTCTACCGTAGTTCTCTCTGTTCCTTCATTACCATCTCCCCATGTTTCGTTCCTCCTCCTCCCTGATGTGTACTCTCCGTTCTTCTTTTCCCTCACTATTCAACTAATTGTTCTCAACCCATTCCCCTACTTTTGTCTACCTTTTCTCCCATGAGTGCACTGAGCCGAGACCCAGTTATATTAAAATCTTGTTTCACCAGAACAAAGAATATCATCCGCTGTCCCTAAACTGTGTGGTTTTTGACTTGAGACAAAGAGAATGAGATGATTCTTTTCCACAATCTGGAGACGGGCCTCACCCGTCAAAACACACCGAAAGGTAAAAAAGAAGCAGGAGACGAAGATGGGACCGAAACACAAAGACGAGGCAATGCATATCCTGTCGCCAAGTGACTGATGTTACACCGGGGATTCGGTGACAGTGTGGGGAAAGTTTGAAAACAATCAGAAGTGTGTGTGGGTGACTGACACATGAATAATTGTCACCTCATTACAGCTGCCACTCTGCTGAACCACTTTAAACAATAAACAGCGTCTCTGACTCACTGTTTTCCTCCGGCGTCTATCTCCGCTGAAAGTCATCAACCTTTCTGTTTCTTCATTTTTGATTTCTACACTTCTAACGCGCCTCGTTTCAATATTCCCCTTGTGTTTTTGTCTCTACCTGTCGCACCTCACACATCTGTTGAGAGCGATTTGCATGCGACCTAATTGTCGAGAATGTTTCGGTTTTGTGTGCGCGCGTGTTTGCCTGTTTACTCATCGCCTGACAGTGACGTCTGTATCGCAAAATATTTTAGTGTTTGGGTGGCTTCATCCTGCTCATGCGCCTAACAATAGACTCCTAATTAGCTGTGTTAATCTTCCTCTCCTTCTGTTTTGCTTTCTCTGTGCTCCTCCTTTCTTTTCCCTCCTGCTCAGTGTCGAGGCGCTGTGGGAAACATTGCTAAATATACACATGGAACAGCACAAGGAAACAGACGCTCTCATTCGGAGTTTGAAGAAGCGCTGAAAGTGTAAATTGAAAGGAGCGACGATGCAAATATAGCATCAGAGGAGAACAAAAGGCAAGGGAAAATAGCACTTTGTTATCTCTTGCCCTTTTTGGGGAATGGGAAACGGCTCAGACAGGGAGACACGGAGAGAGGGATGGAGAAGAGGGGAGAGAAATGGATGAAGTCCCCTCCCCTTTCATCTGGGAGCACCTTTACGACCTACTTTCTCTCTGTTTGCTCTGTAACAAACACACACATCACGGCATTGCAATTGGTTTCTGCCGTTCCCGTTGGACTGCACCATGTCAATCAGAGCAGGAGCAGTGGGGGGGGGGACACACCGAGATGGAGTGCAGATAAAAATGCGCAAAACGTCCCCCGTGAGGAAAAAAGATGAAAGATATGAAAGAAGAAAAGTTTATCCAAAATTGAATGTCGAGAATTTCGTCTCCGGAGAGCGCTTCATCTCACATCAGTTTGCCTGCATTGTCAGATAATCAATGTCACATCTCTGTGTGAAAGGTTATGAACAAAGTGCTAGCTGGGGTGCTCACAGTACGATACAGTACAGCAGATGATGGAGCGAGAGAGTGCATGTGTGCGAGCACATGGTCCTTTTACTGTGTATTCGGTGTCCCATATGAGGTGAAAGCCAGAAGGGGCTGAGTCATGTCTTACTCACTTAGGGAGACAGATGGAGACGCAGGTGTGTGTTTTTCTACAATATGTGTGAGTGTGTCGGTAAACCCACATGGCCTTCAAAAGTCTACAGTATTTAACACGCCGGGGTATGTGTGTCTCACCTTCTTCACCTCTTAATACACAGCTTTTGTTGAGAAAAAAAGTCATCTTCCAAGCCCTAAATGGTGCAATGAGATCATCAACCGCTGCCTCTTTCTACAGCGTTTAGTGTCTGTGTTCAGGTCAGATTTTCAGGTCAGATTTTCAATAGAAGAGAGAAATCTGCTGGTGAAGTTTCGCTGTCAGAAAAATATTTCTTCAGCTTTTGTTGGATTGTACTGCCAGTCATATTGTCTGATATTTGAGCTGTAAGAACCAGCCAGCACCGAACCTAACAGCTGCTCTGTGCCTTAATGCTCTCCTACCAAGGCTGGGCGATATGGCCTCAAATCACGATATATTGAGCAGTTGATTTTGAAAAGGAAGATCAGGAGAGCAACCTGAACAAAAACAAGGAACCTGGAATGTCTCAGAAAGTTTCCCTAAGAACACTTTCTGTTAGGGCTGGGCGATATGGCCTCAAATCAATATCACAATATATTGAGCGTAAATGGACGATAACTTCTCCACAAGCTGCTCACCACCTCCCACAATAACTACCTGCAGACTCTACAGTTGCGTTTAACCATTAACTTTTAGATTCATCAAGAATTAAAGGGATATTCTGGTGTAAAATTAATTTAGGGTCAAATACACGGTATCACCGAGTTAGACACCCCCTCAAGAGATGAATGTTGCCGACCACTTGTTTCTCTAGTTATACCAACTTTAGTAACAACCACACGATAGCAATACACAGCTGTCTGAGGAGCCATAAACAAACCTCAACCAAAACGCCGCTCTATAGCCACAAATAATGCTCAGAACAGCACCTAACTTCATCAACAGGACATATAGGGTCCTAGTCATAGTACTAGCCACCAAACATCTTTTTTTACTTATACTAGACTAAACACAACTCACCTACTCTCTTCCAACAGCCACTTGTTTGTAGCAAGACCTCAGGCGAGTCCATTACAGACTATAGTGGGGTGCCGCAGCTCAAGGAAGAACATTTATGATCATTTCTTGATCATTTCCTTGAAGTAATAATCATCACATTTATCATTTTGCACTGCAGACGCGGTCGTTCTTCTGTCTTAGCGTCTCAGTCTGATTGCATTTTCATGAAGAAATGGTGTGTTTCACCTGAAATTAATTTAGTGCCGGAATAACCCTTTAACCTTTAGACTCCTTAAGAATAAAAATCTTTGCACATATGAACAGTTATGTTTTGACACTGAACAGTCACTTGTATCACTTGTAATGGATTAAAACAGAGTCAGTTTGTTCTGTGTACTCTAACTCACCGCAGCCACCGCTATCCTGCAGCAGTGATTACAGCCACTGAAAATCACCATGTAGAAATGATCTTTCTTGTCACCGGTGGTCTTGTTTGCTTTTGTAGGTCACATAGAGGTATGAATATTAATTTCAGTTTGTTTCATAACCAGCTAAAAATTGTTTGCAGGAGCTTAAATACATCCACACCGTTATCATCCAGTAATTCATCCAGGTTAGCAGCAGTAGGAATTATCTCCTCGACATACTCTGAAAATATGAGACGTAATGCTCATGCTAAAATGACGATTGCGTGTCATTCTAGTTCTGCTAGTTTTAGCAGAGAATTCCCAGAGTCACTTTGCTCCGCTTGTCTCACATTATCTCATTTTTGCTGTGGGTGAAAAAAGAGGACTGACGTGATCTTCCTGAAATGGTTTTCAAAGTTAAGGCTCATAAAAAAGTCATGTAGAGAGACTTTGGATACACTTAAAAAAAAGGAAATGTTGTGAGGATGGAGCCCGGAGGCACACGACATGTGACTGTGAACTGTGAGGGGACAAACACATTACCGGCTCAAGGACTTTCTGCTTGGTAAAACAAAGAAAAGATCAGCGGCAGGTTTCACAAACCAACAAAGAGCATCTATCTTTCATCACATGTGGCTCTGCTGCGTGCTTGTTGTGGTCTGAAATATGTGTCCAAAAAAGAGGAAAACTACCTCGCATGGTTGTCCTTGAGTTTTAGCAGTTAATCCGGCTGTGTCTTTAAGCTTTAGCCTCACTGGATTTCTGGTGTTTGATTGAAACTGAAATAACTTTAATCTGTTTCCTTTGAAGATGTTTGCCCGCGGACAAACATTGTTTGACGGGGTTTTGAACTCTGCATTGCTTACTCGTAAAGAACAACCTCAAAATTACTTTGAGTGGGGATTTTTGCAAATATTACAGCTGCTTAGTGTTAATCCCTGTAAATTTCTCATCAGTGTGGGACAGAGGGTCAGTGCTGTACCAAGTTTAATGGCCCGGCACTACAGCCCAGGGTTTTGGCTTTGGCACTGCACTGAAGACAATTCATCTCCTGTCCTCCTTCTTCCTCTCCCCCACTCTCTCTTTCTGGCACAAATAGGCTTATCAGTTGGTTGGAAGAGGTTTTTTTCCCCCCACCTGCATGTCCTGTATGAATTAAGAGTGTCTGTTTGTACGATGCCACATGGGACTTATAGACTTGCCAGAAAAATGGGGCAAACAGCGATGATAAAAAGCTTCTTCCTCACAATAGTCTATCACGTTCACTTTCATTTTCATGGACACACAAACACACATGCAAACAGAAGCAAAAAAAAAAAACCAAGGCAAACAAATACTAAGTCTGAATTTAATCAGCTGCACAGGCAGGGGTGCTTCATATTCGAAGGCCAACAATTCCCTGTGAATGCAAACGCAGCCTCAGCATTTACTACAAACCGCAGAACCGGATCCTGGAAACCTGCAGACAATGGCCCACCTTCAGCACACACTCTCATTCAGACACACAAACATCTGTAAAGCACTGACCTCCCCAGCCATGTCCTGCGACAGACAGATATAGAGCTGCCTGGTGCTTTCCGCCTGCACTAAATCTCACCAGTAACACCACGGAGAAGGCATAACCTCTCTGGGGAGAATTATAGCTCAACAACTGCACACAACAGATCAAACAAATATTCCCATGAGCACCTGGCTGCAGCCGCCAAGCCTGGAAATGGACAGTATAGTGAAGGATTAGACTGAGGTTTTTGTCTCCTACATACACAAAAGCATGGAGCCAGTTTATACATTTTAGTGTGCAAATTAACGCCTTTCCTCGGGCCAGTCCATTACGGACTACAGAGGGGTGACGCAGCTGAAGTAAGAACATTTATGATCATTTCTTCATGGAAATACAATCAGACTGAGACGCCACTGAGACTGGTGATTCTTACTTCAAGGAAATGATAAAGTAATGATCATATATATTAGATGGACTGGTTGAGGTCTCGCTACAAACAAGTGGCTACTGGAAGAGAGTAGGTGAGTTGTGTTTAGTCTCTTTGCTAAAGAAATTAGTCAAAGCTAAAAAGATGTTTGTTGGCTAGTACTATGGCTGAGACCCTATATGTCCTGTTGATGAAGTTAGGTGCTGTTCTGAGCATTATTTGTGTCTATAGAGTGGCGTTTTGGTTGAGGTTTGTTTATGGCTCCTCAGACCGCTGTGTATTGCTATCCTGCGGCCGTTATTAAAGTTGGTATAACTAGAGAAGCAAGCGGTCGGCAACATTCATCGCTCGAGTGGGTGTCTAACTCGGCGTTACGGTGTGTTTGACCCTAAATTAATTTTACACCAGAATATCCCTTTAACATCCTCTAAAGTTACTTACTAAAGCTTTAAAATTTGGTCGGGATTCACAACAAAAATCAGCCATGATTTAAAAAATATCTATTCTATTAAAATTCAATTTTATCCAATTAAAATGATGAATAAAAGTTGCTGTCATTAATTCATCAACATGCCTTCTCATTCTGACACAGTAGGTAGTGGAAAGAGGTTCTTCAGTTGAGTATTACGGTGGCCGAGAACTGCCACTGCTGCAAACAAAACTAACTATGAAGGAATTAAAACAACCTAAATGCAAGATGACAGAAAAATACAGACTGCTGCTGTTAGTCCAGTGAGTACGTTTAGTTTGATGGCCCTGATGTTGGATTAAGATATTAAAATGAAAAAGCCTGCCCAGGAGTGCATGCATAAAAAATAGTGAATCTGCATCTTAAATATATTACATATTAGTCAGTCATGCCCTCAGGTGTGCATAAGCAACTCATTTCAAAATACTAGACTTAAAAAAAAAGATCTGTAATCCTATCAGTGTCAACCATCAGGGCACAAAAATATCCATTTCCTGCATACTAAAATATAGAGCAGTTTAACTGAGGTAAGAGGAGCTCATAAAAGTTGTATTTCAGTGCAACACAGACAGGTAAACACACACTCGGTGAGAGCATACTGGGTTATCTGGCCTCAGTCTCTTGGAAGGAGGTCCTCCGTCTTCAGGATGGAGCATGTAGAACAGACGTACCTTGTTGGCATGTTTCTTGCTCTGAGAAAGAGAGGCAGACAGACAAACAGACAGACAAAAAGAGTCAGAGTGTCAGCCATTTCACTGGGTTTCATTTTATCACGAGAGCCACAAGTCCACCACAGACTGTCACCTGTCAGCTCGGCGACTCACTCCCAGCTTTTATCTCTGTTTCAGCTGATGATGCTAGCAGACATTCGGCCCCCGGCTGGGTGACTAATGGCCTGGGCCAATCTGTGCTTTCCAAGAGCCCAGAGTAACATGTGGTGTGGGAGGTCATGCAGGAATAAGGGATCTTTACTCCGTCTCTGGGCTCTGCTGAGTGAATCATTTCTGAGGTTCAAATTGCGATTGATCTGACATGATGATATCCTGCTCATAAAAAAAAATACAACAAAACCTGCACCAGTATTTTTTGGGATAACCTCTCTGAAGTTATACAATAGATTTTTGCACTGATGACAGCTGCATAAAAAGCTGAGCTAATGGATTAAAACAGAACATGTAATATTTAAAGATGGTTCAATACAGAGCTGTAATGTTCATGGATTTCTGTCCTGCTAACACAGTTATAATCTGCCTCTGTCACAGGCCTAGCATGTTAAAGACTATGAGCCATAATGAAACCAATAGTGTTTCTATGAAAGGACATTGAGTTGTCCTTCTTAAGCTGCTAACTGTCACTTTAATGCAGAACAATGGAAATCACTGGGCACACTGCGGGGTAAAGATTAGACCACGTGTGTGTGTGTGTTTGGACAGCTCAGTGTGTTTGTTGACACAGCTTTCTTGCTCTATATACATTTTTTTTCTTTATTGGCGCGCTCTGACCTTCACTCCCTCTTACTATATAAATTCTATCAATATCTACAAAATGCCACCACAGCTGCGACCTCCCAGAAGAGAAAGTCAACTCTGGATCTTTATCTTTATTGCAACATGTGCAGTTAAATACTCAGTATTGTGTGCCAGACTGCAGGGACACAAGACTGTGATTAGAACCAAGTTTCAAGAGGGTTGAATGTCTCCTTATGGATCAATGAGAGATGGAGGTGATCTCATTCAGCACCAGGGGACAGATTTAGTTTATGTCGGGATACTTTTTTATCCAAAGCAATAACCTGTTGGTTAATTCAAGTAGACAGTTGGCTTTATTAAGTGTACAGCACGCTGCCAACTAACTAAAATGTGCAGCTGGGGTCTGGGAGTCCTCCCTGAGAAAATATCAATTTTAAAGAGGGAGTGTTATGCTTGTTTTTTGGGCTTTATATTGTCCCTCTGATGGCTTCTTACCAGCTTTACGTGATTTACAGTTCAGCAAACTCTTCACATTATTCAGGCTGCTGTCTTTGAAAACCTTCACTTCAGCCTCTGTCCGAGATGCTTAATTTAAGCGTCTCTGCGTTTTTGTGGTTTGTATACAAAAAGCTTTTAATATCAATCAATAGTTATTAGTTATTGATGACATTTGGTAATTTAATGATATCTGTGTAGTTAACATTTTACATTTTTTGAGCGAAAAAGGCCACGACTGCCGACACAAGGAAGTAAACGAAGTAAATACCGGAGACTCTGGTGGAATAACAGGCGCTTAAAAAGGAGGTAGACCAGACAAGAGCTAAAAAGCCGGGTCAACATAAACGATGGGAGACGCTTGGGGATATTGGTGACCTTTAAATCTTGGTGACCTCGGGTCCTGGACTATGTCACTTTATCCTAGTTGTAGAAGTCCTGCAAACATTGTGTTTGCTGGTAGTCTGTTGGCATCTACAGTAGCACCGATGCTTTTTACTTTCACGTTGACTGGGCCCCATTTGTGATTTGGCTCTTCCTCAGATCCTGCCTACCCCACCTTCAAGTTTTATTTTGGAGAATAGACATTTTTGTGCATCTTGAATTCTTAGATCTATATGATTAATTTCTCAATCTTAATACAAACAAACTGCTGGACTTCACTGCACGCTTTATTGATATTTCTGCTCTGTTCTCTGTCTCTGTACAGCCGTGTTTGAGTACGCACGGTGAATGTGTAGTTTTGAATCAGCTTGCTGGATAAACTTCATTTCAACTTTGTGAACTTGCAAGAACAAGATTGAGATTGAGGATTGATTTATGGTGAACAGCGTTTCCTCATGTGGGAATCACTTCACCCTTTTATCCGTAGAATTTGTGGAGTTGTGTTTTTTTTTTTTTTTTTAAATAAAATGTTGAAGTAAATGGAAGTCTATATCAGCTCACAAAGAGAGCCAGCAGCAGTCCTCTGTACCTGCTGCTCCACAGCCTCCATTAGATCCTCTTCCCCCTGGGACAGGAGTCACCTCCCCACCCTAACACGCCTCCTCACATGCCTCCTTACTTGTCCACTACTTTAGTGCTTTTTGTCACTGTTAGTGTGCTCATGTGTCTTGAGTGTACGGCTGTGTTTATAGGTGTATAAATGGCCGTCCAGCCGATGAATCTGGGATACGGTCTAAAGGCAGGGCCTGGTGTCACCATGGTTACCTTGAGCTGACCCTCAGAGCTCACTCTGCTCTAATGGACTATGCATGTCTCTGTGTCACTTCCTTCTGAGTGTCAAATCAGACGGTGGCGTGCAAGAATCATGTGCATCAGCCCTCCGAGGGCCGTGAATGCAAGCCGAAAAGTCGGGGTATTTCACTGATCCCTGAACAGTTTGATCATTGCTTAATCCGCGCTGCAGGAAATAAGACTTTGAAGTCACTGGAACTTTCTTCCTGGCTTGTACTCCCTTTACATGAGTCATGTCTGTTTGTGTGTTGAGCTAATGGATGGGGTTACAGACGGATAAAGGAACTTCCAAAAACTGGATCAAAAGTTTGAAAACCATTCTGACAGAGGCTCGACTTTGTAGAGTTAGATGGCTGACAAGACAATTTTAGCTGTTTGATGTTGAGTTTTTTGCTTACATAGGTTCAAACAAATCCTCTTTACTTATAAATTTCATTTTATACATGCAGTTGCAAAATTCAGAGTTTCATAAAGTGAGAAAAAGGGCTGCTCAGTCGTAAACCAACCTGACAGTTACAGGGCGAAAAGATAAAATATACCTCCGAGCAACGGGAAAGAAATACACAGCGATTGTAAAGTAAGGAGTCTGAGAGGAGCATCAAAACGCAGCAGAAGTTACAGAAGAAACAGTTCCATAATTCAGTGTTGAGTGCACAATAACGCCTGTAGCTATGAGGAGCTGTAATCAACAGCCAGAGACAGACACAACCGTTCCTACATCTTCAAATAGAAACCAAAGGATGGTCAGGGGTGAGCTTGAGGCCAAAACATAAAGGATGTGTATTTGGAGCGTGGCAGCAGCGTCGCGGATCACGCAGCAAATAGGTAAAGAGGTTATCGAGAGGAGTGCTGCTAAAGATACGCAGCGAGTGATTTTTGCTGCTCTACGCTTCCAACTCGCGTCAATCTACACAGAGACGATCGTTCTAGACAGGAAGTCAAGCACTAAAACTGCACATGTCATCCGGTATCTCAAAATAAAACACCATATGCGAACTCCTGACTGTGTACAAGTTTGTGTAGATGAGAAATCCTTCCTGGTTCTGGATTTATCAGTAACACAGAACAATCTGATGGTCAATCCCTGATCCATGTGGACCCAACAGGACTTTGAAAAGAACATAGTTTACTTTATTAAACACGAGTAAACCTGCAAAAACACAAACTGTAAAATCCCATTTTTTTACATACAGTAGAAGCTCAACGGTCACTGAATTATATCCAAATTAGCAGGAAATCGACCACAGAAAGGCGAAACGACCTGTTGTGAGCATGTTGTCTCCTCTGAGCCCAGCTGACCGGGGCTGCACTACGCTGCTGCTACGCTCCAAATACGCTGATCCTGTATGAGATTCCAAATGCTGCTCTATGGAGCAAATTGAGACGCGCTCAATACAGATCCTGTATGTTTTTTCGGTTTACTCTCCATGAAACAGAAAGGGGGTTTGACTCAATTTCTTACTTTTCTTTTGTACCAAAACTAATCTAAATGTTGGTCATATATTTAGAGCCTGAATTTTGTTGAGTAGATCGAACTATCGACTCTCTGAGGACTGTAAGAAAACAGAAAGTGCATTGATTGGCTTCTACAGAAAGAGCACTCATATTCCAGCCTCTTGTTTTTGCTTTTATTTTTGTCCTCTATGTTACACATTTTATTTATATACTGCATATAAAATACTGGAGTCAAATTATGTAATTAATCCCTAACCTCGATGAACAACCGTCACCATTCAAGATGCGTGTAAGTCGAGGGCCGACTGCTAAAATAAACCATATGAGTCATACTGAGTGAATATACTATATACAGTTTTAGTGTAATGGGTCTCATAGTAATCAGGTTACATCGTCGTCACAAGCTCTTCTTATATTGCATGTTTGACACACCGAGCGAGCACCAGCCGAGATTTCAACCAAGAAAACTGGTGAGAAATCAGGTCGAGATTTATGACCTAATTTCAGCCCAAACATTAGCGTTTATTTAAAACCAGTCTATTGATATATTGTTTATTTTAAGAGTAAAAACAGGATAGAAATGGCCGTGTTTCTTTATTGGTAGTTTTCCAGTGGTATTTAAAACCCCATCTGTGCAAAAAAGCAATTCAGCATTTTATTTTCTACACAAAAATCATAAATTTGGTGCATTATGGGCTGTTTAATCTTAAGGGGATGTTTTTAAAACATTGCTCTAAACCTTCTTGTTAAGAGTAAGGAAAAATGAGACTGTGCGCACTGACACTTAGAGACTGTGAAGCTCCTGCACAGACTTAGAAACCAGACAGACTTCTGGATGCTGACGTTGCTAATCGATACCTGATAGGACAGTAGCTGACAGAGGTGGGTGGCCTGTATACCGAAGGTCAAAGGTCAGATCTAGCCTGAGTCTTTTAAATTGCTTGTTGGTGACAGTCTCACACTGTAATACGATCATTTTAGCCACATGAGACATAAAATTATTGGTAATGTGTGATCAAGTGTGAAGGGATCTGGCGACACGAGCAGAGTTAACAGTGAAATCTCATCTAAATGTATATATGCTTGATTAAAAACCTTTAAAAAGATAGGTAGAGAATTTTTTTTCATTTTTTTATGATGTATTTTCAACCAAAGCTCTAAATGCCTCCTATTTGTGTTAATGGAAAATGCTAAGTAAATGGAACTGGTTACTCGAGCTGTCACTTTTTATCCAAAATTCAAACATTCATTCAAACTCTGTGGAAAAAAGTTAATTTTTGAGCTTTTTCAAAATCATTAAAATAAAGTTTAACGGCGCATCAGGCTGCAGAAGAGGCTTAGTGTATGATCCAGCAGAGGGCGCTCTCATTGTTATCTGACCAATCCAGGTCCCATTTCAGAGGCTCAGAAAAAGGCCATCGCGGGTTAGATTGCAAACGGAAATATTCAACACGAGCGAAAAAATAAAAGACGCTTTTCGCGCCTGGTGTGTAAGGACCTTTACTCTGATGTTGGGTTTAAGCACAGAGTCAGAGTGATGGCAGAGCTTGGGTTTGACGCTGCAGAGGATTCTTGTTGTAAGAAGAGCTTCTGAGGGTGACCGTGGGTGGAGCTGAGCTACACAAACTCTCACTCAGTCTCGCTTGTTGTGCAGTTTAGAGACGGCCGAGTTTGAGTGGAGCTAATGACAGTGGTGGACAAAGCTGTAATGGTAGATAGGCTTTGTGCTACAAGGAACAAATCTGTTTTTGTCTCTTGACTTTAAAATGATGAGGTCTATTATAGAAACCATAATCCCATCCAAACTACAGGCTCAGAGATCCACTGCAGCGGTTGATGAATGCCTATCTCTCTTCCTCAACTTGTCGCCCTTTTCTTTTCACTCTGAATGCAGCATAAAAGAAAAGGCCTTCTGCTAAAACCGTTCTTTGTCTTGTTTCCTTGATCTTCTGACCTCGGCAGAGACCATTTGTGAAGGGTGACACTAAAGACCTGGGAGACTCAGCTCGTCCATTTGTTTGCACAATTCAAGGCTGGATGTTTTCTCTCTTTTATTTTATTTTAGTTTTCTGAAGTTGAGACACAAATAAATTCCTCTCATATGAAGGCGGTTGGTTCAACGTGCTCTGGTTCGGAGTTTCTTCTCTCCAGATAAGAACCTTGTCCTCATTAGTCTGCTTGTTAATCCCAATTGTGTCTTGTAATCAAGGACGACCTCAATGCAACACACGTGCACGAACAGGCATGCATATGTGTCCGTGCGCACAGACACACACACAGATGGATGGATTCTATTTAAATAAGGCACGGAGCTGATTATTTAATGGCTATTCATTAAATTACTCTGAGTGAGTCTGCTGAGAGGTAGACAACATTAAAATAAAGTGAGTGTGTGTTTGTTTGTGTGCAAGTGGCTGGCATTACCATACTGCATTAAGTCTATGTATAATGGATGAGCACTATTTTGAACGGCACAAGCACAAATTGGTACAAATAAGGCTGATGCAAAGCGCACAGTGCAGGAAGCTGCTTGCTCGTGCGGCGGCCGCAGTATCACAACATTTTTCTTCTTGTTGTTGTTGTTTTGTTGAAACGCTCCTGTTCGAGCAGAGACGGACTCACCTCGTAGTGAGCGGTGCGCTGGGACTCGGAGATGAGCTGGGCATTGCAGATGTTACAATAGCTCTCTGTGAACAAGCCTCCATCCACGACGCCCGCAGACTTCATCTTCATCTGAGACTACACAAACACACACACACACACACACACACACACAAATAAGAAGATGATTAGAATGCAGGACTGAGTAAAACGTCAGTGAACCGTACCGTGTGTGTGTTCGAGGTGCACGATCATGCATGGATCTCTCTCTCAGTAAAGAAAGAGTTTCATTCAGAACGACAGATTCAGAGTGACAGTTCAGCCCAAAATATGTTGATCCTCTCTGTCAGAACATCCTCTCATGGATGATTTTGGCTCCAGTCTTGGAAACATGTCCTCAGGCTCAGGCTCCTCTTTCTGCATTTTACTTCTCAGTAAAATTTGTATATATATTTTTTTGCTTTTAGAGGCCTTTTTAAAGGGAACGGCTGAAGATTCAGGCAGAAACAAAAGGGTGTTAAGACCTCGATCATGTCAGAATAAAAATTCATATACACTATATACCAGAGGTGGGGGAAAGGCCCTATGTTGCAAGTCCAAGTCGAGTCTCAAGACTTTCGAATCCCAACCAAGTCCTAAAAGTTTTGCTTTGAGTCCCAACCAAGTCCTTACCATTTCTTTCAAGTCAAAAACAAGTCATATCAAAACCATAAACCATTTGTTATATGTAAAGATTTGCATAAATCATGAGCATTTTTCACTATTTGCATTTATTATTAAACAAGGTTTCTTGTTTGTGTTAAGTTACATAGTGCAGCTTTAACCAAACTATTTTACATGTCATACAAAAAATAATCAGATAAACTTCAATAATTGGAAACTTAGACAATCTGCACAAAAATAAGGAAGACTCAAATACAATTAAACATTAAACTGATACTCTAATTCACTGTTCCAAAACAAAACAAGAGAGAGACACAAGGCAACACGTGGAAACAGGCGGGCAATACTAGCGTGCGATTTATGTTCAGTCCTCCCTGTGTTGTGGTTATGTGAGGGAGGCTAGAGTTTGAGACAGTGTTGCCAAGTCTCGTGAAAGAAATAAGGAAACAGACCCTCAGAAACAAGCCAAAAAAGAGCGAATTTTTTTGCGGGAAATAAGCAGACTTGGCAACACAACACGGTGTTACCAACAGCCGTAATTCCTGACTATTAGTTGATGCGACACTTTTTAAACGGTTTGGGCTTGCTGTAAGGTATTAAGTGACTTGAAAAGACTTGACTTGACTTTTCAAGTCACTGGGCTCAAGTCAAGTCAAGTCAAGTCTTTAGCAATCAAGTCCCAAACGAGTCCAAGTCATTTCTTTATTTCAGTCCAAGTCCAAGTCGAGTCTCGAGTCGAGTCGTCAAGCCCCCACCTCTGCTATATACACATCCATTAACTCTACTGCACCCCTTCTCCATAGCTGGTGTAACAGGTTCAAAGTACGATTATGCTTTTCAGTTGTTACGGCAACAGAGGACATGTTAAGAAAGAAAGGAATAAAGGCAGAGAAATGAAATGAATAAAAGGAAGTAAAAAGGTGCGATTACTGTGCAGCTGGGACATGTTCTGCAGTAGACGACAGGTTCAGGTGACATTTATATGATAGGATCGATGACAGCAACTTCATCGCAGTGTGTCAACTGTGGTATGAGGAGCAGACAGCACTATCTGGTGTAATGTATGATGATAGTTTAAAGTGCAGAGGGTAGAGGCAGCAGAACTACAGAAAAAAGAACATAAGATGTAGGTATAGAAAATGATATAGTACAGTATGTTGTACTGCATAAATATACTAGCATGTAGTACAGGATTGAGCATTACAGTACGGTGCATTGTGCAGTGAGTCATACATGTGTCATGGCTGTAATGCATCTCAGATTGATGCTATGAAAACACTAAACTGTTGCCATAGCTGCAGCTTTAATCAAAGATCTATAGGAGTACATCCAATCATAGAAATCTCTATAGAAGTATAAATCCAGTAAGATGTAAGAGGTTGGATGAAGAAAATGCAGGAAAAAAAGGAAAGAGGTCTAAGAACACAAGAAAGAGACTACGACTGAGGAAGCTTTGACACCCAGCAGACTCCGAACTTTAATCTGGTGCTGCTGAAAACGAAAGATGACCAATTTTTAGGCTCATGTAGAGTTTACTGCTGCTGAAGACACAGTTCAGACTCTAAGATTATAACAGACTTTATTTTAATAGAAGACAGAAAATCATTCTGTGTGTTCATGTGGCAGAGTGTGGGTGTTTTCACCGAGTAACTAAATGAGCATAATAACATACAACCTTTCTTCAGCCACATGTCAGGATCTGCTTTAACAGCTTGTCTGTCCAAATCAAAGATTATATACATTCTGGGCAAAGTCACAGAGAATCCCCCCATGGGAAGAAGAGGTATTTTGAAGCCAATAATGGCAGCTGTCATATAAGAAGTGCTGACTGGAAGTAACCTTTGGTGAAGAGGTGAAGCTGAGACATGCTTTCAGCTTCCTGGCAAACAGCTGCAACGGTCCTTATCTGTCCGTCAAACCGGCCATGTGTATAAGTATGCAAATCTATGCATAAGTGTCAGTCTTTATATAGTCAAAATGGAGGAGTTATATAAAATAAAAATCATCCTCCATAGAGAGCATAAAATAAATAAATAAACTCCATTATATCACTATCCTGACTAAATCTGTTTTTGTAAGAGGCTGTAACCGGTTTTAAATTTGCTGTAAAACTTTAACCTTGGTGTTAATGGGGTCCTCTCAGCTTAACGGCTGTTTTTCCACTTAGGTATTTGTTATATTTCCAAACACTTGAGGATGCCACTTGGTCAAAATTACCCTGTTGTTTAAATGGTAAGAGTTTATTTAAAAAAATGAACACTTGTATCCTCAGTGTCCACACCTGCTGGAGTTATTTGTTGAGGGTTAGAAATGCAACATCAGTGTTTGAATTAGTGTTGGGTGGTATGAACAGAAACTTATATCACGGTATGAGTAATTTCATATCATGGTAACGTGTCTGTAAATTCAATTAATATCTTAAAAATAACCATACAGTCACATTTGTTCATTTTCCTTTTATTTTTAAACTCTGATTTGTAAACAAGCTGCCAGACCAGTATGGTGATTTTTTTATCATATGGTGTACCTTTGGCGAAAGACTCTGCCAAGCTCTTCTGTATGAGAGGAGCTGCTGCAACTTTAGTTTTTGGTGCAGCAGGTGCCTCACGCATCTTTCAGCTCTCATAATAGAGCTTGGCGTGTTTCATCTTCAGGTGGTGGAAGAGGTTTCTGATGTTTCCTCCTCCAGTAACAACAGCCACACGACACTCTTAGTGTAGTTTTGTTTTTTGAACATTGTTGGATTTTCTAAATCCAAAGAATCTCCAGACAACCGATGTCGTGACTCGCGCCCTTTTTCGCAACGAGTTCCTCCTCCTTTTCTTCATGTTGGGTGGGTCTGGCTGCCTCCGTTTGCTCGGTACTGCCACTAATCTCTGCGCTGTTTCTTCTTAATCGAACTATGCCGAGCAGTCTGCTGGACACGCTGGTGATTATAGGGAGTGCACCCAAAGCTGACCAATCAAACAGAGCGAACAAACTCTGCATGACGACTAGTGAATATACGGAAACGCACCCAAATGGATGCACCTCGTCTTTCCTGTTAGCCCAGACAACTCCACGCTGACTCAGACAGATGCAGCAGACATCTGCTCTTTCTCTCTCCGGTATAAACAGTATAACGGTAAAACTGGTAGACACTTTTAGCGTCATACCGCCCAACACTAGTTTAAATTAAACAAAAGTGAAGTAAAATCTGCTCCATCTTTGTTTTTCCTCTAAAAGCAGGACTGTTGTTTTGGAGTAAGAAAACGTTCACTTTTTTTTTTCAAGCCGTTTCCTTCAAGGTCGGGTTTATCAGAGTTGACTGTTCGTCTTTTTGTTGGAAGTGAGACGCAGTGGTGTGAGGAGAGGACTACCTTTGTGTCCCCCTGTAATCACTCGTCTATTGTACAGGCTCACCGTATAAGGCTCAGATGGCATGTGTGATTTTGTTGCGATTACACAATACCGTCCTGATTGTGGCCTGATCCAAAGAGCAAAGGGCGCCGACAACTACCACTGTCATGTCAGGGCCGTCTCAACAACACAGTCTAGCATGTTTGATTCTTTTTGCCTATAATTAAAGTTTCTTTTTCTCATCTGTGAGTAAAATTGGAGCTCAAAGCACACGGCGAAACAAAAGGGAGAAGATGCAGTCAGCTGGAACTGTGAAAGAGTAAAGTAGTAATGGCTGTTTGAGCTCTGAGAACAATCTTGTTAATGTGTCCATGAGGGACTACTCCTGTTTTTTAAGCACTTGTACCACCGAGTTACCTCAGAGCACCTCATTAATAGATGTATTAACCAGAGACCTAGGCTCTGTGGGGTCACCCTCTGGTTTCTGGGGAGATGTTACGAAGCTGAATCAACTTTTGGTCGAGCGAGACACATGGAGAAAGGTGAAGCTGGGGTGGGTGTTTGGCCTCCTGGAGACGGCTACATCACACTCTCCTGACTCAGCCGAGCAGATTTTTACAGCCTGTTTAAAAAAGATCATCTCACTTATGGTGGTTATTAATAATTCAATGAACTGTTCAGTGAAATCTTCCCTTTAAAAACAGGGTCTTGACGCAGGCGTTGATTGAGCTTTTGGCCTGAAGTGGACGCTCAAGGATCTGCTTTTTTTCTGCACTTCCTCATCGACTTCAACTCCAAACATCAGTTATGTAAAAAGGCGGCATCATTGACGTCAGATAACCCCGAATTTCCACCACATCAGGAACATTTCCGATCTTGAACCTTTTGTGAGCCGAATTTCGTAGCAGATTACGGACAATGGGAATCGCGAGAACTCACAAGAACCCATGGATTTACGTGCAATCGCGCGGTAACGGACCGTCTCTAATTAACAGCCAATTAACCGTATAAGCATTAGAATTGTGTCCTTCCAGAGGAGGAAATCTAGACTTCCAAACTCAGCATCTCCATGGTGTCATCGGGATGAAATGCTGTCTGTAAACCTTTTACTTTTTCGGCCCTGCCCATTTGCATGGTGTGAAATATGATCCCCCTAAAACACTGAGTTTTATTTTGAAAAGAAGCCGGATGTTTTACTTTGTGTTTGTGCCTGACTTCCTTTCAGCTGTGGAGTCCGGCGATCTGCAGCGGAACGGAAAGAAGCCGGTGGAAATTAACACATTAAGCCATATGTGTCTTTTAGGACTTGTTAACCAAGTCCAGCTGGATCACCCTCATCACCCCAATTTTCTGTTCCCTTCATTGGTTGCCAGTGACATTCAGGATTCATTTCAAGGTTCTTGTTTTCGTAAATAGAGCTCCGCATGGTCAGGCCCCAGAATATATTGCTGACCTGCTTCGTCCCTACATTCCAAATTCGAACTCATCGAAAACAAGAGGTGATCACACATTTGAAGTGGTGGCTCTAACACTGTGGAACAGTTTACCTGCTGATATTGGTTCAGCTGTTTCCATTGTCACTTTTAAAAAGCTTTTAAAGACTCACTTATCTAAACAGGCCTTTAGCTCCCCCAGCTTTAACGAATGCTCTATTTATGCCATTGTTTCTTTTTCCCCTTTGACTTTACTTGATGTTTATGATTGTGTTTTGATTTTTTTACTGTGAAGCATTTTGTGAATCTTTTCTATGACAGGTGCTTCATTAAATACATTTTACTTACTCACTTATTAACTAGAATGGTTACGATCAGCTGTGATCGGGGGATACGGCCTTTTCATAGCCGTTCCATATGCGGTGGAAATCGGGGTCGAGAACTCCTTCAGTGCTTTTGGTTCTGCATGCATTGACAACTTGTACTAAATCTTGCTGAGTTCTTCTCCTTCCTAAAACAAATTGACCTGCTGGTTTACACAAGAAAAAAAACAGAACAAAAGTTTCTCTTACAAATCGATTCTTTCTCCGCAGCGGGGCACTGGGATCGCAGAGTTGATCTGCTCTGCATTAAAGTAAAACCTTCATCTCCTCTTCCACTCAGACTCTGAGTTTAAATACAACTTTCACTTCAGCCTGGATCTTGATTTCTGCTTTTTCACATTCACTCTTGCAAAAGAAAAAGAAATACTGTATTAGAGACTCGCTGCTTAAACTTTCTGAACACTTGCAGGAAATAGTAAGGCTGTTAAGTGAGCGGCAAAGCTAAGAGAAAGGTTTTTAGGATTATAGTCTCAAAGATAATCTTTTAAAAGGTCTCTATCAAGGATCCCCAGAGGGAAACAGTGTCTTCAAACCTTGTCTTTGCTTGGATTGCCTAACCAGTAAAACCATAGAGACCTGAGCACCCCACTGAGAGCTGTGGCTGTGCGATCTTAACAACCAGGCGGCAGTGTTTTCTTTTGCCGCTTTACAGATAATAGAAGATGGTTTAATGATGAGCCCTGTGGTCTTGTGCTCAATTTTCTATTCTCTTCATTATGTGTGTGCTGTAGGCGCTGCTCTGACAGGGTTAGGGTGAGTAACGGGTCTGCGGGGAACCGTCCAGGAACATCAACCATTAAACTGGATGAGCTCCTCTCCCCGAGGATGCAACAACACAGAGTGCTTAAAGGGGCCAGGTGCTCCACAGTGCAGGATCGGCGGATGCTGCAGAGGTCAGCTCCAGTTATTTTAAAAGACTCTGACCTTTAGTCCCGCGGGGGCGTCCCGGGAAATCGCGACATTAGTGATGAGATGAGACAAAATGTTGTGCATGTGTCAGCAGGGAGGAGAAGTGACAGGAATTGATGGTCTTTATTTCAAGTCTGGTGCGGTGTAATTACCTCCAGCCGATACGTTTGCGCAACACTCCCGTGCACACACTGGCACACATGACTGTGCACACGCAGCTGGTAATTACCTCTGTCTGTTTCTCTTGTCTGTTTAGTGCACCTTGGACCTTCCAATTAACCACAGACATGCCGCACAGACGCTTCTTCCATTATCTAATTTAATTTACAAAATGAGACCCTTCCAGTGAAATTAAATGGCATTCCTGCTGCATTTCACTATAAATGGATTACCCTACAGTTTACACACGACTGTGAGGTGTAATATTCTGTCTCAAATGTCACCGATGACAAGCCGGGGCCTGTTTTGTCTGGAGGCATGGACGCGTTATTACCTCCATGATTTGAAGCGTCCTCCGAGACATCATGGGACGGATGTATTTCTCAGACTGACACGTTTTATTTCCTGCAGTATTTGTGTCCTCCGGTGTCCTTTCGCTGTTTTTCTTCGCGTCAGTCAAGCAGACGAGAGACTATCTTTTAATCTTTCACCTAATTAAAAGCGATTGTGACTGCATGAAACATCCCTATCGCCTTAATATCTCTATTACCTCCGATTATTACATGCAAAGATGGAAGAAGACGCCTAATTAATAGGAGCAATCTGTTGGTGAGATTAATGGAATGGCAGGCCCGACGAAGCAAAAAGATGGATAGACTGATAATGGGGGGAAATAATGAAAAGAGGAAGAGGAGGAGAGGGGAGAAGTGGGTGAGGAGGGTTATAATTGGAGCGCTGACTGTGATGTCTTCATGTTGCACGGGTTAAGAGGTCTGCGTGTGGGAGTGGTTTCATTCCCGACTTATGAAACAGACCCTTACTGTGAGATATCTTTTTGGAGAATCGAATTAATGTCAACATTTGCATCAATTTACAAAGAAGCACCAACTACAAACAGGCGTGGGTTATATTTAGTAGCAGCAGACATCTTTCCATTGCTTCATTACAGCTCAGCTTTCTAGAGTTACAGTGTAATTTGCATCTTATTTTTCACTCGGCTGCACACGGAGGTCACTGTAGGAAACTGTGTAATCTTGATGATGGAGGTGTCTTATAAAGTAAAGAGAGCGGTGTACGAGCGTCAACTTTACATGCAGTAAGAGTGTCTCAAACCCTATTTTATCATCTGTTTTTTAATGAGGGGTCTGACTCGATGACTGTTGGTACATCTCAGTCAGAGACAGCTGCGTCAAAGAGCTGACGGATGATTTAAGTTAAAGCTCCTGTCAGGAGTTTTTAGCTCGTCTTAGACTGAAAATTAATATTTATGCTTCGCTATGATCTAATAAAGCAAAGAGAGGAATGACTGTCTTTATTTAGTCATACAGTGGTACATTTGATTGTGTGAAAGAGAGCAGGATAAGATTTCTCTGCACACATAGAGGTCAAAATCAGGTTATTTCAATTATTTGTGTTTTCTTGTTTCACATTTTCTGTTTGGATGTAATAACGCTTTATGGTAAAACGATAAACCGCGGTAAAATGTTTGACGGTTTGTACTACCATTTCAAATTTTAATTACCGTTAAAATCGTGTTTGATTGCCACCCTCTGGAAAAGCTCACATTGATACCGCTCAGTGCTGTGCGCAGTATACAACTTGTAAACATGGCAGAGGGTAGTTTTGCGGGCCGTTCTGCCGCCCGTGTTGCAGAGATTTGTCAAAGAAAACAAAGTCCGAAGTCTGGGCGCATTTCAGCTTCTACAAAGGTTTGCAGAGGTTGCCAGGAAGCTTTTGTACATCCCAGCAACCAGCGTGTCATCCGAGAGGCTATTCAGTACCAGCGGGTGCATCGTTTCCCCTCGCAGATCATGACTTAAACCAGGAAAGTAAATATGCTGATATTTTTACATTTTAATCTGAAGCAGTGAACAAAGTCAGCAGCAGTCAGCTTATGGTGGAGGAAACAGACAATCGGTTCATTTGATTAGTCGACATATTTTATGTTATTTTAAAGACCTAAACTACACATTTATTTACATGTGGTTGTTTTGTTTGATATAGTCGTCATTGCTCGGTTTTATATTTGTAAGAGTCGATCTTTTTGAGCTCTGAAGATTCTTACAATTTGCACAATAAGGAATTTCATTTTATTTAAATGTTACTTATTTGTTCTTATGTTAATGTTTAATGCCACTGGCACATTACTCTGTACTTTGTTATTACTAATACTAGTGTTGATTCCCTCTGGCTCTTTTAAAGTCCCATCTTTAACTTTTTAAGCTTATCGTTCCTCTATTATGGAAGGTTAAGGAAAAGTTCGTTCTGCTTGTTATTTTGATTGTTGACTGGATTTATCAATGATAATACATAAATCATTATTATTGATTCATAACACATTGGGTTTATTGGTATTATTTCATAAATCCAATTCTTAATAGTTTCATTTACATTAGACAGATCAAATCAAGTTTATTGGCCTGTTTGTGTTAAATCTCAGTCATTCAAATGGATAAAAAATTTTTTATGCGATCAGGCCGAAATATTTCTCTGAGTGCACACGTCATTCCCCACTCTCTCTCTCTTTTTTTTTTCCAATGTCCCACTCGATCCACTCTTCTCTAAATTAAGGCATGAAACCCCAAATTAAATTTAGAAACGAGAAGTATCTGTTTGTCCTTCTGATTAAATCAAGTAAAAAAAAATCTCTGCCAGGTTGTCTGAGGATTTTACCAAAATCCAAAACAAAAAGGCAACAAAGCAAAAACATTTCACGTCGTCAGTGTTGAAAAATCTTAGCAGGAGAAAACAGCAATCCACGGGCAGAGCTCTGCTTCTGAATACACATCCGTGATTATCAACTGTAAGCAAGTCCACAACAGAGAGGTCACTGGGGTTGGTTTAAGAAGCCAAGAGGACAAACAGTGTTGGTGAGGCAGGAAATAATGGCCGTGTTTTCCCCTGTTGGACATACGCTCATAACAAACATAAATGAGCCAATTATGAAGCACTTTGCCAGTACACATGTAACCTCAGAGCTCTGCAGAAACTGATGCTGCTGCCTCTTACTTTTGGCAAACTCCAAAAGCAGATTTTAGACTTTACTAGGGTTGCAAAATTCCAGGAATTTTCAGAGTTGGGAACTTTCGATGGGAATTAATGGGAATAAATCTGAAATTTACAATATTGAAGGTTGGCCCTCAACAGGGAACTTAAATATAGTTGGTGAGAAATAACCAGATTTAATGCAAGTCCACTCCTCCATCACACGCACAGATGATTTCTTGAACCCTGGAGGCCACACTTTTGAACCCAAAGCACAAGACATTAGAGCCCACAGACTATATAAAGTCAAGTAAGTTTTGATAATATTATGGGGTAAATAAATTTTTATATAATAGTATTAATATTTAAGTTGCAAAATTAAATATAAATAGGTGCTAAATGTAAGCTATTCTTAATTTCATTGACAATTTAGGAGGATAGCTTATGGATGGATGGATGGATGGATGGATGGATGGATAGCTAGATAGATAGATAGATTTTCCAGTTAATTCCCATAATTCCCATGGAAAGTTTCCAATTTGGAATATTTCCAAAATTCCTCATCTTAAGTTCCCATGGAAAGTTTTTGGAAATTTTCCGCCCCTTTGCTCCCCGAGACTTTACAGAATCATCCTCACAGAGTTGACATGTATGAAGGCTTCGTTTGAAGATGGTAATTTAACTTTCTTTCATGCATCATTCAGGATTTTGCAATAATTGACTCATAATCTGATGACAGTTGGTGGGTTGTTTTGCTTATGTGGCCAAACGGCTGTCAATCAAATAAAACGACACCCACACAGACCCACTGAGGCAGACCAGTACAGTTTCCAAAGCTCAATAAGTAACAAAAGGAGGATGTTTTATGAGCCTTAACTTTGAGTACTGATCAGATATTTGTTAGTTGTTTAATGTTGGAGATTCAAGAAGAACTTTTTGGGGTATAAAATGACTTCTTTTTAATGATATGGGGTTGTATAAGGTACTTATAGGCTATCAGCTGCTGCAGGGGCACCATTTTGCTCATTTTAATATGTTGTAGGTGTAGAAATTTCAGAGTGCTTTGCTTTGCCGTCTGAAAGCCTGTATACATTTTCCACCCCCTGCAGCGCTCTGATCAGCTGATCCCCTGTGGGTAGTACTCTTACCGCTGACATGTACCTCATACAGCCCACTGCATTAAAACAAATTAAGCTTTCATCTCCGGTGCTGTTGAGGCAGAAATTAAACAAGATGAAGCTATACAACAATAAAGTTTGAAAGTTTAAGTGGGGTCACAAACAGAAGCGCTAAATAACACGGAGTCAAATCTGTAACCTCAATTAGAAACAGAATCGCTAAAGCGAGATGAGTCTTCATGAGAGCCCGGGACACTTGGAGGCAGAACCAACCTTGAGGGATTTCCTTTTAAGACCACATCAAGTATTTAACACGGATGTGAACTCTGAGCCCTCCCTCAAATCTCAGCCTCCGGCCCCCCCTTCATTTAAAAGCGGGTATCGAGTCGGACGTGTTTTTTTTTTTGTTCTTTTATAATAAGTGCAACCACTTAGACTGTTTTCTGGCGCCAGGGCTTAGAATATTAATTAGTTTGTAATATTACTCGCTACTAAATAGCGCCGCGCTACGTGAGAGCCCTATTGTACTGACAGAGATATAGAGTAATGTTTTAGCCTAATGGGGAGCTTAAGAGACACTACTCCTATTAAAAATACATCCTCAGATCTCTTGTGGCCTGAGAACACACCTAAATGGATAAAATATGTACCGAAGACCGTGTACTGAAGACTATCAAACTCGGAGAAGGATATGAGCGAAACGGAGAGAGCGAGGGATGAAAAGATAAAGAACATCAGGTGGTTTGGGGGGTAGATCTTCTCCACAGGTCTCTCCATCCTCGATATTCCTGTTTTCTCTTTTATGAGCTGTGAACTGGAATATCCGTTCTTCTGCAGTCATATATTCTATACTCTCGCTCTCATTTGGAATAAATAGCTGCCCTGATTTAGCTGTCAAATTATGCATTCAGATGATGAAATATTGACATCAGCCTCTGAGCCAATGACCTGTCTAATGAGTCCCGGGTGGGAATAACAAGAGAAAAGGTTGCGGGGGTAATAATATAGAACCCTATATCGCTGAGGCACTCACCCGTGTCACTTTGATGTTCCACATTACGCTCTTTTCTCCTCTTGGTAATGTTATCTTTCTGAACGCCGTCTTCCTTTTGCATTCCCCCTCTTGCTCCGAGATTAACAGCCCTTTGTACATTAGCAATCAAAGGTACTAGACTGAGGGAGTCAAGTCTTTAAAGCTTCTGGAGCCCCAGTCTGAATCCAAATTCACATTCAGACTGTTTTCACTGCAGGGACTCTCTTTGTACTTTTCTAGCTCAATGCTGCAAACTGCAAACACACACACACGCATACACACACACACACACTCAAACACAGCAGGGCTACAGAGGATGAAGTCTGGCTGTTGAATACAACACTAAGAGCTACAGATCATAAATGAGTAATGCAAATATGTAATTAAGGCTTCGGTCTGTGATTTCAGGTCAAACTTTCCCGGTTCAAAGACAGACGTGAGGACTGAAGGTACAGAAAAGTGCACGCCAAGGTCAGTTCACACCTTCCTCCCCCTGAGACTGTGTGTGCAAGTGTGTCTTTGTTTTTATGACTTTCTCCTCCTCCTCAGCTTCCTGCCTGTTCCGCCCCAAATCCTATTTTGGACGTAATTCACCTCTCTGAGTTATGTGTGCATCCTCTCGATACTGACAGTCTTAAATATTCACACTATGCTTTCCTTTCTCTTAGCCTCTCTTTCCCCATTTCCTCTCCCTCCCTTTCTCTCCCAGTGGTGGAAATACGGCCTCGAGGGCAGGGATTACTCATGAGGGATGGTGTAGGCTAGACTTATCTACTCTTGCAAAAGAAGAGCAGATAAGCCACTGTATTATTCACCTCACTTCTGGAATAAATTGCAATGCAACTTGAAGTTGGAGACGTTCATTCCTCTTGGGGAACCTCGCAGATATTTTTTTAATCTAATATTTGAGATAGGTGTGTGTTCATTGGTGGCTTTACCTTGCTAAGAAGATTTGGATCTTAATGAAACTTACTGAATAAACAAAGATAAGCTAGAAAAAGAAAAGGCCTGTAGGTGTTTTTTCCATAATAGCACCACAAAACTAGTGTAGCATCGCAAACACCAGAAGCTCTATGGAAACAGCTATCAGTTCTCATGCATCGTAATAGCTGTGTGCTGTGTGGTCAACACTGTTAGCAAAGCCAGCTGGTCCGTCACCTGGGTCAAGATTGAAGTGGAGAGTTAAAGTTTGTATAGACACGAGTTTCCACCTCGATATAACTAATTCCTCACTTATCCAAGACGGCATCTCAACTGTCTACTCAGTGGAAATGAAATTAAAGGTGGCGTAGGCAGGAATCCGTTAAAGAAGCATCTTTTTTTGTGTTGTATATACAAAAGAGCTTTTAATATCAGTCAACAGCTATTAGTTATTGATGAGATTTGGGACTATCATGATATCGCTGTGCTTTGTTATGTCTGTGTAGTCAACATTTTAAATTTTTTAAGCGGGTTGCTCTTTCTGACTGTAAACAAACCCGTTCTCCACCTCCCGACCTGATTGGTTGTGAGGCAGACGCTGCTCCCCCGTGTCGTTCAGGAGCCAAAACAAAGTTAGCGTGCTACAATATCGGACAGTAGAAACCAACCAGATTGTTCAGAAAATTGTCTGAATCCTCCTTTAGTCACAACTGCCAACACAAGCAAGAAAACAAAGTAAATACCAGAGACTCTGAAGGAATAACGGGCGCTTAAAACGGAGGTAGACCGGACAAGAGCTATACAGGCGGGTCAACATCAGTGAACGCTTCGGGATCATACGGACCCTGTAACCTTTCTGCTGGACAGGTAAACCGCTTTAACAAAGTAAACCAAGTGTCTGTAACAGAAGTGTTTCTTGTCAAACGGACCTGCTGTAGCGTGTTGTAGCGCCATCGCTAAACTGTCCTCCCTCGGGTCCTGGACTATGTCACTTTATCCTAGTTGTAGAAGTCCTGCAAACATTGTGTTTGCTGGTAGTCTGTTGGCATCTACAGTAGCACCAATGCTTTTTACTTTCATGTTGACTGGGCTCCATTTGTAATTATCTGAAGTATTTATCTGCATTATATCTGAATTTAATTGGAACGATACAAGCGAGCAGGAGCGTCTGTTTGTGGGCGGGGCTTGAGGGGAGAGGAGGAGCTGAGGGGAAAACTGGTTGGGAGGGGTAGAGTTTACATTCAAGATTTCTCCTAAAAACTGGCACTTCCTCAGATCCTGACTACCCCACCTTTCAATGAGACACCTGAGTGACTTTTGAAAAATCTCATCCGTTGTATTTCTTCTTCCAGTACAGTCAGAACTTTTTGATTGATTGTTGATTTATTTGGCACACACTCTCAGTCCCCCATGAATTGTCACAGCTTTGTCATAACACCCTTGATTTTGATCTTGCACCTTTACTAGTTCAGATCTTTAATTTGCCACCAAAATCTGCAAAACCTATCCCAACCAATCAGCCGTAGTTGCACTTTCCTGGGAGCTTATCAGCAAATTTTAGTGTGTTCTTTATGCACAAACACTAGATTAAACAGAGACAGAAATAGGCATCTACAAAGACATGCACATGTGGGATGAAAGAGACCCTGGAGGGCCCTTAAAGGAACCCACTTCACATTGAAATCAAAGCATCTACAAAGCACTGTCACAGAATACAAGCAGATCCAACCCAAACCCTATAAGAAGTCTTTGATTATATCTCAACAAAAGATGATAGCAGTCATTGCACCTGCTAAACTAAGGCTGCAGGATACTCAGAAAGTGACATCCCAGTATATTTAACTCTGACAGCTTGCTGTGCAGTATGCCTAACAGGAACTGAAACAGGATAAATGAGTGTGTCTTTTTTTGTACAACATATAAACATATCTGTAGGCAGCATGTGAAAATGTGATATGCAATTACATCATACCAAGTTTTAATAGTCTTGGAGGTGATATGCCAACTAATATTTAAGAGTGCATGCTAGCTTAAAGGGATATTCCGGCGTAAAATTCAGTTAGGGTCAAACACACCGTAACACTGAGTTAGACACCCCCTCCAGAGATGAATGTTGCCGACCGCTTGCTTCTCTAGTTATACCAACTTTAGTAACGACCACACGAAAGCAATACACAGCGGTCTGAGGAGCCATAAACAAACCTCAACCAAAACGCCACTCTATAGCCACAAATAATGCTCAGAACAGCACCTAACTTCATCAACAGTACATATACCCTATATGTACACAGTACATATAGGGTCCCAGACATAGTACTAGCCACCAAACATCTTTTTAACTTTGCCTGATTTCTTTAGCAAAGAGACTAAACACAACTCACCTACTCTCTTCCAGCAGCTGCTTGTTTGTAGTGAGACCTCAGGCCAATCTATTATGGACAACAGCGGGGTGACGCAGCTCAAGGAAGAACATTTATGATCATTTCTTCATGGAAATACAATCAGACCGAGACGCTAAGACAGAAGAACTAGCTTTAGTTAGCTTCATCTGGCTGCATCAAAACAATGTAAAAGCATGCTGATTATGATGTCCAGATAAAGACAGAGCGGAGTCAAATATTACCATCTATCAATGTTATTATTAGCGTATTAGCATGCAGATGCTAGCACACACATCTCAGAGCATCACTCTGCCTCAGCTGTACGCTGCTGTTAGCCTGGCTGTAGACTTTCCCTGTTGCTGCCCAACCGAATGGCCTCAGGGACGAATAAGATGAGTGCTTTATTGATCGACATGAAATACATTAGTATTCGAAGAGCTTACAACTCCAACTACACAGTTTTTGAGTGAAAAATCCTTTTTTACCTCTTCTCTTATTCCATCCTTGCCACATTTATGGAAGATACTGTAGAAATGTGGTACAAAAATGACTGAACTGTCACAGGGAGAAACTTTAAACCTCTTCTCTGTCAGATATGTTCAAGTGAATTGAAGTTTCTGAAGCTCAGACAGTTTTTATTTTTTTACCAGGGGAAATGAGACTGAAAAGGCCGCCCCCCCTCCACTGCTCCCTTTAGATTTTATAACCTCTCCTCTTCTATCAGACCCCTTTATTCATGAGGGTACTTTGGTACTTTTATCTCTGAAAATCTCTCTTCCTGGACCATTACTTGTTAATGGTGTTAATAGCAGATCTACCGCTTTAGGTCACAATATGGATTCATTCGACGGTGAATGAAGACTATTATCTCGGGCAAAGTTAGGGTTTCCCAGTTTAACCGAGCACATCTCTGCCTCCCTGTGTCAATCTGTGTGTGTGTGGGAGCGTGTTCAGTAAGACTCTTAGGCAAACTGAGTTAATGGGGGGAGACAAAAGGCTGCCTGAAGTTTGAGCGGTTGTTATATTACAGTAACATATGGGGGATGCCATGCTGGATGGCAACAAAGCTGTTGGGGTCTCTCTCTTCCATTAGCAACTAATTGCTCTGTTTTTATTCTTTGGCACATCGAGCGGTTAAAGTTTTTTCTGAACAGGACGAGAACATTTGCAAGAAGTTTTAAAGGCATGGTTGACGATTAGAGAGATCAGTAATTATTATGAACCTTGTTTCTATGGCGATCATGGTCCTTTAGTGCGATCTAATCAAAGTGAAGAGAAAAAAGAACAGAAAAAATCTGTCCACCCAAGCAGCTGCAAAAACATTGACCAATGGAAGCCATCCATCCCGGACAGCTCCTATTGGTCAATCTCATGCACTGCCTCTCTATCCAATCACCTTGCTGAATTCGACACACCCCTCTCCCATGTTTCTGACTTATCCCCTCCCACTCTCCTGGCCCTCCTCGGAGCTCTGATTGGCTAAAAGTAGCGTAGCATCTTAGCTACAGGAGCTGTGATTAGGGTTCGGTATCGAGTCTTGAACATCGATTGGGACCGGGACGAACATTCCGATTCTCCCAGAACCGTTCAAATTTTAAAAATTCGATTCCAAGTTTCGATGCCAAAGTCCGCTGACCAAAATAAATGGCTGCCGAACACCAACGAGGACGGAGCATAAGAGACAACGTCACAGAGAGAGAGAAGAGAGACAGAGAGAGAGAGAGAGACTTGAGCAGGAAGAATGAACTCTTATCTCAGTGCAACATTAGCAACACAGTTATATCATGTAAAGGAGGGTTACCAACCAACATGATTAAACACCACAGGATTCATGGAGGAGAAATGCCCGAGTGCCAATCTTTGCCCGTCAAATGAGGAGTCAGAATCGGAATCGGAACCGGATTCATTCAAAATCAAACAATACCCAACCCTAGCAAGGACTCTAACTCAAATGAACATTGGGTCATCCTCCGAGCGGTGGAGAAAGCTTCGCCAGGATTTGGGCCTGAAAACAGACGCCGAGATAGCAGAGTTTTTGTTGAACAGGTCATTTTTATCGCCTTTCATCGTGTCACATGTTACATAAATAACTCTTATTAGTCTCTGCAGTGTCAACACAGTAGCTCTCCAGGCAGCTGCAGACGGCGCTTGCTAGCAGAGCTGGCGTTTACTGCCGCTAGTCACAAACAATCCGACATGGTGAATCTCACTTGAAGCTAGTGTAGGATCTTCTGCCAACCGGCTTCTTGCTCTTCCAGAGGGGGTGTGTTGTGGGGAGGGCGATACAGGTTCGACGGGGAGTTATCGTGGAGTCAACCGTGCCTTTAACCTCCACACTTGTCTTGGATATGAGAGCGCCGCAGCCTCAAACACGGTTTCAGGATCCAACTTGTGCGAGAAATGGTGCGATAAATAAAACTCGTCTCTATAAACCGGGTATTTTACAAAAAGCACAGAGCACACGCTTCAGTGGTTTTGTGCTTTGGGAGCATAATGTCGCCTCATTGTATTACACACACTGCCACAAGCTCATGGACTCCCTTTGATAGTCAGTGAGTGAAACAAAGATCAGAGCAAAGAGGAATATTATAATAATTCAGTTTTTTCATCAGCGTAATTTCCCTAAACCCAAACAAAATCTCACTCACTAGAAATACTAACTTACAAAGAACATTATGTGTAATGGCACTCTGCAGATTAGAGCGCAACTAAGACGGAAGCAAACAAATTTCCCATGAGGCAATATGCAACAAAACACAGAAGACAGACATCACCCCAGAGACCGGGCCTGAGTGAGACATAAAAAATAATGCGGTGAGAAGATATTGGAGGAAAAACTAAAAAACTGTTAAAGAAATCAGTCATAAAACGGCTGAAGTGACACAAACCAAATAATGCTTTGTGATGACTTCCCTCTCCCTCTCTCTCTCTCTCTCTGTGTCTCTTTCTCTCGCTCACTGTGTTCCCATCATGAGGCTGATATGACTGCAAACAGCCAACTCTCAATATGACAGTCTCCCTCAAAGAAATTGGTAAAATAAGCTCCTCGTTTTGTGGCACAAAAGGCTCGACCGCTATAAATGTCACAAGGAGCCTTTTTGTTTGACTATTAAGCAGGTGTATTTATAGTTTCACGACAATACAGCTGAGACTCCATGATGTATTTTGGTCCTGAGGGGACGTGTACACAAATACCCTTGTTGGATCAACTGTCAATCACAGGGCTCCCGTTTTATATGTGTGCCTGTGTCAAACTCACTGTCGGCGTGTGTGTATGTTTGCCGGAGTAAATGAAGGTTGTCATGCCTGCGGGGATCCGCGCAAAGAGCCAGAGGTGAAAATCCTCGCTTATTAATACGCCGTTTGTGTGTTGCGTGTGTTTCTCAGCAGGTGTGTTTTCTTTCAACAGTGTTTCTGTTAGTGTTTTTATTTTTTTAAATACACCCTTGGTTTCTGTGGTATGCATGGTCAGCTGCATGTCCTGCTGTGTAACTGTGATGGAGTAATTACAGATATTAAGGTCAGGGTTAACAGAGGCAACTGCAATAATGAGAAAGCATATTTTCTGTGATTTCTGCGCTTGGTATTCACACAGAGGAGCTTCGTTTTATCGAGTATGTGAGCAGCTCTGGATTTTTTTAAAGTGTTTTTACATTGCAAATATTGATTCTAGCTTTTAGGCACGACTATTACAGCTTGTTCGACCCTTAAGTGTGTGTTAGAGAGCGGCGCTTCTGGCAAAGCTGGGGCCACAAGAACAGAGAGGCGATCAATGGCATTGATCAAGGCAATCAACAGTCAAATGATCAAGCAAAGACAAATAAAGTGTGCGTTGAAAATAATCCAAAAAAAGAGAAGCCGCCTGGTCTTTGAACTATTTTGGATTAAGCGTGAGGTAAATCTGGAGGGATCAAACGAGAGAGAGGGGAAAAAAAGAAAATGTCTCGCAGCTGAAAAACCACCAAATCAAAGAGGAGTCAGTCGCAAATGATCGTACTCATCCCCACACCACCCCTACAAATTACCGTCTGTTTTCGTCACAAGAACCCTGCCTCCTTTGCCTTTTGAGTCACAGAGTAGAATACGCTTTCTAAATACGGGTTTGAGTTTGATAAGGGAATTGAGAATGAGAAAGGAGCCTTTTGTTTATGTTCTCTTCTGGAAATATGTCAAAGAAAAGCGAGTAAGCGAGGACAACAAGCCTTCACACATACAGCACAGACCCTACTATGAGCTTTGAGTTATTCATTATCGAGAGTCTTCACATGCAAACACGACCCCCATCTACAAAGATAGCATGCGAGCATACGAGGCTCATGCTGTGTAAATCATGACCAAACATACATGCACACAAAGGAACACGCCACTGATACGTATGCCCTCCTGCTGCGATTGTGCATCACAGACTCAGAGACACAAGCGTGGACTAAATAGGGCACGACCTTGCAGCACCTAGCTAAATGAGAAGCTGTGACGGAAGCCTGAGCATCTTCTTCTTGCAGCTTTCTCTGCTTTTTGAGAATGTTTGTGAAGTTTTGGGGGAAAAGCATATAACTTATTTAGAGAATAAATTCAGTATCTGATAAGCCTATTTTTCTCCCCCTCGCTCACTGATGCACCCACAATATCCCCTCTCTACTTCCTCTGGGTTCCTCCCCGTCTGGCTGCGGGCCAGTTTCTGAACGCGGTGATGGAGCAAAAGAAAATTGATTTCTAAAGAGCTCTGTCTGCTATTCCCGGATATGAAATATGCAACCAGTTATTAGTCTAACACTGATATTAACATAACACGACAACCATGTCAAGATATATATTAAAGATGTCTCTCTAGTCCCCGCTAAAGAGGAACACGAAACAGAGTAAAAACGATAATGCCACTTGTTCAAAGTCTTCAAAAATCATCATCGATACGTCGAAAATGCTGTGATTTCTTCTTTGTTTGTGAAAAAGAGGCACAAATAGCACTCGGCTGGCGCGGCCATGTTGCTGCTGCTGCGAGACAGACAGATTCGATATCTTGATCATGAAGAGGGGCACGGCGGGCCGTTTGGTAATAGTTCTTTTGCAGCCATTAATGAGTGTACACTAAGAAAGGTCAAGTGGGCCACACAGTGATGCACACGAGCACAGAAGATAAACACACTCGTGCAAAAACTTGCATGCACACAGTCTGCAGAAAAGGTCACTGCATACATTGTGCGAGAAAAAGATATTTGAGGAGGATCGCTGCCTGTTGCTATGGTGCACTTCTGGAGGAAAAACATACTCACACATACAGACACACAAGCTACAAATGAGGCTCTATCAATCTTAAAGAAAGTGGAGCAGTCGTTCGCTCATGACCACAAACACACACACATACACACACACATGCACACGTTCGCACTCCCTCAATCAATCCTCGTCCTATTAAAAAAGCAGGAGGAAGCTGCATCCACTTTAAAGAGCTGCACCGCCTCAATTATTGCCCTCGGACTGTGATTGCGTGCGAGTGTGTGTGTGTCGGTGTTTGTGTCTTACAGTGTGTGAGCGGGGGGGCTGCCTCTGCTTTATTGGTATGTATGGAGCGAATGCAGGCACTTTTCAAGAACTACATCCCCTCTCTGTTTATTCCTCCAGGACTGTGTAAATTATGCCAGTCGGTTAATCAGATTCTCCCCCTGATGCAGCTCAGCACCTCATGAGAGACGTTGAGACAGAGAGGGGGAGAATGAAAACGGCTCCTGTACGTCTAAATGGCTCTGAGCCTCACCGCATATGTTCCACATTATGATCACGCTCATTAACTTCCTTCATTTATTTTTTTTATCTCACATTTTTTTGCCCCTCCTGAAATTGTCACCCAGAGTAACATTAAGAAGTGAAGTGCAGCATATTGGTATAGATTCGAGCTGTTAGGCTTATATTTATCTCTCACTATGTTAACAGAGGATTCTAACTATGTCAGATATACTACAGAAGTCAAACAATTAGATATTTGAGCAATTACTTGATCTGCAGGGATTGATTTGTCCACAGTTTTCATAACTAAAGTAATTTTTCAAGTTGAAATGCTTGAATTGTGCAGATTTAAAGCTTTTATAATCTAAAGCGACACTAAATTTAACATTTTTGGATATAACATAAAAATTTGTGTCTACATCTAATTTTTTGTGCAACTGCACTCAAAAAACCCCAATTTGATTCAGTTTTTAGTCAAACAATGCAAAGAAATGAAACGAATCTCAAAAGCGGATGATTAATTCCACCGTTTTCTGACAAATTAATTAGAGCAGCTCTTGTTTTGAGCAGCTTTTCAAACAGAGAGCATTTTTTAAGACATAATTGAATTTTCTGGCAACCATTAAAAGTTGTTTTCTTTAAACTTGTTCCATTTCAGAGACCGGTTGATGAATGCAACATTTCAAAAGTACAATTAATCTCTAAATTGCGCCTCTGAAAGAGTTTCCTCCTGATTTCTTCTGTCGCTCTGTGACACCCTGCCGTCTTGCCTGCTGCAGTGACCTGAAGTACAGTAGAAGTCAGAGCCTGCTGATCAATACCTTAATGCGAGCAGAGCATGAAGCCTCGGCTCGGCTCAGGTTGGTCGGACTACATGTGGGAAAGAAATCTCCCCTGTGTGACTCAGTAGACGTAAAAAGGCAGAGAATAAACGGCAGAGTGGCGCCCGGGGTAAAATGCTCTTTTAAAGGACTGATGGTGGCTTTGTGTGATGACATAAATAACATGAAATTGTTTTTGTATTATGACACCTCATTACACTGTGTCTGAGTGAGTGATATGTGATATTCGGGGGGAAGCCTGCGCCGCATACATGTGTGCATGTGCGTTTCAGCCTTGGTGACAGGCAGGCGGGCGCTGTGTAAAGGCCATAAGCTGGTATCATCCTGCCTCCGACGCCCCTGCATAAGTCTGACTGGACATTCATCCCAGAGTGACAAATTCTTGCGATGAGAGGGGCTCTCAATGAGATGGATGGCAGCCAGAGAAACTAGATGCAGCGAGTACCAGCACTAATCCATATTATATCTGACATGTGTCTCATTTTCACATTTCACTGAGAGTCATCATAGAAGACGGCAGGGGTGGGGGGGGCTCAGGGTGCACTATGGTGTGAAAAGTTTCTAAATCATGAGGAAAATCCCTGAGTCTAATACCAGCTCCAGTGGGTTGCCAGATTTTTTCCAGATTCACTCAAAATGCTTTACAGCTGAGATGATGAGTGCATTAGGAGAGCGGCTGGGGAATTAATCTGCAATCATTCTGATGATTGAATAATCGTTGAGATAACTTATTATAAGCAGAAACCCCAACTGTTCTCTGGTGTCATCTTTTCCAGTATTAAAGTGAGCTGCTTTTCTTTGTCTTGGTGTCACTTGTTATCTGAATACTTTTGCACTATTTCTTGACTAAATCACAAAATTCCTGACCTTAACTTGGCCTAGGTAACTAGGTTGTACATTTTTATTAATTTTAATAGCAAAATCAAGTTATTGCTTGGTAAAGAAAACGTTTTATAGAGGGATGGTAGTCTGGGACATCTTTAACCACAGGTATCAGCAGAAAGATAAGTCAGTTCTCTTTGTTTCAGTGTCTCTGTTATCTAAATACTTTTGCACTATACAAAAACACAAAATTCATGACCTTAACTTGGACTTGGGGCACCAGGTTGTACATTTTTATTACTTCTAGAGCAAAATCAAGTCATTTTATAATGGGATGGTGGTTGCATCTATGATGTCTGGTACATCTTCAATCACAGGTATCATCTCAAAGATAAGTCAGTAGGAGACCAGAGAGAGAATCTTTCCAGTATTAAAGTGAGCTGCTTTTCTTCGTCTCAGTATCTGAATACTTTTGCTACTATTAGTTGACAAAAACACAAGATTGAAGACCTTAACTTGGACTTGGAGCACTGGGTTGCACATTTTTATGATTCTAAGAGCAAAATAGAGTCATTGCTCAGGACAGAAAACATTTTATAATGGGATGGTGGTTGAATCGCTTCAGGACGCAGAAGCCTGATGGTAGAGAGCTGCTTATCTTTGTCTTGGTGTCACTTGTTATCTGAATACTTTTGCACTATTTGTTGACAAAACCACAAAATTCAGGACCTTAACTTGGACTTGGGGCACTCGGTTGTACATGTTTATTATTTTAAGAGCAAAATCAAGTCATTTTATAATGGGATGGTTGTCTAGTACATCTTCAACCACAGGTATCATCTCAAAGATAAGTCAGTAGGAGACCAGAGAGGGAAATTATAGGAAGAACTCTGAGGTCATGCAGTAAAAGGTGCTGCAGATTAGGAAATGTAACCTTAAAATCTCAAAGTTTGCAGATGTTCTTCAGACTTCACGGACACGATCCCAGCATGAGCTCTGAGTGATTTAAAGCTGCCAAACTCTCGGTATATTTGTGTGAAGTAGAGCCTCCAGGCGTCAAATAACGAGGTCAATAATGGTCGATAATTCATCTGTTGAGCGGACTGTCCACTCAGTATTTCCCGGTCCATCACTCACTCACCTTGCGCAGAGGCAGCGACTCCTCTCCACGAGACCGTCAACCATCCGCCGACCGCCTGTAATCCTTTTTAACGTCCTTTAAAATCCGTCCAGTTCGGCAGCAGCAGCAGCAGTCTGAGCAGGTGGCGCTTCCGTAGCAACACTGCAGTTCAGCGAAGACATTCAGTGTGTTTGTGGCTCGGAAATCACGCCGTCCTCTCCTCGCTAAAATAAGTAAATAAATAAAGAATAAAAACACAACTCTCTCGCGCTGTCGTGATGCGCGTGTCCTCTAGCGACTCCTTTGATGTAGCCGGTAGTATCGCGCGGAGGTAAAGAAGAAGAGGAAGAAGAAACGCCGCCGCCGCTGCTGCTCTGTTGATATCATCCACTTACTACTCCGACCGAAAGGCACAAAAACAAAGTGAGCTATCCCGGCGAGAGAGAGGGAGGAGGAGGAAGAGGAGGGGAGGGAGAGATGAAGAAAAGTGCGAGCAGCTCCTCACTGGGATGAATGAAAGACCGAAAGCGCTCCCAGCTCACCAGCGTGTGTGTGTGATAGTGAACAGTGAGCGCGAGGTCTGCTGAGTGAGGGAGTGAGTGAGTGAGTGAGTGAGGGAGCGAGTGGGAGCTCTGGTCGAGTGAGTAGGTTTCCGCATGGTGCACCCACATGAATATCGTCTTACATAAAAATGAACAGAGACGGAGAGAGCGCGCCAATTCCCCTGCATGCGATCATTATAATGTTGATGTTGTGTTTCCATAGCAGCTACAGGATCCTAATTAAGTGTTTATGTGGCCCAGGTGGGCACCGATCACCACTGATACACTAACTGACAACTCATGTTCAACAGAAATGAACTCAGTTAACTGCTGTGCTGGATTAATGTTGTGGTTTCTATCCATGAGGTGAAGTCTGACCTTCTGAACCACATCAGAGGCAGGAAAATAACCATTGGTCTGCACAACTTTGACGGCTTTATATTGACGCTTTTTCTCCTAATACACAAACAAGTCTGATCTTAGTGAAACTCTTTAAACTCTTCAACCACGGAGGATGGACAGCCAATATTTGGTCACACTGCTTAGAGTTTTTTTTTGACATTTTTAAATAAATTCATATCTCAGCCACTTGTATCAAGGCCCAATCCCAAACCGCCCCCTACTCACTCACCCTGAACTACCGATTGTCACTCATAAGGAAGTTACACTCGCAGTTGTAGATCGCTTTCACACCAGAGCTGTTTGGTCCGCTTTAAACGGACCAGAGTTCGTTTCCTCGGATAGTCCGCTTTGTTTGAAAAGGTGTGAAAGCTCAACCGAACTCTGGTGTGGACCAAACAAGCGAACTCTGGCCCGCCTGAAAATGTAGTGTGGCTGGGCCATCCAGTTGCGTGAATCACTTGCCGTTCCTTCCCACAACAGTCTGGACTTCGGCCAATTGGGAGCCCTTAAAGTGGGCAGGAGTACTTTCCTTGGTAGACAGACTACTGTAACCAATCACAGTAACCAAACATCTGACGTCATCACAGTGTGCAACTGTGCTCCCTGCTGGGCTCTCAAGCATCAAGTAAAGGTTTGGTAATATTTCAACGTGTGCTAGCAAACAATGTCTTTAACGTCTTCTTCTGCGGATATAAACGATTTCTGCCGATTTTGCAAAGTCAACTGCAGAATTAACGGCGTTCTGAATGAACGGCGCTTTGAAAAGTCCCGCAGCATGTCACCATCTACACATGGACCAATCAGGGGCTGCCTTTCCCTGTTGTCCAGGGAACAGTGGAAACACAGTCACTGATTGGCCCGGTTATTTTCCGATTTCTAATACACGCTCCCAATTGGCCGAAGTCCAGACTGTTGTGGGAAGGAACGGCAAGTGATTCACGCAACTGGATGGCCCAGCCAGGCTACTGAAAACGTGGGTCTTGGTTCGCTTGCGAGCGAACCCTGGTTCGGTTCGTATGCAGTGTGAAAGCTCAGCGGACCAAATACAGGACCTTTTGTGTGGACACATGCGGAACTTTTATTTGTATGTTGTTTCCTCCTTCTCCATTTTTACTGGCGCACAACCTGCAAATCCTGCCGCAAGTGGAGGGGGAGTGTGTAGGGCGAGTGTCTAGGGGGTGGTTTGGGATTGGGCCCAAGTGAGCGTATTTCGCGATATCTATCAAGGACTGGGCGATAATACAATAAAGATATATATCGAAAATTAATTTCCTTCGATAACTATATAAAACATGGTCAATATTCTCTTCGATAGTCGGCATTCCGCCATGTTTTGGTAGACTATATGAACAGCCAATGAACATGAATGAATGAATGAATGACACAAAGACCTCACAGATGCAGTGGCTACCAATAAGCACTGTTAAATTTCATTTTAGAGTAACAGGGAACGTTTAAGATTGACAAGTAATTTTTTTTACCGTGATATATATCGATATCGACTGATATGAAAAAAATATATAGTGATAAACGTTTTCTTATATCGCCCAGCCCCATATCTATCTATCAAATCCTACACTGAAATGCTCCCTTGCTCACCTCTCCTATGGTGGGCCAAGAACAAGAAGCTGCTACCATGCATGATTAGTATGATCTTCCATTTTTCAAGTTTTTACCATCAAAAATGTCACTAAATACAAATTCTCCCGCGAACACCATCCACACCCTTTTTGTCCTTTATGTGCTACTGTAGAGACATGGTGGTGCAAAGTCGCAGCCATCATTGAAGGGGGTTTGTTGCGCTCATTCTAAGTCAACAAAAGCAAATTAAATTTCATATTCATTGATTTTACATGAAGTTAAACATACTTTGGGATATACCTTCTACCAGTTGTATTTGTCTACTCACTAGATGATTAAGGAAATCAGACACCTCCAACAAAGGGGGGGTGTCCTAATAAACATTAGCTAAATACACTTCTTTAATAACTTTAATTATATAAAACACCTTTTAAGACAGAGTTAAAGTTCTTCACGACATAAAAACAGAATAGAAACAGAGGTAGGACATACAGCAGCGGTCATCTGTTCTGTCACAGTCAGTTGCCTCTTGTGACAGGGTGCTTAAGTTTTCTCAAACCTCCTCACGTCTGATTTACATGAAAAAGGTCAACTTACAGCAGTGTAGCTGGATAATTACGATATGCTCCTTCAATGTAAGGATCAACAGTTCAATCGATGTTTAATTCTGTCGTGTTAAAGGGCAGCTGTGGGTCAGGCTGTGACTGACGGCTCGTTTGGACTGTGATTGAGCTGCAAACTGTAAAGTGCTTTATTTTTAAGTGCGTTCGCCTTACACGAGGGTGCTAAGAATTGTCATCGTTTTTTTATAATCGATTAAACATTTACGTCTTCTGTCAAGCAGAAAAGTCAGGCATTTGCTGGTTTAATATTGTCGAACATGAGAATTGGTGGCTTTTCATTGTTTTATGTCACTGCACATCGGTCGCCTTGGTCTCTGGGGTAAAACTCAGAGCAAAACAACAGTTGACAGGAGCTCTTTCAGCTCTGTAAGCTCGGAGAGGAATTTCTTACTTGAGATTTTAAGACTTTTAAGATATTCAATTTAGTTTTTAAAAAGACATATAAATAACAGATTTTTTTGCACCCAGCCAAGGCTGCATAAATATTTACACTGCTGCTCGCTTTGGCTTAAATTTCTCTTCTTCATACCGCGTTTCTGCTGCAGATATATTGATGCAACAGCGAGGACCAGAAAGCAAAACGCTGACTTGTCAATGGACGAGCGACTGCGTGAAGATGATTTCCGGTGAATCGCTGTTGGTCTAATTACAAATCCCCGGAACAGAGCGCAGTCGTGTTTACACTGGGGAATTCTACAAATCATTATCTCTGCAAACACAAACTGTTGCAAATGAAGCAACATTTCAGGAGGAAGTATTTCTAAGGAATCTGAATAAATAAACAAACAGTTGCTTTTGAATCCTTTTCAAACCAAAACAACATTACCCAGCCATGAATCATCATCCAACTCATAGAAACCCCATGTTTGGTGCCAGTAAGCTTTGCACAGCCAACAATAACCACCCTTGATCCATCAAAAATGGCATTAATTTACTTTAGACTGCAAACACTTCCCCTAAGCAATCATATGCACCAAATTTAGAGCTTAGCTGAAAAGAATGACACTGCTCTGCCCTTTTTTATAATTTTTCTGTTCGATTATCCCAAGTCCTTTTGAAACGCCACATTTTCTCGCTAGCGTATGGATGTGTATTCATTCCGGCAGAATGGGCGCCCATTACACGCTTTCAGAGGCTGTGACAGCAGCCTTCAGTGAGGAAGCCAAACACTTCACAGCTCAGACAATGTACCCGGGCAGACGCACATACACACACGAGCGTGCACTCCCAGATTCGAATACACACAAACTCACTGACACAATGCACATCGACGAGATGAAAGGGCCAATTTATCAAACCACCAGCCAAGGCAGGCCTGAGGACGTAGAGTGCCAGCACTGGTCTGGAGAAAGAGGGCAGGATGTGCCTGTGAGTGTGTGTGTTTAACTTTGTGTGACTTTTCCCCTTTTTTTTTTTTTTTTTCGCCTTGACAGTAAAGTCGCTCCTCTTAACATAACATGCACTTTTCCCTTTGGTCAAAATCCTTGAGTAAACTACGTCAGACTTATCGCTGATGGCAGCTGATGAGGCCGCACGACAGGAGAGTTAATAGTTCCTGTGATTGTCGGGCGATTTGGCGCAAAGGAGCGAGTGTGTGTGTTGGTTTATTAAAAAGAGATTTGGAGCGAACTGGAGAGAGGGGAGATAGTGTCCGGGGTCTGTCCCGTGTTATTTCTCATTAAACCGCCAGATCGATGTTCGTTCTCGGCTCTTTATAGCATTTACAAGCCCGAGCTAATCCACTATTAGAGAGCTGCATGGCCGAGCAGAAAGAAGGAGCAGAGCGGGGTTTTGTTTTAGACGACAAAAGGGTATGGCTCCAAAAAATCTGCTTTCTGAACACCCTACATCACTCTGTGGTGGAAGGACATCCTCCCCGCGAGGCATTGATCAGCTGTGGGATGCTGTCAGGGCTGGAAGCTGTTCATCTTTCTGGGAAAAGAAAGAGGGATCAGGACTGACAGAAAGAGAAAAGCGTTTTATTTGACGCAGAACCTGAGATCTGACAGTGACAGATGTGTTGCATGAGCTGATGTGCGGCAGTATTGAACCCTCGGACGATGGCATGATGGAGGTTCTTCCTGCATGACAATGGAGGCGAAAGAGTCTGCAGTGATATTTTATTCTCTTTGGGTATTTAATTTACTTATCAAGCTGCTTATTAATAATTGATTCTCATAAAACAATTTGCTGAGATTTCTCGAGCTGCAGAAATGGTTCAGTGGATTTTCATCACAGTGTTTTAGAAGCTGCTGAACGTACCTAGAGTTATTACTTCTACAGCTGACAATATTTGAACGTCCTTCAGCTAAAATCCTCCATCTATCGTCTTAAATTACTTTCACTTTGTGCCTTTGAGTCACATTTTAGAGCACCGTCTTTGTCATATTTCAATAACAGAATCAAATTTCCCTCACAGTCATGGAATGTAAAAGTGCGGCCCTCCTTAATATCTCAAATCTTCGTGGACAACTCTGTCTCAGGCTGCAGCAGAGCAGGGTAGAACTGAAAACGCCTCCTGTGTTCTTCGAGCGAGGTTTCATTTTCAGTCATCAGTGGTGCGACGAGCATCAAAACAACCCGAAGATAGTAGCAACACTGTCTGGCATCCCACTGTCCTCATTTCCTATCATCAATCTCCTTTTCTACGACAGTCACTGCTCTGTTTTCTGGTTATTCTGAGATTCATGGTGTGAAGTCTTTATACGATGTGCAGTTTCTTCTGCCAGCAACCTCAGAACAAGGATATCACCGTCCGTCCTGATGTCTCACTCTGGACCGCTCTCTGCCAACCTGGCAGACATTACACAACCCGTACGTCTCCACTCCTGGATGCTCTCTCAGTGAAGAACCTCGAAACAACATAGTGGTGTTGATGTTCCCGCTGTGCTTGCTGACATGAAAAATTATGTTTGGGTTCCGCTGAGTTATCAGTGAGCAAACAGGTCAGGGATCAGAGCTTCTCGCTGCAGGGTATAGTAACCCTTAATAACCACCTTAAAACAAAAGCAATAACAAAGATAAAGTTAATAAGAATATTGCTGTTTATATTGTTCCTCCAAGACTCGTGAATTACTTTAAGCACCACTTCATCTACTTCTAAACTCTTAAATAATCGAGCCAGAAATCAACGGTGATTTAATTTATACTCCAGATTTCATTTCCACTCGTCTGCTGACTCCCTTGCTGAGTAAGTGTTTATATTTAGAAGTAAATATGCATGTGCTTATGAGCAAAGGGAGAACATTTCAAACGTTAGCCCCCTTATTTTGTGAAGTCCGCTTCAGTTCGGTGCATCTGTTGGGTTTTGGCTGCTGGGATTCTGGACCAGTCTGCTTGATTTGCCTCCAAAGTTTGGGGGCAGCCTGCTGGCGCTGCCAGTTGGTGACAAGCCCGAGCGGGGTATGCTGCCTGTTATAGCTGGGGGAGGGAGAAAAAAAGAAGAGAAAGCAGCTCCAAGAATCATGGTCCCAAAAGTATTTACAAAACTGATATGCCTTTTTTGTCCACCACAGGCCCGAGACGACAGAAATAGACGCGGACTGCTGGGACGCACACGGTGATCAAGTGAATCAGGTAAGTGAATAAGTGAGGAGAACATAAAAAGATGATGATAGAGAGAAATATGGCCCTATGTTCTTTCCAATAAAGTGTTTATTGAAGACAGCTGAGGAAGTAATCCAAAGATAGAGATTTGATTTCAGGAGCATCAGCGATTCTTACGGTCAGATCGCTTACAAAGAGCCGTATATAGAGGCCAGCTGACACTGAGAGCGTACAGAAGGAGCTAAATCAAAATTAACGTGATCGTGTCAACACTTAAAACACTCGATGTGGTAAAAGGAGCGAGGACAGCAGAGTCATTGATATCTCCAGCGTCGGTCCAACACCCATTCATCCCTGTGATTTATGTCTCTTCCTTTAACATCCACTACTTATCAAAGCACCGCCAACATAAAGACCCTCTTTGATTTTTATTGCAAAGATGACAGTAAATGTATATGCCTCTTTCCTTACGTAAGCAAAATTAGCACACATTTTTCATTCATGAATAGCTCTCCTTAAAATTAATTTCAGTCTCCACAACATGTCGTTTAATTTATGCAAACCCGGCCGACATTAAGTGGCAATTCATTAGCTTTTAACCTTTCCATTTTCTCATTAGGAGAATTAAATAAATAAACAAGCAAAGTGAGTCCGTGTGACGTCAAACTGCTCCTCTGTGAACATGATTTACAGAGAGGTGGCAGACAGATCTATGTCAGCGCCGCTGTACAAACATGATACTTGTCATCAGATGTCTGGAGCTGTATTTTTACACTAACAACCCCCACAGAAGTGGAATATGCATGAGAGTCTGTCATGGGATTGACGTGTGAGAACAAAGTGTCTGTCTTGATCTTTTATGAAGCAAATCTGGATTTGGATTCCACATGAACATAAGGTTCATCTTGTTTTTTAAGATTTCTATCAGCATCGCAAAAGCCGGCTGTTACTGCAGTCTAAATGCTGTCCTTAACACTTTAGTGAATAATCAATCGCACAGTGCTGTAGGGGAGCGATGACTTTCATTGACCTCCAAGCATTTTTTATGTAGCATGCTGCGCTGCAAACACTGCCCTACTTTCCCTCGAGCTGTGGTGTGGAGTTGGTAGATGTAGCCATCTAGAGGCGGAGCGAGCACAGCGCAGGTTTTCTCCCTGCTTTCATCCATTGGTTCTTTAAAGTTGTTTGCTCGTAATCCTCCATAAAAAGTCATTTCTACTGGTTTATTTTGTGTATAACTACACGTTGCTCAAAGCTTTTCTGCCCATAGAGCAGGTGGCTTTAAAGGGATAGTTCTGAATAATATGGCCTCAACATTCGGGACGTTGTGGTTCCTTATGAGACAGATTTTCTCAGATGATAACAATATTGTCGCGATATTCTCAGAAAACTTGAAAATAAAACATCGAAGCACAAGATAAGATGTTCCTTTAATAGTCCCACGAGGGGAAATTTCAGGTTTACAGCAGCAGTATAGATACAAGAAGAGAAAAATTAAAAGATAATACATGTATCATATTTACATCTGTACAGATTTTACATAATAATAGGATCTGTTGCACATTGAGGTTGAAGCAGTTAACTTTTATAGTATCATCCATTTCTAACTATTTTCAACTTTGTTATTCAGCTACATCATCAGCCCCGTGACTAAAACTTGTTTGGAGAGCACATAACCTCTAAAATGATTGTTCGTTATGCTTTTTTGTCTTGTATTTAGGTTGCTTTATTTCGCACATTTTAAAACAATGCTTTTATTTTGAAGTATAACCTATTTTTGGCAGATTGTATGTAAATGAAAACAACTGAGGAGCATTGAGAGGGTTTAATTGTTTGATTTGTAACCCAAAGAGATCACACTGAGCAATAAACGGCTTTTAGACGTCTAGTTTTTTTTTCCGACCTAATTTCAATCGTCGAGATTCTGTATATTTTTAGACAGAATTTAGACGTTGCACTTTGACCCATTATTCGATTACTATTTATTTCAAAAAGCAGCTTTTAATTGCATAACTGATCTCCAAGTACTTAACCAAAATAATTGTGATAGCTGTTGAGCAATATACAATGTAGTATAGATACAGCCTAGATTTCGACTTGGTCTAAATTTAGACGTCTAAAAAATGTTAATTTTTAGACCTGTGGTAGCCTGATTTTAGACCAGTCGTCTAGGCTACATTTAGACGTCTATTAGACCTCTTTTAGACCAAAAAACACTCAGTGGGATACAAGCTCTAACTTTGATTTTGTAACAGTGCCTCATCATCTCATCTCTCAGAGGGTCAATACCGATATTGGGACAGCCCTAACTCATAAAGAGGGATCCAGAGCAGTGTGATAAAACCCTGACTGAGCAGCAGGGATCCCTATCTGCCTTTGACTTCTCTTAATTTGGTGGTGTGCAGACATGGCACACAACACCATGGCTGAGCAGCCCACCAAAGAAAGCAAAGATGAGCAAAGCTGTCTTTTTTTATCCACATAAGGTCTCCGTCTCTATGCCCACATTGAATTAGACTGCTCAGCATTTTTATCAATTTTCCTGCAACTTTGGAAACTGTTCTGCTTTTGGTTTGACTTTTTTATGGGACTGTCCCGTTACTGACAACCAGCATGTATTTAGTGGCTGTGTAAGCAAGAGAAGGCTATAACCATCATCTGTGTCTGATGTCAACCAGCTTGTGCACATGTGAGGTCAAGGGCTCACTGATCTGTCAATATGCCAATGTTACACCCCACTAGTACAAAATGTCACAAGCTATTGGGATGTACTTTTATGTTGCCATGTGATGGAAACCAGAGACCAAAAAAAGGAGATGCCCTCACAACAGAGTCGGAGCGATTGTTTCGTCGTTGGAGGGCAATCAGTGATAGTGTTTACGAGGCACATGCCAGAGTGGTTTTTTTTCCAGTTGTGCACAGAAGGGTATATGACTCGAAGTGACACACAACATATGAGACTTACAAGCGATGTGTCATAAGGAGAGAAGATCTGTGGATACATTCCTCTTGAAACCAAGCGAGCATTGCCAAAAATATAAAGTAACAGCAGGTGAAGTCATAAACATTCGACATATGGCGGAGCGCTCGCAATCATTCAGGTCAGCAGACTGCGCTCCACTTTGAAAAACTGTTGAATACTGTAGTTTATACAAGCAAACAGTGAACTTTAAAACCTTAGTTTCCTTTGATAACTGCATCTATTTTGCTGAGGACAGTCTTGAAAGTGTGTGCAGTTAAATCAAGCTGTGATTAAAAGCAAAAATAGTGTCAATAGAGTGTGTTTTTAGGGTTAAATGGACACTGACACTGTACTGTAATCTAACCTACCTCTTAACATTGCAGTTGCATGCCCCTCATTGGTCCCTAATGCTCATCACACTCTCTGTCAGTTCTCCCCACTTGTGTGTCCTTACTATTTTCCCTACAGAAACACATATAGGGAGAGACTTAGAGGGAGAACATTTTTACTGCTGATGGTTCTTTCAACTTTTTCCAATTTTCTTTGAAATTTCACCGTCTAGTGGAAGTGCCTGAACCACTTCAAAAACTTCTCTGTGCAGATCTTGATATAAATGTTGAATTACATTTCTTAAAACTTTATGTCTTGTGCAATAGCGCCATGATGTTCTTATCTTTGTAGCTCCTATCTTTCTCTTATTTATGTTTCTCTTGTGCAGTATGGGAAATGTGCAGTATGTGTTTCTTGTTTGCTGTGGTGGCCTTGGTCTGTGTTCTCTGTTTGCTTGTGGGTTACTCTTGGTTTTTAACAATGATTTATTCATCTGGTTTATTTATTGATATTATTGTGGATTTAGTTTGGCATGTGCAGAAATTCAATCCAAGGCAGATTTCCTTAAGGGGACAAAAAAGTGTATCATATTGTATCGTATCATATCCGATTATATTGAATCGTATCCTATTGTGACTTGTCGTGTCATATCATGTTGACTCAATCATATCCTGGTCTTTCCATTTAAACACATGTTTATAATGAAAACAGGAAATAGTTAAGCAGGCAAGAAAATAAAGGACAAATGAAAGACCCCAATGAATAGCCTATGAAGCGATTTCTTCTCCTCTTGAGTTTGAGCAAAAACTGGGTTATTGGCACCTTTAAAAATCCAGCAATGAACCCATAAACCTATTGTATCATCATTGGTATCACATGATGAGTCAAGTCTTTTGATACATCCCTCATGTGAAGTTCTTCTACATACAGTAGATGCTGCTCAGCTAGCATGACACGCCTCAGTGTTGTGTTGATTTTGGTACCTCCTGTGGACAAAGGAGAACCTCCTCTATCTTTGCTTTTATTTTCCTGTAGGTATATTCGAACACAGGTACACTCATCAGAGGTCTTTATGCCCCCTAAAGTCTTGTCAAATGGTAAAGGTGATTCTTACAGTATAACAAAGTACAGGGTATACTTGAAAATAAACATGTTAAAAGTTTTTCGACTATTTGAAACAGCTAAAGTATGTACAAAAACAGTACAAAGTTTAGTCTTCTGACCAGCTGATCCACACAGAGGCCATGCTTTACACTGAGAAGTGCTTTCGTCAAATTTTGATCAGTCCATCTTAAAAATGCTCTACAGTTTGAGTCTTTATTTATGGATTCAGGATCAAACTGTGTAACAGACAGTGGTTCTGGATTTCAACCTATCAGTGTTGTTTTTTGGCCTTATCCCATTTTGTGCAGAGATTTCTAGATTATTAATGATGTCATGTACTGTAGATGATGAAATACTCAATTTCTTTTGCAGTTTTACTCTGAGGAACATTAACTATTTGCTAACACAGTCTCTCACAGAGTGGTGAACCTCTTCCTAATTTTACTTCTAGGAAACTCAGCCTCTCTAGAGTGCCTCTTTTATACCCAGTCTTATTAAAAAAACTGTTGCAAAGTCACCTAAAGAGATAGGAGAAAAATAAGGTGTAACATTTGGATTGTATTTGGTTCGTTTTTATCATGATTATAACTATAACACTTTTTATTGCTGTTGTCAACCATCATTATTTTAAGTTAATCTGAAATCGAAAGAGTATTCCAACTCAAATGAACAAAAAACATTCACACAAACACACAACTCGCACTGCAGAGAACAGGATCAAACACCACAGTGAAAAACGATCACAAACAGCTGTTGTAGGACATATAATTGGACACAAGATGTCACTAGAGTGCTGCTGTCTCATCCTCTCCGAGCGGCAGAGGCCGAGAGAAAGAGGGGAAGTGGAAACCTCAGTAATGCTTTATGACACACAATCATCTGAGTGCTTCCATTTAAACCAACATTAATTAAATTTATGGCGAATAGAGTTTACACTCTGGAATTGAGTTTTCTTTATAGAAATCACTTTGAGTTGATTTACTCCATCTTTTCCACTTGGTTGCCCATAATTGGATCCAAATGACTCAGTCCTCATTACAGACGTCTCCTTGGAATTTAAACACTTGTGTTCACTCCTGGGAGTACGCCTGCGCTTGTGCGTGTGTGTGTGCTTGGAAGAATTTGATTATGTTACAGTACATACATGCATTTACAGTCTGTTTCGAAAGCCTTATGTCTTTTTCTCGGTGAATGCGTTTCTGGGTGTCTCTTATACTCTCAGACCTTCTCCTCCTGGCTGACATCACTGAGCTCCTCTTGGGCTTTAACTGGGAGGTTTGGTCATCTTAATCCCCTTAAATCCCACTCTCTACCACATCAAATCCCAGTCTTCCACTCCCAGAATCACCCTCAAGTCTCCCCCGCGCTCCTGAGGATCTTATCTTGATCTCTCCGGTATAAAAGCAGGAATAATGTATCTAGGCTGTGCGTTTTCCCACAAGCATCAGATTATAAAGATGCCCACATGCATGCTACCGCACACATTAAACTTGATTTTACATGTATTCAGGGGGAACAAGATGTACACCAATGCGTGCCAGCAGTTGACTTTGACTTAGCACGTTAAATCGCTCCATCATAATTTCCAAACGTCTCTGACTGCAGCCTCTACCCAAGTTCTGTGAATTTCCATCCTTTGTGTATCAATGCTGCTCCGAACAATGACACGATCCTCAAACGGCTTTGTTCTAAATCCCCAAAAATCTGTAACAACCACCAGCATGAAAGCAAAGCAGGGTAACTCTTTCCAACAAGTCATTATTCTCTTTCCTTTAAACAAAAGGAACTCGGCTTTCCAGCTAGCAAGGCTTAACTCGTGGATCCGCGGTTGGAACTGAACGAAATCATATGTAGGTCTACGCCTGGTCTCTACTCAGCGTGTGTGTGTGTGTGTGTGTGTGTGTATGACCGTAAGTGAACATTTGTATGTGTGCCTGGTTGTTTGTTCATGCGTGTTAAAATTGCAGTACTCTCAGTGTTTCTTAGTGGACAGCTGGGAGGATGACTTTGCAGTTGTTGGCTGGGGGTCTACGTGGGCTTGGATTGTGTGTACATTTAACGACATGGTTGACGATTGGGGAGAGTGGTGATTATTATGAATTGTGTCTCTATGGCGATCATGGTCCTAAAGTGTGATCTCCACAAAGTGAAGAGAAAAAAAGGATGGAAAAAATTCCTTCACCCTAT